TCGAATGGAGACCATTTGCTTGAAAGGTGTCATCCTTGCTTCTTGTGCACGTCGTGCACAAAGCAATGGGGTGGAAGTCTTCCGGAACGCTACTTTCCTAGTGCTAGAAAAGAATTCTTCCGATCGGCGGGTCAAGAGAGTCCCCCGGTCCTGGATAGTGAGAAGACAATTGCTGCTACGAAGAGGAAGAGAGGACAAGGACGGCACGGCCCTAAAAGCAAGACGTCACCATATCGAGGCGTGAACCACTATACGAGGACCAATCGTTGGGAGGCTCACATATGGTCAGTAGAGTTCGAGTGCATGTAAAACATATCTCAACTTGATTTAATACTCATTTTAACTCGTCAGTTGTTGTGTGAGAATAAATTCGACATTACAGCTGGACTGTCTACTATCAGATTTGGATGAGACTAAAAAAATGAGTGGGGTCTTTTGTAACAGGTATGCTGGTGGCCAAATTTATCTTGGTACGTGATAACAAAGTGTGATGCTGTGTTTGTAAGACCTGCTGTAAATGTGATAACATTTAAGCTCTTCTTTACCACTTCGACTGTTTCCCTAAGCGACTGCATGGTTGTCAATGAAACACCTGGAATGACATTCCATGACATATGTTAAGGTTGGAAGGAATTATATCGGATGTGCAGGTGCATCCCTGACGATGGAACAGGGAGCAAGGGCTTACGACAAAGCAGCCTTGTTTCTCTTCGGAGCCGAAACGGAAGTCAACTTTCGTCCAGAAGACTACCAAGAAGAGATTTGTTTCGTGCGAATCTTGGACTATCTCAGTGTGCCATTTATATCGACAGTTTTGAATTCTTTTTCATTTCTTGGTTTGATAGCTCATTTCTTGTATTGGCTGAGGTAATAACACTTAAGATACCTTCCAGTTAAATCACCTTGGTTTTGTTGGGAGTTGCTGCAGCTCCATCGCTTGACCCAAGGTCAGATGGTAGCCTACCTCAGACGAGAAGCCCGAGGCACAGGAGAGGAGGTGAGGTATCCAGGAGTTGCCAAGATTAATGCTAAAATGTATGAGGCTTTCTACAGGCCCAGGAAAGATAAGGAGTAAGTCAACCGCAATCTATCTTCATCTTTTATCAAAAGTTTTCGAGCCATGTTCATTTTAAGCTAGTAATCAGAATAAACAGTGCCAACCATTCAGTTTTACATATTGTGGGGTGGAAACTGCAAATGAATCAAGGTATACTTTCTAAATTCTGTTTTTAACATGAGACCTGTTATCATCAGGTCACAAGAGCACATCGGCTACTTTAGGTCGGAGGATGACGCAGTAAGGTAAGAGCATCTGAGACTCTCGAATGTGTGTTTGGAAAATTCAGTGCTTCCACAATCCAGTTTCGCCGAGCAGGACTGTCAATTTGTTTGATAATCTGCCTTGTTTGATTTGCCTCTTTCCGTCAGGGCTGTTATGAGAGAGGCAAAACGCCGCAAGAATTTTAATTTGGCGGCTAGGATAATGGATATCCATCATCTCAGGACAGTAAGACCTGCCCCGGGGAAGGTGAAGAGGCCACGAAAGCCACGTAAGAATCTCTTCCAAATTGGAAGAGGAACTCGTGATGCAGCATCAGTTCCTGAACAGGTAGGTTCCTTCTGTTCTGAGTGTGCACTTACTGTGACCAACAGTACGTCTGAGGGTAGAAGATCCACTTGATGTGAATAGGATGTGTCTGATTGACGACCATGAATACCTGCCTAGGTGTGACCAGACTTGGGTGTGACAACCGTAAAACGAGATAGTTGTTTATCCTGCACTGAACGCCAACTAGCTTCTGAAATGAGTATTAATTCATCTCGCAGGAATCAGATGATGAAATCATGCAACAGAGGAGGAAGAGGACATCGAGGAGCAAGAATTTGAATGCCGCACTTCCTGCTCAGCGGGATGTTTCGGTTGTTGAATCCAGCGTTTCTGCACTGCGCAAGCGGCAACCGAGGAAGAATGCATCCAGGTGCAAGATAACTACTTCATCCTCAGTTTTAAGAGTTCCTAGTCTTCACGATATAGCAGTCCCAGAAGGAGCTTCCGTTGCAGCATCAGCCAATCCCAATCCACAAACAAAGAAGATGTTAACGAGGGCCCAGAAATCTGCGACAAGGTCTCCTGTTGTACCAACTGTTCCAGATTTTGCAATACCAGCAGCTTGCAATACTGCTCTGCCGGTGAGAGCGTACAAAACAAGAAGTCGGAGAGCGCCATTACGTCATCCGCAATCGGAGGAAACCTCCATAGAAACGGTGCTTGCTAACACTGAGCTTATGGTTGTAGACCTGGCTGATTCAGCTCCGGCAGCGGACGGAGCTCTCAGTGACTCAGGTGATCAGCTTTCTCTGACAGAGATCAGTGGGTATGCCTCTCCAACGACTAACGATTCGAGCATATGGTCGAACAATCTGAGTCCATCGACTGTCACAGTGACGTGCGATTTCGACCATGGTGTTGCTGTAGCAGGTCACCAATCACCTGACCATGTGCGCATGGTTTTAGGTTCTCCAGTGGTTGCTTTGGATGCATGTGATCTACCCAGCGAAACGCCGATCGTCCAAGTTGAACCTAGCTTCCCTCAGCTGGCCGCTGGTGCGTTTGGTCAGTGGCCGACATGGCTATCGTTGTCACAATTACCGTTTGCATCCCGTTCACAGGGTGGTCTTGTTGGTGTTGCACCCACATCACTCTCTCCTGCAGTAATACGCCCTGTGGCACGAAGATTGAATGCGACTGGAGGGAGAGTCGAGCTTGATCTCTTCCCTCATCTCCCTGCTGGAGGTGGGGGATTATGCGTCGATCTCAACGGTCCACCTCCGAGCGGATAAATCCTCCAAGTAAATAGCCACGTCAGTCAAAGAGCTCATCGGTTTCCGGATCAACTAAAGCAACCGAAAAGTATTAGATCCTTTGAATGTGATATGCGCAACAAGTTTGCGGACAATGAAATAGACTACAGTTTTGATTGCTACTCACTGTACATTTTGGCCAGATGTTTCTTCGAGCTACAGTTTGATCTCGATGGTGGTGTCTCAGGTTTTACGGTTCGGCTGTGATCTGATGACCCGATCGAATTGGGTCCAGATCCTGACCTAGATTAGTATACATCAAACTGGTGTGGATGAGCTGCGGCAGTCTCGATCGAGCGGTCCTAAATTACGAGACATGCAAGCGTTCAGTGCTGATTCTGGCGGACTGCGCTGATCCGGCGATGTTACTAGCGTTTCTCTTTCTGATATTAAGAGTTTATAGTAGATCCTGACTTCGAATTATTGATCTGATCTCGATGACCTGATTACGATAACGATTCTGGCCTCCACATGTTGATTTTGACTGCTCTAAATTACTTATTTCTGCAGCTGTCTCCGGTCGATTGTTACCCATTTGACTGTTAAAAGTGTCAATTGTTAATACTTGTGTTAATACTAGTGTAAGCTTAAATCTGAATAAAAAAACACAGCGACCATATATATGTGTATGTATAGGATGGTTATGTTACCATGTGCAGAATGTAGTGTCTGACTACAATTGACACTTTTTAATTACGTAAAAAGAAAAAAGAAAGAGCAATAATACTATTTGTAGTAGTAATTGGTTTTTATAATTGCAGTTCTGTGATATTTTGAAACTAATCTTTGTGGGTCTATTAACTGTAAAAAATTTAAAATAAATTTGTAAGGATTATTGTGATAAAAATGTCTTTTGGCATGAATTTTGTGACAGAAAACTAAAATAATATATATATATATATATATATATATATATTTTCACAAGAAACATGGAAGGTGATGTGTAAAATTAAACACTCTCATTAAAAAAGGTATTAGTATCCAATTTCATAAAAAAAAATATATTTTTTTTTTTCACAAGAAACATGGAAGGTGATGTGTAAAATTAAACACTCTCATTAAAAAGGTATTAGTATCCAATTTCATAAAAAAATAGAGGTTGAATTGGAAGTGTGTACAAGGCAATACAAATTAAGACACTACTACAATTGTGTATGCTTTTTATTTTAATTTTAGATGTTTATAGCATTAAACATAAAAATACATATTAAAAATTAATGCCATAATCATCTAAAATTAATAAATACATATTTCTACTTGTAGATTTTGTTACATTGGTTTAATTGGAAGACACCAAGAAAGAAAGAATGTGAAAAAAAAAAAAAATGACATGTATAATTTTTTTTTAAAAAATAATAGTGATATTATTTGCAGAGTTGCATATAATTGTCGTAATAATTTAATTTTTTAAAACCATATTGTTAATCCATTGGCTATGCCAACTTTGTGTACGTTTTTGGCAGCCAATAAATAAAATACAAAAAAAAACACACACACATACACACACACACAATATGCCAATTAGTGCCACTTAATGCAATTTAAAAAAAAAAAAAAAAAAAAAAAAACAGCACCACATCAGCCAGGTGCAGGTCATGTACATCTGTGCCGCCGTCGCCAACCCGGCTCATCTCATCTTCTAATCCCAGTAACTTGGCAGTAACTGGGTTTAACCACCCTACTTCTCCAACCAATGGGATTTTTTGACACTCCAACCAAACGTTGGTTGGTAATTTTTTTATATGAATAGGTATTCTCAAGATACATGTGATTTTAAAAAATTATGTTAACAAATACATATTTCTAAGCAGAAGATTTTGTAGCCACGAAAGCCCCAATTTCTCCATGCCCACAACCTTTCAGGTTCACTGAAAGGACGGGCATAGGAACACAATGACGAGAGAGACAAAGGGGCGCCTATCTCCGACCGCGTGCGCTTTGAAAAGGGGTCGGTCTCACACGGAAACAGAATGCAAAGCAAGCAGCGGAGACCGTGACAAGTGGTGCTGACGTGGATCCAGTTAGGACCAATAGCACGAGGGTCGCAATCTCATTCCCAAGTGACGCATTCACACGTGCCGCTCATCCCACCGGATCAGGAACAAGGCTCCCATTACGGCCTTCGTCCCCCATCGGCCAATTCAAGCCTTCTAATCACGATGCTTAAGCCCGTAATTCGTGTTTCTGGAAACCCTATTTCTGTCCGAGTGGGAGGCTCTGGGCGTGGGCTGGAGCAGAGCGTGAAACCATCGTTGAACTGGTTCCCCGTGGGATTTTTCCTTTCGCAATGTCAGATTCACAGGGGCTTCTTTTGAGTTGCTTTAGGTTCAATTTGGTCGAAATTCGAGTGCTCAGGGGACCGAAGCTCGTCTGGATCGCTTCCTAAATTGAGAAATCAGAGTCCGTGGTGTGATTGTGGTCTTCGAGGAAGAAGGTAAATCTGTCCCGCATTAGACAAGGCTGCATCTGTTCTGATTTGGTTGAGATTGGCAGGAATCGTCAAACTGCTGTAGTTGCGTGCATGAGCTGTTCGGTTACTGTATGAGAGCTATCAATGTTCAAGTGGTGACTAGCGTACAGCACTCGTATGAGTGTGTCTAATAAAAATGGACTTGATGTTTGTAATCTCGGTCCCTGGTCTTTTTGTCCCGGACTGTCTTTATTTCTTCTGATTCGTTAGCTAAGGATAATAAGATGTGAGGTAAATGGCTGTTTCAATGCTCCTCACAAAACTTCTTGTTTCACTTGAAGATGAATTTGTAGGTCGAATGGTCGATGAAGGAATTTATTGCGAGCGATCATGTTAGTTAAGAGTCTAGAGCGTTTTTTTGACCTAGTGTGATACTCTGTAATTTTCTGTGTACAGGAAGCGTTCGATGCGTACGCTGGGAATATTGCATTGAACTACGGGAAAGTGTAGCAATTTCTGGGAATTATGCTTGAAGATGGTGTTCAAGTGGCCGACTCTAAGGCTCACAAGAGTTGATAGTGATCAGGTATCCATATCTTATACCTCGAAATGTCTGCACGCGAGCTAAGCATTGACAGTAGAGCCATACGAGAAAGGGTGATATGATGTGAGACACCGAAATTGAACATTGTTTGCCCTTTCACAGGCTTCGAGATTGTCAAACTGTGTTGCCAGTAATCAAGGTGGGGTGTTTGATTATGCTCAATGGGGCTCATGAAAGCGATCATGGATTTGCGCATTGTCCTCCTCACAGATTAGGAAATTAGGGTTAGCATGTTGGATGTAGAGTTTGAGCTTTGCCATCGATGTGGGATCGTATATCGAGCGTGTTGTATAATATGGAGTTTGGCTGTACGACTCCGGAAAGCGTTGTAACGCTTATTTAAGGCAAAGCAGCTTAATTCATATTGGTGTGTCTTAATGAATTAAATGACCATTGGTTTTGTGTATTTGTAAGTCTGTAAGGAGTCCTACCAGAAAGGACCCTTCTGATCGCAAACCTCAGTTTCAGGACCCAGACAGTCTATTGCTGGACAGTGGAATACCAATACACCGGGACAGCAGCTGCAATACTTCCCCGTCAAGCTGGTGGCCATCTGCTGCAACAGCCAAAAAAAGCTTTTTGCACAGAGAACAGTCAACAAGGAGTGCATTTGCATCGATATCAATGAGACCTGAGATGTTTAATCTCGGTAAAACTTTTGATCTATTATCGCAGCTGTTTTTAAATACAAAATGGGAGCACAGAGTGGATGACGGAGACTCGCTTGCCTGGCTAGCAGAGAAGTATGGGACCACAGTGAATGCATTGAAGAAATTTAACAACATGAAAGACGATATCATTTACTCTGGCAGGTTGGTGACACAGCAGTCAGATGTTTGCAGAACAGGGCTTGTTTGGTGGCGATGACCTGTTATTACTCGCCTCGAAGTTATTCTATTGCAATCATAGCTTAAATATTACTGCCGTTGTGTTATGGTAGTTATGGAAATGGTATGTGAAAGTACCTGGGTCTTATCGGTTAAGTTCCTGGACTTCTTGCAGTATTTTGAAGATAGATCGGCGTAGTGCGGAGCAAGCAGTCCTTGGTCGAAAGGCCAGTGTGCAAGAAAGGAATGCATTACTTGATGATGTTGCAGAGATCACACAACCCCTCAAGTCTTTCAAGCCTGTGTTAAGTGCACGCCCTCGATCACAGAGGCTGCAGAAAACACATATTATCCCTAGACTAAAAACCGTTCGTGTTAAATATGGGGACACTTTGGCTGACATTGCTTTTGAACATGGGTAAGGAGCTGTACTTGATGGTTCTTGTGCGGAACTACTGGACTTTGGAATCTTTTACAATGTTCACTTCGTTATGTATGGAAGTGGTCGTACGATCCTTCATCTTGGGTACAAGAGCAGACATTGATTTCTGGACTTTATTTGCACTTAACTAGTAGTTATGGTGTTTAAAATGTATCATTTTCTTTCTCTATTTACTTTTCAAGTTTTGTGCAGTCTTAGCTCAGAGGAGCTGCAGCGGTTGAACAACTTACGGGACGATAATATTTTCGAGGGTGACGTTCTTGCAGTTTCAGCGGCAGGTACTTAGTTACGGTCCTGCTGCTGAATTTTTGATTTTTCCTGGTTTCGATTTCTTGCTATGTAAGTAAGATAGTCTCTTATTAACTTAAGTTATACATGTTTCCTGTTTGTTCCAGGTCCGTCTTCCAGGGAATTTCCAGAAAATCGGTCGGGCCGGCGACGCACCAATCGACTACTCTTTTCAAGGCCATGTGCAGGTTTTTCACAAAGGCTGGGGATTGGAGGCCCAGAACAGACTCTCAAGCATCAGCTTACAAGTGGCAACTTAAAACTTCAAGGTTTGTCATCTTTTTCATATCGTTCACTGAGCAGCGTCAAAGCCTAGCCTTAATTGTTCAATTTAATTTCACGCAATCTCTGTAGCTTTAGATCTCATACCTTTTGTGGAATCTCTACCATGGAAATTGTTTTTTTAGACAACTGCATTCATAAGGAATTACATATTGACTTATTGGACAGGATGGAATTTCTAGTTATCAGCGTTTAACCAGATATGTTACCAATCTGGGACTTGAGTTAATTCTGCTGCTCGAGTCAGATGTAGATCAACAGCATAAGGTCCTGGAGCCAATCAATGCCGTTTTTAGGAGCGTGGTTTGAATTACTCTTTACATGTCCTAGGGTATATCTGCCTCTTATAAACCATGCTAACGTTTCTTTTGCAGTAACATGTCATTGATGAAAGAAGCATGTCCTATTTGTGTACAAATCAGGCCGATGGAAAAGAAATCACAAGGGATTTCAACATGCACAAGACAAGTGGATGCGCTTCAGTTCTCCAGTCACAGAGGGGTATGACAACTTTCATCTCTCTGCATGAACAATAGCTCTGCAGTTATCCTCTAGTTTATTGAATTTTGCCTCGATCTGTTTAAGTCTTGATGCTTGTTAATTTATATTGGAATATTGAATGGTTACTTTCCAATAATGTGATGGTGCAAACCATGAAAAGGATCTTACCTTTGTTCAAGCAAAGAATTCGCTCCCAGAACTTGTAATCGTCTCCTGCTTGTATGAAGATATTGAGGCAGTTGGTTATTGTGAGGCATTAAGTGGAACTAATTACAGTTAATAATACAAACCAATGCAGTTTTTTGAGCAGTACCTATGGTTGGCGGTGGGGTGCTTTTCATGAGGTAAGATCAGCCTTTTTGGTGCTGCGTAGGGAATCAGCTGTGGTAATTTTTGCTGTTGCATTTGAAATACTACAATACCACTCTCATCTTAGAATTGCCGAAGTTGAGTTTTGACATACCTGCAGGTGCACCTTGCTATCCCGCATTCGAAATCTTTTCTCTTGCTGAAGCTGTCTTTAATCTCAAGGTACTTTGGCATTTGTACAGGGCATTGATGTAGCTGCGGATCAAGGAACTCCAATATTGGCCTCTGACAGAGGCACGGTAACATTTGCAGGCTGGAGTGGTGGGTGAGTTATCCTGCCAATATCTTGTTCCGTTCTTGACGACTTCATTCATGTAATTTATCCTCGGAATTTTCGTTGGGTAGTCATCCTTGTGTGAGCTCTGGTATATTACGATTGCAAGAAAAGACATGCAATCGAAATTGGTTGGAGCTGATGGTATGCTTCTCTTTGTGTTGTTTCGAATATTGCTCCTATTGTTCTGTGTTAATTAAGCTCCACTAAGCTCTTGTAAGACGTGTTTTAGAGTGCACGAAAGCGGCATACTAAAAGTTGTTTTGTGGTTCACATACGCGCGAAGTGGCGTAATGACATACCCCGTCCTCTTCGTAGTTGCTTTCAAATGACTGGCAAATACTTGACGCATTTCTGGTAACTTTGCAGTTATGGATATTTGGTGGCCATCCAGCATGAAGGAGGGTTTGTAACTAGATATGCACACTGCTGTGCCATCCATTCCCGCATTGGACAGGTACACATTTCATAGTTGTCCTTATTTTGGACGAACTCGTGACGTTTTTGTTGAATCTGAGTGATCAAATGTGTAAGTGCAAGTATGGCGGATGTTTCTGTAAACTTCAAATTGCCGCTGGTACTAAACCCATCTAGTGCGTGCTTGGTTTCCTTCCAGCAAGTGTTGAAGGGACAGCAAGTGGCCGCAGTCGGTGCTACTGGACGTGCTACAGGCCCACATTTACACTTCGAAGGTGGGCATCAGATGAAAATGTTTTTGCAAATTTGAACACTAAAATTGATGACGCTAAGCATCACTGCTTGTTTTGACTTCGCTTTCGGTGTATGCAGTTCGAAAGAATGGAGAAGCACTTGACCCATTGAAATGGGTCCGTTTGTGACTACATTAAGGTCGCCATTGTATCAAAAGGCTTTTGGTGTTATTAAGTTATCGTTACGACTTCTCCAGGTGCAGTAACAAAGTCTAGGCCGAAGGTAGAATCTTCTCAACCATGTGCATCCATAGCTTTAATTGGTCTGCAAAAAAGCCTTTTGTAGCTAATTAAGTAGGTGAAGGGCACATGGTCTGATCTAATTTAAGTAAGGACTAGATTGAGGTGGCAAGTAAAAATTAGAGAGGCAACAGAATGGACAAAATTAGAAGGGGAATGATATTGTTATCTTACAAAAAAACTGGTGTGTGCATATTGAAGCCAGCCCAACTCTACCAATATATGCTACTCACTGTTGAATCGTGTACTTTGTAATACCGCAATTACTCATTTACTATATTCGACATCTTATCGCTTTACGAAATATACTTCAACAATTCCTCTTAATCATTAATCATGCAATATTCAACCACTGAGCTGTTATAACAATGAACACATTTTTATCTTGTGAACAGAAAATTTCTTTATTGGTTAATGATCAGTTACATGTAATAAAGTAAGTTATTAGTTTAGAGGATGATTAAACTAGTTATCAATATCATATTCATGTGCGGGATTTCTTCCCCATATAGACGTAGCAATATTTTTGCTTTACGCCATTGTTGTCGTTACACTTCGTGATTTTGAAATGCTTGCCTTGCTTCAGCCAATAACTAAACACTGATCAACATATGTTTGATTTCTATGAAACAGCTACTAGTTTGCTGTGGCTAAATACTAGGTTCACAATTTGGGGTTGAGATTTAGGTTAGAACAATGGGGGCAGCAACACTTCTTAGATGCGGTGAGATCTCTCTAGCACTCAACATTAAGTTGCAAATTGCAGAAACCACACCCTTTCAGACAACAGTATTTTAACATTTCCGACAAGATGCTAAGAACAAACAAAGCTCAACTTGTTAACAGAAAGCTACCGTCCAACTTCCGTTGTACTTGACATCATGCTTCAAATTTCAAAAACTGAGTACCATTCCGGTCACAGGTTTTGCCATTTGCAACATGATACCAAGATCAACCAGAAACAGGAACTTCCAAGTTCACCTCAATATCTGCGCTTTCCGTTTCCGTATACATCGCTATGATCGCAAAGAACACTCAATCATCCACACTCTACACAACTGCACTGAACGAAATCAGGCATATACACTGGTGACGGAGACAATTAGAGTGAAGATCGATCACTCAACAGATTGACGAAACACTACCTCACCGGACAAATAACACAATAAACACTTTGAGACAAACCCACAACCGGATAGCTGCCCGTAATGAAAGCACACCACAAACCCATCCGCTATCACAAGACGAAAGAGAACTTCTGAGAAGAATGAACAACACAACTACGCAGCCAAGCCGCATACGAGCATGAGTCAGAGAAGGAGGCTCAGCAGCAGCGATAACCCACAAGAGCACATGTGTGGCACTGACGCAACAGCAAGAGATATATGCACTCCAAAGCAACCCAGGGAGTAACGGTGACCCTTCGACCAAGTCCAAGAGCATCTTGGCCAGTCTATGTTTCTAGAAGATGACTATTTCACATGGAATCTGCCCTGCGGAAACCTATACTTTGCCACGACGTATTTTCGGTGAGGTTGAATAAGTAGAATATACTTTGTAGTCGTGGCCAGATGACCAATGCGTGGAATCACTGACCACACTTTTCCAGGACCTTTCTACACGCAATCAGAGATGGAGATATTCAGAATTTTTGGGAGAGTGACGAGGAAACAAATAAATAAATAAATAAACTGTTTAAATATTATGACAGTATAATTAATTAAGGCCCGGAATCTTACCCGAATCCTGATCATATATTTGTGACAAGGACGTAGGGTAGCAAACTTGCACCGGAGGGCGTAAAAGTTCTTTCCGAAGCTGGCCGTAGATGGGTGTTTCTGAACTGTGCAAGGTTTGAAGTCAGTTGAGGGACATGAAGAGTAGCATCGTGTACCCTCTAAATTTATAGCGTTGTCAGAGGAATGATGGTAAATCAATGTGGCAGAAATATCCTAGAAAACAATCTTTCAACGATTGATGTGACTGCCTGTTGGAGATTGTCTACACTGATAGTACTGATGCTGGCTGCCACGATGCACATGTTCGTCATGTCCTGTGTCTGTTGTAAGGAAGTCAAGTGCATTCGTCAGCGTAGCTGCTGACGAAGAGGACACTTGAAAGGAATGGATGGGCTCACTCTTTATCCATTCCCATAAGAATAACTTAATCTAGATGTTTACTTTTCAGTGCCTGAAGCAATCAAACATCCAAAAAGCATTGGTAAGCGACAGAATTATTTTTCAACTGCTGTAACTATCATGACCAAGGCTAAGATAACAACTTTATTCCTTCAAAAACCTTCAGTTACAATACCTATGCTTTGTCAAATGCTCCAGATGCCAACACCACTCAGTTTTCTCATTAATACTAAGGCATGTGCCGCCAGTACAACCGTTAACATAATGTGAAACCTACAAAGAACTCATGGAATACAGATACATAAGGAAAACATACTAAAAGGAAAGCACAAAAATAGTGATACTTGACAAATCTTACAGTCAGTCTGGGCCATTTCTTAGAACTCCAGATACAAACACTTCAAACCTATCAATAAGGGGATTTACACCTCTACAAGTGGGGAACCTACAGGTGCTCCGAGCAGATGACCGCAGCCTCTAACGTGGAACTTCTCTACAACCCACATTGAACATAATCCGCAAAAATGACCAAGACTCTAACTATTCTGAGCTCAGAACCCTATGCTGGTAAAACTGTTCATGGCATTCTTTCACAATTGGTGGCCATGAGGTACTCTGAAACCCACCACAAGGGAATGTATACAACAGATATCCAGCTCTCCGTGCTAGATTGTAAAATCTGCACCTCACATCATCGACATGTTGTAACGAAAGCACTCATCACATCAATAGCCCTCGTCCTGAACCAATTTGGTCAATAAGACCGTAAAGAGTTCGTCTCTCTTCTGTGCACGGGCCTCGTCACGAATCCTCCTTTGTTCCTCACGCTCTCGCCACATTTGCTCTCTCGCTATCCGCTCCTGTTCCAGCTTCTCCATAGCGTCTCTCCACTCCTGCTCCCGCAACCGTCGCTCCTGCTCTCTCCTCTCCACCGATTCTCTCCATTGTTCCTCCACTTTCTGCTGCTGATGAAAAAAATCCTCCAGCACTTCCTGCATGCTGTTGGCACGATACTTCTCCGCTGTTACCCTAGGCCGATTGTTGTCCTTCTCGCCCTTCCTTTTCTTCCTCTGTACGACGCGGTCCTCTTCACTTTCCTCCTCATCATCATCATCCTCACTGTCATCGTCGTCATCACTTTTAGCTTTGCTCCTCTTGCCTTTCTTCTTGGCTCGAGGTCCTGACTCGTACTCCAGAAGAAGTCTGTCTGAGTTCTTGGCACGCTCTTTGAAGATGGCATCGAGTTCATCAAAGAAAGGGCACTGCCTGCCATTCTCGGGATCAGCAGGGTCCTTCCCCTGCGTGAACTGTATGTCACTAGGCAAAACTATGCATCAGTACCATAGTCGCAAGCATGTGTCCATTTCTTCAACAGCCGAGAGCATACAGCGAAGCAAATATTTCTCCATCGTAATACAATGACCAGATTTGAATAGGACAAAGAATCTGCGTCAAGACACACTCTGACACTGAGATGGTAGCCAAGCAGATGAATACAAGATAGACGATGGAGAAGTAGAACATGATGTAGACCAGACCTCATAATCAGGCTCAGACGTCTCCTTCCCCTGAAAAACAAACATGACCACACAATTGGTGAGGTACGTGGTGCAAAACCAAACTACTCACTCACAATCCTGTAAGTTCACAAGGCTAGATATTTTACTAAGATTAAGAATGCATATGAGATGAGAGACAGATGAGCTATTGCAAACAATAGAAAACCTGTTAAAACTCTCTTACAAAAAGTCATATTGATAGGGATATAGTAACACAGAACGGATAACCTAGTATTGAAAAAAAAAAAAAAAAAAAAAAAAAAAACCCAAATCTCATCATCGCGACAAAGCTTAACTGAAATTCTTGATAAATCAAAACCTATTTTCAATTGCCTGGAGGAAATATTCAAATACTATAACGCTAGCGATCGAAACAGTGCAAGCTGTAGCTTGTTCTGAATAAGGTAGCTTCCTACTCGTACGCTCTACCTACTATGAGCAGCATGGTATCAGGGGTAAGTGACAGTCCCTTGCTGCTTCCTTTAACAAATGTAGGAAATGTTCCAACTACGAAACAAGGCTGCGAAGAGGAATGCAATTGTGTATATGGTAAAGGATAAACTTATGAAAAAACGAAGTAGAGCCACACTGTTTCAAAATGAAGTGCAAACCAGTTGGAGAAAAAGAGTGACAATGGAAAGATTCGGGTGTTAAGTCCGCGTGTGCAATACACAGCAGTGCCTAGCCCAGATAAGTACCTTGTAACGGTTGACCAAGTTTTTCCACTTGCATTTGCATTGATCCGCACTCCTCCGGAACCCTTTCTCCTTCATTTTCCTCTCAATCAGCTCCCACAGGGCCTTGTTCCGCTTGGTTTGCGTGAAGTCCTTTTCCAACTCTGCCCGAATAGCGATGAACTCCTTGGTTTCGTGATATCCCCACTGAGGAATACGATCCTCCTTCTTCAGATTTCGGCCGCGGACCGGGGTGAGGGACCCCATATCAGGGTGGTTCATGTCATGCGTCACCTGGAGCGACATGGACATCGGCAGCGCGCCTAAACTCTCCCCCATCAAAACCGTCGGCCGAGCCTGGTACGCCAGCTTGACCAAATTTTCTCACACCCTCAGTTACAACAGTAACTACTTCCTTCACAGCGCTGCCGGATTCTTCTGCTTCTTCTCCTCTTTCTCTAACCCTCGCCACTTTGGAAACCTACTTTTTCAACCATCCACTGTATTCAACCTCCAGACCCCCTCCTCTCGCAGAGAAATTATCCACCAAAGCCACTTCCGTCTCTCTATAGACGATCGAAAACCCTAAATTATCTCAACCCTCTTTTTAATACATTATTTGCTTGTAACCACATCTGGATACCTCCAACCCCTACAACACGCACCTTTGGAATCACAGGAAAAACCAATTCCACGCTACAAACTCCGGAACCAGCATTCCTTTCACTTCCGCTACAAAAATACACCACACAGAAACCGCCTGTTCCAACAAATGTCCCTCGCCTGCCCAGAAACCAGATTATTTCCCAGATACTAAGTCACTACCGAACCTCGTGCTCAGCTCACTCTGCCCACCCTTGAAACCAAACCGGCGTACCAACGTTGACCCCCCTTTTCCGAGGCAATACACCTATCGAAACGTTTCGAAACGAAAACGGAGATACAATGCTGCAACATCCTACGAGCACCGAAAAAGCGACAATTTTGGTGGCATTTGGGACAAACGGCGGAAGACCACGCCGAGAGAAACCACCACCTCGCGAGCAGGGCTGCCAATCTTTCCTACTGTCTGGGTTGAGAACCGTATCACACCCAGATACCTTTGAGGCTAACCGGCTCGTGTGTAACCTCGGCAAAGAACCGCCATCCACCCTTGTATCTACGTGGCTATACCGGTGTCGGGTTACCTGGGTGTGTAATCTCCTTATACCAGGGTAAATACCGAGTGTATGTCGGGAATATTAATGTTACCTGGGCTACGATCTCCTCTATGCCGGGTATCTCATCTGTTGGTAGAATTTCAATATTGTATTTAGTGTTACGAACAAACATATTGATCCAAAATATTAGTATCCATCTTTGGGTCTTCCTTCCTTTACTAAAATAAGATTGATCACTTTTCTGTACTTTGATGTATTCTTTTCGGAAAAAAGTATATATACACTTCATTACATGAATGGTTTATGAAATTTCATGCAAAAATAAACATTTAAAATTCAATTGCTGAGTAAAATCATACGAAGTATTATGTTCTATGGATTTTTTTTTTCTTTTTTTTTTTCTTTTTTTTTATCTTGTTTATTTAGTGAGTTCAATACTATTGGCTTTTACTACAAAATCAAAATTTTAATGTAAGATGGATGCAGATTCTATTCAATCGTGTGCATGTCAATCTTCCCTTCCTCACAGGTTTTGTTTCATGCAGAAGATTCTATACAAAATAACATCAAGTAAACAAACAATAAATTCATAATTGTCTTATATATGTGTTACATGTGAATGTATCTATGCATCCATTACTTAACACAAATTTTAAAAAACCTAATTAACAAAATAATCAAAATCAAAATCAATCAGGCTTTGTATATGACATATCAAAATTAAGCAGGTTTTTAAAATCTTACTTATATCCTCATATGCTTAATTACAAGTATCAAATTTAGTATGTAGCATACATATACTTTGTATGTGAGTTTAGTTTAAATAATACCTTTTGGCATTAATTGATAATAATGTTAGTTAAACCATCTCCTTGAAATAGTGAGGTGACAATATATATATATATATATATATATATATATATATATATATTATTTATAGGAAACATGAGGTGATACATAAAACATGGTATGAAACATTTCATGCGTTAATTTGGATACTTAGCCAAATTCGAAAGATGGATGAAAACCACGTACGAGGGACGAAGATCAAAAATCCACAGCGATTACTCATTCGTCAGTGATGGTGCCATCGACGTCATGTGACCGTGTGAACAGGGCTATTAAACAACCGCTTAGGGTTTAGGCTTTCCTTTACACCTTCCTTGTATTTTTCCAGCAGGAGCCCTAATCCTTGCTATTCCTCTGGGCCTCTGCCTCTGTCTTGGCCATAGGCTGAGCTGAATTCCGAGGAGCGGTTGCGTTCGTCGTTAGGTGTATTTCGCAGGCAACTCCTGGTCTGGAGAGGAGTATATATCAGCTCAGTGGCTTTTCTCAGTCTTCAATCTTTGGTAGTTAGGTCCGTGTGTGGAGTAGCGGCACAGAATTTGTATGAATTCATTGAGAATTGGCTGGTGATTACGAAATTGTAGGTTGCGGTTATTGTTGTGGCCATGGCGGCCGATATGTTTACCGTTTCCCACACGGTAGGGCGGGTACTATGTTGTATGTGCGGAGTAACAATGGCGCCGAACGCAGCCAACATGTGCGTCACCTGCTTGCGTTCGCAGGTGGATATCACAGAAGGCTTGCAAAAGCTCGTCACCGTGCTGTACTGCCCTGAGTGCGGCCGATACCTCCAGCCTCCCCGGACGTGGGTGAAAGCGGAGCTTGAGTCGAAGGAGCTGCTCACGTTTTGCATCAAAAGGTTGAAGAATATTAATAAGGTGCGGCTGGTTGACGCGGGATTCATATGGACTGAGCCTCACTCGAAGCGGCTCAAGGTGAGGCTGAAAATTCAGAAAGAGGTCATCAACGGAGCAATTCTTGAGCAGGCGTACGTAGTGGAGTACACGGTGGAGGATCACATGTGCGAGAAGTGTTCGCGCGTGGCAGCGAATCCCGATCAGTGGATCGCTTGTGTGCAAGTGAGGCAAAAGGTTGAGCATAAGAGGACTTTCTTCTTTCTGGAGCAGCTCATCATCAAACATGGAGCGGCTGCAGCTGCAGTTAACATTAAGCAGATACACGATGGGATGGATTTTTACTTTGCAAATAAGAGTCACGGCTTGAAACTTCTCGATTTCCTATCAAATGTTGTTCCCGTCAGGAGCAGACATGACAAGCAGCTGGTTTCACACGACACAAAGTCCAACACTTACAACTACAGGTTTACCATGTCCGTAGAGATTTGCCCAGTGTGCAAGGATGACCTGATATGTTTGCCCCAGAAGGTTGCGGCTGGTCTGGGCAATATCGGTCCTCTGGTTCTGTGCGCACAGGTCTCAAACAGTTTGTTGCTGCTCGATCCTCAGACCTTGCGGACCGCGTATATGGATGCCAATCAGTATTGGAGGACTGGATTTACGTCGGGATTTAGGTCTCTTCTTAACGCCAGGCAACTTGTAGAGTACGTCGTTTTGGACATCGAAACAGATCCTAGTGCATCTTCTCGTGCTTCGAAATACGTACTGGCAGACGTGCAGGTAGCGAGGAAGTCTGATTTTGGGAAGAACGACATAACTTTTATGGCACGTACGCATCTTGGCCACCTATTGAATGTTGGGGATTTTGCCTTGGGTTACGATGTCTACGCAGCTAACACTAATGATCCAGAATTAGAGAAATATCGCAATTTATCACTTCCAGATGTAGTTCTCGTGAAGAAGAGCTATGAGGAGAAGCGGGCTAAGAGACGTGGAAAGCCAAGACCATGGAAGCTGAAGGCATTGGACATGGAGATTGACCCCAGCGCTCTCAGGCAAGACCAGGATAAGGCAGCCAAAGAATATGAAAGGTTTTTGGAAGAAATTGAGGAGGATCCAGAGATGCGCGCGAAGATCGCCTTGTACCGGGATGCTAACTACAGGCCGCAATCTGAAACTGCGTCTATGATAGATGGAGATGGCGATGAGCCTCCAACTGTGCCGCTGGAGGAGTTGTTAGCAGATCTACGGATCGACCATGAAAGGGACGAGTCTGAAGCTGCCGATGATGTGGAGATGGAAGAAGACTAGCCTTTGCAGGTACTTGTATTGGACCTGGGAGGTACACACACCAATTCAATCACGATGAATCTGTTCGGTCTCAGGTATTCCCATATAGTGGGTATGATTGAAATGCGCTGTCCATCGTAGAAGTCCCTTGTGAAAGCATATATGCAGTGTGCTGTTGTTTTCTGCAAAGCTTGCGCAGTTTCGCATGTGATCAAATCAACCTGGGACCGTAAGATTGTGGACCGAAGTTTTGACAGACATTCTCAATCGCTGCACTAAATTCAAGTGGAACGGTATTTAGGATTTAGTATGTTATCAATTGTCCTCAAGGTGTATGTAGTGGGAATGTTTTTTCTGGAAGATGGTTCTTTATTACAATAGCGGTTTTCTTTTCCACCGCTTTTGCAGCAGGAATTGTTGTACATGTAGAGTGTCAAAATCTGCAAGAACGGTCAATATTGGATTGTTTTAAGACCTTTCAAAAGAGTAAATGGCTGAAGTCTGCGTTGTTCCCATTGACAATAATTACTATCTCCATTATATTACTCTTATTACAATAATTTTCTTATATTATTGGGATGCATGCTCTCCGGAAAGGAAGGAAACCAAATGCCTTTGTGGGCTGTGTCATCACATATGTATGTTCTTATTCTGACGGTTTTTTTGTTGACTGAAGTTTGTCCGTTGGTTTGCTTGCTGTTTCAAATGCAAGAGCCAAATAACGAAGTCCTTGAAATGACACGACAACAGATGAAAATCAAACTAAAGAAGAAAATAGAATTTCAAAGTAAAAAGTAGTTCAAGAAATTTGTAACTGAAAAAATAAAATAAAATAAAGGAAAAAAAAAGAAAGAAAAAAGCAGAAAGTTTAGGAGGAATCTTCTCCTTATTTTAATTTATTCTCAAATATATTTCATTATGTGGTAGGCCATAGTCCCTTTATTTTTACTTAGCTTATTGTCTTGTTTAATTGTTTTATAGTTGCATCTTCTATATGAACCTATCTTCTATTGTGTTGTTTAATTGTTTAGTATTATATTTTAAACTAGTTGAACTATTGTATTGTTCAATTGTCTAGTATTATATTTTAAATTAGTTGAACTTGTGCTATTGTCATAGAATTAGTTTACTTAGAGATAAAAACAACAAAAAGATGTCTCCTTATATAGTAGCTTGCATGCATAAGGAATACATATTTAACAATGTTGGAGAACAATTTTAGCAAGGTGAATATAAACTCTCACAAAAGACTCACTTCCTTTCAAATCATTTCCAAGTTGGTGAATTGTTATATATGTGGTAAGTATTGTCTCTAATAGATCCAACCTTAGTCTCTCCACGTCCTTCAAAATCTCACTATTCTCATCAATTTCGACTATCCTCTCCAACCATAAACCCCCAACCTACATCCCAATGTATCCATCATCTACATCTTCTACTTCACATGTACCCAACATATCCGGACCACCACTCAATATACTCTCCCCCCTCCCACCTATGCCCTTGAATTCACATGCAAAAAGCTTAAGGCAGTTTTTATGGTGGGGCCCAATTTTTTAAAAGAGAGATTATCTTGGTGGGGCCTACTATTAAAAATATTCTTAAAAATTCCAAGAATAGTTGAACAAAGTATAAATAGGATTAGCTGAGGCCATTTAGACATTTAGTTAAAGATAACTTCAGACTCTTTATTTTAATAAAGTTTGATTTCTTTTTTTTCTTTTGTTCTGTTTGGTTCTATTCTCTTTTATTCAGTCCTGTCTTTCATATTCCATTCTATTTAGTTACTTTTAGTTTTGTTCTGGTATACTTGATCTTATGTTGTGTTGAGATCTTTGTTGTTATGAAATTGGTAAGGTTTTAGATTTTAGAGAATCTAGTCCTATTTCAACATATGTCTCTACATTCAACACCCACCACCACTACTTAAAGCACCACCTACCACTTCAAATAATAATTCAACATTCAAACTTATGGCATGATTACTTACATTCTCTCTGTCTTCTCTTGATTTCTTTTTGGTCTTTCTTCAATTTATGGGCCAAGTTGGATAACATTGAATACCTCATTTAGAAAAACAAACATAATTGATACTCTATTAAGTTTAGGTCAACACCTGGATAGGAGATAGGGCAAGAAGAAATCCATTAGTTATAGAAGTGGAAGTGAATCATATATGTTGTTAAGGCATTGTGAATCTATAAACTGAGTTTTGTTGGGGTCTTGTGAATCATTACATAATTTAGCTTTTTCTTTAATTTTGATGAAAAGAATGAGAGATGTTGCCAATCAAAGATCAACTTTGTCTCTTTTGATTTATCTTATTGGTTTATCCCCCCCTTGAATGTTTTTTATATATAAAATTGGACTAAATAATAATTTTGAATATGGCAATGAATGATTTATTTTTGATTTTATAAAATTATTAAAAAATTAAATTATATATTTATAGGTACTTTTATCCACTTATGTTTTTTTTTTTTTTTTTTTTTTTTTAAAATAAAATAGTCTTACAAATTATTAGATAAAGCATTCAAAAGTTTTTTGAAGGTTATTAATTATTAATTAAGTTATAAGTTGGATGATGTTTTAAATTTTACTTATTATCAATGTCTACATTCACCAATTATTTACATTTATTATATAAATAAAATAAAATAAATATTTTTTATTTAAAATTTAACCATATTTTATTTTTTCTATAAATATATGGAGCTTAAATGTAAAACAATATACATAAGTTGCTATACATTTTTTTAATTTTTTTTCATATGTATCTATGAATAACTCTGTAGAATTAACAAAATATTTTCAAATCATCATCAAATAATTTTAATCAACTTATCATGATTAAAATGCTCTCAATCACCAAGTGTTTGAAAAAATCCCAATATCAAAATTTCAAACCTCTATGCCTTTTCACTTTCTCACACAAGAAACCAACACTCCAAACTTTTTAACATCAATTTGTATCCAAGGAAACAATGAACGCTACATATTTCACCACCCACAAATTCTCACTGCCGTGCAAAAGAAATATACAACGAAAACTGATTGACACATAAAAATTGCACTCATCAAACACTCGTGTCCCCAAAATCTGCACTATCATACAACAACAAAAACGACGAGTAGTAGGAAACCCAATTATAAATGAAGGTACAGGAAGCGAGAAAAGGGTGAAGAGAATTAAAAGGACAATGCATGAACAACAACTGGTGAGTGCATTTAGGTAAACCCGGTTCGCCGCCAGCACACTGACGCGCGCTAGCGGCACAGCCGCGAGTAGCCTGGTCCACAGCGTCGGTGACGCCGAGTGACGACGGCACCACCCATCGAAACTGCATCGTCGTCGTCGTCGACCTCACAAAACTATCTCCGTTCTCAAATATCTACAACCGCGAATTGCACCCAAAAATTCAGCAGCGAGTGGTGCGAAGATGGAAAATCCACAACAGTGGAGACATTATTCCAATATCTTCGTCGTTGTCACTTACCTCGGCAATCATCTGCATGACAGCCGCCCACGTCGGACCGGATTGCGTCACCACGGCGTTGGCGAGCTCGACAAATACCAAGCTCATCCTCACCTTGCAGTGTTAGTCAGTCAATCTTGTTGCTTGCTTGTCTCCTCTCGCTTCGGCGTTTGTTCTCCGGTAGCTTGTGCGCAATTCTTCGTTGCCCTCGCAGAAAGGACTGGGTCTGAGAAAGTGACGGGAGTATAGTGAGGATTGGAGTCGAAACGCGAGAGGTTTGTTTGCAGCTATGGCGACGCTTCAAGCTGCTGTTGCGCCCTCGGCTGCTTCCTTCGCTTCTAGCACTCGCGCCGTAGTCCCGAATGGAGAGTGTGTCTCTGCATTGGCGCCTCGGGGCAGTCAGTGCTCACGAGGCTTGGGTCGCGCTGCTTCGAGCGGGCGCAGCATTTCGTTGAAGTCGTTCGATGGCCTGCGAGGGTTGAATGGCGGAGGCTTGGTGTCCGCTGTGGAGGCCCTGAGGAGTGAGAGGAGTGTTGTGGAGGAAGGAGTGGGATACCAGCCGCTTCGAGTTTATGCTGCGAGAGGGAGTAAGAAGATTGAGGGGCGTAAGCTGCGAGTGGCGGTCGTGGGAGGTGGTCCAGCGGGCGGGTGCGCCGCGGAGACGCTTGCCATGGGCGGAATCGAGACGTTTTTGATTGAGCGGAAGTTGGATAATGCGAAGCCGTGCGGGGGAGCGATTCCGTTGTGCATGGTGGGAGAATTTGATTTGCCTCCCGAGATCATTGACCGCAAAGTGACGAAGATGAAAATGATTTCTCCCTCCAATGTCGCGGTGGATGTGGGCAAGACGTTGAACGATGATGAGTACATTGGCATGGTGAGGCGTGAGGTGTTGGACTCTTTCCTCCGGGAGAGAGCCCAGAAGAACGGGGCTACTATCATCAATGGACTTTTTCTGAGGATGGAAGTGCCGAAGGATAATGACAGCCCTTACAAACTCCACTACACCAATTTCGACGGCTCGTCAAAGGTTGGGACACCAGCTGTGTTAGAGGTGGACGCTGTGATTGGAGCCGACGGTGCGAACAGCAGGGTAGCAAAGGACATTGACGCTGGGGAGTATGATTATGCCATTGCGTTTCAAGAGAGAATCAAAATTCCGGCGGATAAGATGGAGTACTATGAGAACTTAGCAGAGATGTATGTGGGCGACGACGTGTCACCGGATTTCTACGGGTGGGTGTTTCCGAAATGCGATCACGTTGCCGTGGGGACAGGAACGGTCATCAACAAGCCCTCTATCAAGAAGTATCAGACCGCGACGAGGAACCGTGCTAAGGATAAGATTGCCGGAGGGAAGATCATTAGGGTGGAGGCACATCCTATTCCAGAGCACCCGAGACCTCGCAGGGTGAGCAGCCGAGTGGCATTGGTCGGAGATGCGGCAGGGTACGTAACGAAGTGCTCCGGAGAGGGCATCTACTTCGCAGCCAAGTCCGGGCGCATGTGCGCGGAGGCCATAGTGGAGGGATCAGCAAATGGAACGCGCATGGTGGATGAGTCGGATTTGAGAGTGTACTTGGACAAGTGGGACAAGAAGTACTGGGCGACTTACAAGGTGTTGGACATTCTGCAGAAGGTATTCTACAGGTCGAACCCAGCGCGGGAGGCATTCGTGGAGATGTGCGCGGATGATTACGTGCAGAAGATGACATTTGACAGCTACCTGTACAAAGTGGTGGTGCCTGGAAATCCTTTGGACGATATCAAGCTGGCGGTCAACACGATCGGCAGCCTCATCAGAGCCAATGCGTTGCGCAAAGAGTCTGAGAAGATGACAGTCTGAGTGTCTTGAGTTTCGATTAGTCGGCAGTGGGCAGACCACGCAAGAATGTAACATTTGTAGGAGTATTTTATCTTCGACTACTGCGGGCACGATCCTGCAACCAGTGCTGAGATGATTGTCGCTGGAGAGCAGCATCCGAATACGTGTAAAGAGTTAAATATTAACCAGGAAGGGAAGGCATTCGTGAGAAGTAGGGACGCATTTTGGTCATTTCAATCGGCTTACTTCAAGCTATATAATATAAGCTGCCATGAGCTTCTGATTCCTTGAAAGCTGAATTTCACATGTCATTTCATCGTGCCTGCTCGCTCCTTTGCTTGTATGTTTTTGCTTGTATTTACCGAACTTTTTGCTGTTGTTAGTATTGTGAAGTCGAAGACCATCAGTAATTCGTCACTGGAGTATTATGAGCATGTCTACTTATGTTGCCCAGGAGAGAAGGCGAACAATCGATAGGTTGCTAACATTCTTGGTCATTGTTCCGGAAATCCACGAACTCTTGTTCCAAAACAAGTTGTCACGCCTATATTATTCTAGCAAAACGTCTACTTATTATTAGTCTGGCACTGCTATTACCTCCGTGCAATCACCTCTCACCTAACGTAGATAGGTTGTATTCATTTATGGGCTAGGGGAAACTTATCGTCGTATTGCTAATTATTGATTTAGATTGGCAGATCTGTCTCAAATCATGCATCTGATGCCGCATTTCTTTGCTTAGAATAGACATGGGTATTCATTTGGATTTGTATAATCTGACAAGGAGGCTACAATGGATTGTGAAGTTCAGCATTGTCATGGTGACCTGTCGGAAAAATGCACAAGTTTTTATTATAAGTATCGGTGTCACTTCTCATGGAAAGGACATCGTGCTCTCTCTTTTCACCTTCTTTCTACCCACTTTTCTCTCTCCTTTTCTTTTCATTACGTGCATCTGCGTGTTCGCGAAATTGAGTCGTTTGTTGCACAAATTGCTGCAGAGTTAGCCCTGCCAATGCATAATTGCTTCAGGTTTGCATTTGTGCATCTGATTCCCTTTCGACCACTCCATTGAGCGTCTTTTCATTGCGAATTTTCTTTGAAGAACATTGTTTTCAGTGTTGATCTATAAAAATTACCAACACACTTCAGGCTTTAGTTTTGTGCTGAGAATTGTTTCTATCCTTTCTCTCCAGTCGTCTATTCCTTTCCGTCACCTTCAATTCTTTTTCTTCTCTCATTGTTCTTGTTTGCGTCACGCAGCTTTGATTGTGCAGATTGTCGCTGAGCAGTTGCCATTACATAGGAGTTTTCTGCTCCTCTTCAAGGTAATTGGTCCTTGAGTCAATTCCTAATTTCTTGGTGTGTAATTATCTGCTTAGATTCCGCAACTAGATTATTTAGTCGCGTCTTCGAGTTGCAGTAGGCCTTGATTTGAATGAAGTATTTTCAAGGAAATACTTTGTTGTCTGCCGAGTATCTATCCAACATATAAACATTTTCAAGTTAAGTTAAAACAGTACTTTATAGCTGAACAACTTTGCAAGTTTTCGTGCTTGTGACTTTTAGTTGGCAATCTCGACTCCTTCAGAGAACTATTGCTGATACCCTTCCCGAATGTATTGCTCTTGTGAGCGTGGATGCTCCTTAACGCACTTAACTTAAAGTGAAGAATGGAGCATCTTCTTGCACAAGATGCACGTATTTTTCGAACTTGTCAATCAAGTCTGGCCCGACCATGAAATTTATATTTTTAGTTGAACGATTTCACTCTGCATGTGAAGACCTGATTTTCCCTCAAACTATTTTACCGTACGCATTATTTTGTGCTGTGATCCTTTGGATTCTTGATAACCGAACTTTACCAGACTTTTCTTTCTTTTGGCCGGGGGGGGGGGGGAGATTGAGCATCGGTGATGTTTGCCTTTGCGCGCTTCGCGATGGATCGGGAGCTGCGCTGTTAAGGAATATAAAGACTCTTAATGTTCACATTGTTCGCTCTCATCTTTCAGTTAGAGATTTCGTCTTTACAGGATCATTACGTACTGTTGTGGCGCTTTGCCACATTGTCTTTGTCAATCCTTCTAATTGCTATTCTGAACTTGAATACGTTGACGGGACTGTTCATGCGTTTTCTTAACCGTGGATAATTTGGCTATTCTTGCACAAAATGTACCCACTGTGTTTCTTCTTCGATCTTTTTTGTGTTAGTAAAGCCAAATATTAAATATCATGTCCCAAGTCAAAGATGACTTTTGCTGCAATTTCTTTGGACCCTTCATATGTTTGGGTTCTATAATTGCTGATCCGATGGTTCATTTTAGTTAATGAGGAGCATACCTACCTAGGTGCAAGTCATGCTATTGATCAATAATTGAGGGCAGAGTAGCGGATACTCTTTAAGAATGTGAATTATTTACCCTCAGAACTTGAAAACCTTTGCATTGAAGTCAGCATGGAGAATCGTTCGAGAGCACCAAAGAGACGGACGATAGAAGTGGCAGTTGTTCCACATCAAGGTCAGCATCACATGAATGAAGATGACAAAAGGCGTAAAGTCACAATTAGTTCAATCATCAACTTAGTTCCAAATCCGAAAGAATTGTTGGATGTGCGAGTTTTCATGCCAAATAGGACACATATAGATTTTCAAATGCAAAGAGGACAAATATTCGGAATCCGCATTCGAAGTTTAGTAGAGCGCATTCAAATGGAGGTTAGAAAACAAGAGGACAAGTTCTCAAGGCCGAAACAGAGGTCCATTTGTTGGGGCTCTCACTTGACAATTGAAGATTTCGAGGGCAATATAATCGATGATAAAAACTCAACTCATCTCATAAAAGAATCTAGGCGGTCCGTGCTCCTCATGCTTCAGGTTTTTTTTTTACTCACTCGATCTGGTTGGCTTTATTCAATACCGTCACAATATACTGTGGTTTCTGTAATGAACGATAACTTGTGCTGTGAACATAGTTTTGCAACTTGTGATATGGCTCACTATTATTCTTTACTGGAAATTGTGATGGAGACAGGACGGCCATCCCGATTCCAAACATGCGTATCCGGTAAGTTTTACATTGATCGATTTTATTTCAATGAAAAGTCCGCATATCGCTTCTGACTTCAGTTTTCCACTTTAGTTACAAGAGAGAACAGTGAAAATCTTTGGGCTTTTGACATTTGAAGGACTTATGGAACGTGACGCCCGAAGCACACGTACTTGAAGTATTGCCTCAGGAGTACACATTATTCAGTGCTCTCGCCGATGAAATCGTGAGTGCATCACTGTGAAGCAAGTCTAAAATGTAAACGTCTCGATATTTTAATACGAAGATGATTACAGTGGCAATGCTCCTTGTTGCAGTGCATTTCGCCTTTAACTTTGTACGTTAAATATTATTTTCTGCTGCATCTGTTACCCCACTTTGTTGTGAGGACCTTACATGACAGTAGCCTTGACGAACAGGATAACAGCCTTCAAGCTGTATGGGCTCTAGAGAAGGGTAAAAGGCGTCTAATCAGGTAGTTTAATCCTACGACGAATTTCATGTCTTAGCCGAATTCAAACTCTTATACTTTGACGTTCAGATAGCTTCAAAATGAAATGCCGGATTTGGTGATGATCAGTTGCATTAGTAATTTGGAAGAAAATCTAAAAACACCACCTTTAGAAGAACGTGCACTATGAAGTGCACTCGAGCTCACTTAAAAGCAGTAAACGTTGTGCAGTGTGACTCTGGAGGAAAAGAAGATAACCATCTTTGACACAGGCGAAGGCATGGACAGTAGCCCCAAACATTCAATTGCAAAGTGGTGCGTCCTTCAATCCTCTCATGACAAAATAGCACTATTGTCTCTTATTTTCTGAAACCCTGAGCATCAGAAGCAGTCCTCAAAGGTGTAAAACTGCTATTTTGCAAGCTTAGGGGCACATTGGGCAGCTCTTCTAGCCGGTGTTCAGTACAGAAAGGGGTTGGAGGAGAACCACCATATCTCAAGGTAGAGAATTTTCACAAATAACATTGTGAAATCTCATGGTTATAGAGCTGGTTTGCATTTCTAGAAGAAGAGCCGAAGAATACTAATCGTTTGTTTCGTCCAATTTCACTGGCGTTTGCCAAAATACAGCCATACTTTGGGATGTACGGATTCGGAGGGATTGGAGCAGGCCTTCATCTTGGAGGGTGGGTGATTTCATCCTTTCGCATGCACACTTCTGTGCCTGATATTACAGTTAGAAGTTACAATTTGAGGTACTAAGAGATCCGTGGTTAGAAAACTTCATGAATTGTAAGGAAAATTGAAAAATTGAGAAATTTTCTTGCTCACATTCTACGGTTTGACATCTCCATTTTACAGGAGCATAACGGTTTCCTCAAAGACTGCACGTTCACGAATAGTGGCTGTGCTACACTTACGTGGAGAATCGCTTAAGAATGAAGTCGAATCGGGTAGCATATGGAAGGTGAATGTTGTTCCGTAAAAATTGCCTTTAGTATCATCCTACGCACATGAATTGTTACGTGCAGTGTGTGTAGTAATGTTCTTGTAGTGTCTCTGATTGCTTTCAAATACTTTGCAGACTCCTGGAGAGATTAGAAAACCAACAGAAGAGGAGCTTGGTTTGTCTGCTCATGGAAGCTTCACCAAGGTAGCGAGTGTGGCCTTGTGGTCTTTCAAGAACTTTCTATTAGTTTTTGATTGACAACTTAGTTGTTCATGCATTGTCTTTGGTTTTTGGTTGGCAGTATTACAACATGTATGATAGATCCTTTTTTGCTCGAGCAGGTAGAGATCTCAGACCTAAATTGTACAGCATCAAAGTGGAAAGTTGCTGATGTGCAGCGTAAACTGAAAGACTTCTACACCCCATACATTCAGGTATTACTTCCCCTTACAAACTAATTTCTATTACAATATAGAGATGCTGATTCACATTTCAATGTCCATGTTTGTGTTGTACAATAATTTCTGCTATATTGCCCTCTCAAAAATCTTTTATTGAATGACCTTCGTGACTCCTTGTTTCTGTTGCATGTCCATGTGTATTGTGCAGAATGATGAAAGCACTGGGTCGTCCAGCATCACAACAAGACCTGTAGAAATACTGGTTAATGGAATGGATTTAGCAGAAGTTCTTGGTGGCGAGGTCACCACAACAAACAGATTTACAGGAGTTGGAGATCCTTACGTGCTGCTTCTCGAGTTTTCCAAGGGGCCAGCACAAATAAAAAATTCAGGTTCACTATAATTTTACTTGGGACGATCAGTAAATTTAACATCCTATTGGCTGTGATAAGTTCTGGTTATTGATCTTGGCTAATTCCCAACAATCTTCTCATTATGCTTGAAATTGAATCAGGGGTTTTAAGATGGTGTTAATTTTCCTCAAATGCAGAGAGAGAGAAATTTGGATCGGAGAGGGCAAATGCTCGAATAACCTGTCATTACTTCCCTATCAATAAGGTGCGAACTGTTTAAACGATATTTGTAATTATTAGAATGCAATCTCTACGCTCATCAAATACTTGGGCATTCACATTCTCCTAGAAAACAGGTCCAGGATGTTTAAGCATACATATTCTCCTGCACTATTGGACATGACAGCTACTGGTGTTTTATGGCTTGTAACAATGCATGTGTAGGGAAAGGAGTCCCTTGAGCAAGTACTTGAAGTCCTTAGAGTTGAAGATCCAGAGAACTTTGCAGAAGAAACCTTTGACGGATTCTCAAGAGTTGCTATCCGGCGACTCGGGAGGTTGCTTCCAGATGCTCGCACGGTAAAGTTTCAGCTCTTTGAGTTTCTTATGCTGATCTGGCATTATTAATTCTTCATTAAGATAGCTATCACTATGACGGAATTATCAAACGTCATCTCTGGAATATGAACACGACTCCGTTTCTGTGAAGATTGTCTCATGGAAAGTTTCTGGATAGCAGAAACGGATTCCCTTCATGGACCGAAGGAAAGGGCCACGAGTCAATGACTTGAGCAAAGAGGCCTTCAAGAGGGTGAAGGCCTTCATAGGTGAGTTAGCGATTCATAGGAATATTGCAATTTTGACTTGATTGTCATACAAGTTTCGACATCATATCCACTGTGAGTCCCAGTATCACCTGGGAAATACTAGTCTTGGTTTTAACGTTGTAACGAATTTGCTTATATACATGCACATATAGTTGCAAAGTGGCAACAAGTTCTCTGGGAATTTGTAACGGAAGGTGAATACTGTCTTTCACAGATCTTGATGCAGGATTTGTGCCCACACAATCCAAAGTGAGTGATACTTGAACACTCCTTTGTTGAGGACATTTCTTTTTGATTGGTTTTTAATCACAATTTAAATCCATAATTTATAGTTGCAATTCATAAAATGGGAGAATTTTTTTAGTACATAGATTAAAAGAGATACATTTGCTAATTAGTGGAATCTGTTGCGCGATTTTCACTCTAATCATTTGGATTCCCTTCATGGAATAACCTTCGTAGATGAATGATCTAGAAGATTACAAAATTGTAGTCGGTCATTATTCCTAGTTCACTTTTACTTGTGTTTCTTGTTGTGTCAAATGAACAAAGCGGTATCAACAGAAATATCTGAGAACTGCCAAGACAGTCTGATGATTGGGCCGTTTGGGGTGCAGATGGATCTGTTAGTAAATGCAAAACAAACGTTCACTGAGGCTCTCTTGAACCTTGGTGATCCAGCATCAACCACCAAGTCCCTGAAAGCAAGAGGTATTGGGGAATGTTTGCAATATTCCTCTCAATTGAATCGACTCATGGGTTGAACGTGTCAATGACGCAGTCTCTAATACTATTTGCATTCGCCTTTCCAGATAGTCAACATAGAGAGTTTGCAATCAATGCCTGTTCTGAAAGCAGCGCAGCTTTCATAACATATAAAATTTGCTACTGTGAGGATTCGACTCTTCGTCAGATTCTATTTCTTCATCTTTCAAAATAAGTGCACAAGTTTACACACATATTCATTTATTCCTCAGGTGGTGTATCCGTTGTGGTGAAGGCAAAGAAAAGCGCTGCAGAAGATTTTGAGACGATTCAGCTGGACCAACTGCGATCTCACTATGCAGACTGGGTTCAAAGAATGCATAGGCAGTTTGACGTTGGGGCCACATTTGATGAAAATTCATCAAACTTCATCATTACCAGTGATGAGCATAGGAAAGAGCCGTTGAATATCACGAGCGACGGTACCAATTTTTTTCTGAATCACTCTTTGTTGTGTTCCTGTCCCAATTGTAGAGAAACATCATACTCAGGACTATCCCAATTAGTTATCATTCTCACAACCACTTAGGACTTGCAGTAAACATTGATGTGAATCCCACCCCTTCATTGTTTATTTTAAAATATCATTATTTTTTGAGGAATCTTATGGTTTACTACAGCTTTACTAAAACATCTCACGGGCATTTTTGCAGCTTTCCTGGTTCAGTATGACATTAAGTGCAGGGACATTAAGTGGGTGTTGGGTGGTAAGAGACAGCGTCCAGTCCGATTGAAGCTTCGGAAGGGGTTGCCGGGACTAAATGGCGAGTATCAAACTTATGTTACCGTGGAGTGCATCATTCGTAATGATTATCCAGAAAATCCAAAATCTCCGGGTAAGAGAATCCGTTGCTTAGTCTCATGATTCACATAGAAACACGGCATGGTGACGTAACAAATCTACGCTATTAGAATTCTCTAAGATTCTGAACATTTTTTTATTTTTTATTTTTTTTATTTCATTTTATAGCTGTCTAATGGCTCTCCTGTTGTTTCCTGACATGTGTAAACACATTAAAATCGGTCTGCAGGTGACACGAAATTAATTTGCAGGTATAAACCTTCTCTGGACCAGGACATTAACTGTTCGGTTTCGACGAATTTGACTGTTTAACGTAAAATCAATTTGGTCTCAAATCTTCCATGGATCTTTAGCCAGTTAATCTCTTTTCGGATAGATATGGTACTTCAGGATGATTAGTTTTCGAAACCTGTGGTATAGGCCTATTGATGTTCCTCCAGAGATGGGAAGCAAACTTATTCGGGGACATGAACTGAACTTCATTCTCGGGAAATCTCGAGTATTCCCAATCGACATCCTGTTCTGCACAGAAAAGGTATCTTGAACATGTGGACATTCTATCTACTGATCATAGGATTATTATGTCTGAGTTCCTTTATCAAAGTCGAAAATGGCCTCGGTGTCAAGTGGTAGCTGTTTAGCAATCCCTACGAATCTATACGAGAGATTGTAACAATCTTCCTGGAGGAGTTCAATCTAATGTGTGTTACATCCTCACCAGTTTGAAGACATAAGCGAAAATGAACCACTGTGGCAGAAGCAGTTGAGGAAATTGCAGGACTCATCACCGTCTCATGTCGAGCTTTTAAGTGAAGTCGAAGCTCTTAGATTCGACACTGAAGGGGTAAGGATGGGAGCGATCTTAGACTCATATTCGGTTCGCGTTTGTCTGTAGTCATGCCGCCACATAATATCTGAATTTGAATCTTAATAAATTTCAATAGGAAGTCCAATTTGATGTGGTGCATATTCTGAGGATTGGCCAGGAAATTGTAGACAACTGTCTCCTTCGAGCTGGTGAAAGCCTACCACTGGAGGTCATTGCCGTTGTGAGACCAAGGATGAGTAAAGTAGCTTTGCAAAAAGGGATGAATTCCGGGAAGAGCATCTCTGGCTCTCGAACTGATCAGAAATCCATTGTAGCCAGATCTTCAGAGATGGTACTGATAGTTACGGAACTGAAGTTCCGGCCCCCAGGTGAACGTGTTCCTCCTACAGAAAAGGGCAAAGAAGTTTACATCTCTCCTCGTTCCATTAAAGCAACCACCTGTTGCAATGTAAGTGGATTGTATAGATTCAAACCAAGTCAGGTATCCGATCTGATCATGAAGAAGACAGGCACATACATGCTCACTCTTAAAATTGTAAGATCCTTTCGACCTCGCCATCTCTCTTCATACATTCTTCCACATGTAGACATGGTATTACCTACGTGTCTTTGATCCAAAGTATCATACATCTTCTGCTGTGTCACCCCCTCATTAGTGCTACTGTATCTGGATTACTTGGTTGCTGTTAGCTTGGAGAAGATTTTAAGGATACCAAGCCCTTGGTAATCCGGGTCAATGTAGCGGCATCTGAGAAAGGAGACTGCTGGAGGGTATGTAACCATGCAGGGGACTGCAACACAGCGCACCCAGGACTTAAATCTCCCAACTTGTGGGGAAGGTGCTTGACATTTCTATCTACTCTCGGAATGAATTTCAATTTTTGTGTGCATTTTTGTAGTCGATTTTGTAACTGATACGGCTCTGAATATGGCCTTTACAAAAGGCTCGGCGAAGCGCTCAATTGGGAGCTCTTCCTTTGTACATATGATGACTACAACAACCCTACGAAGTTCCGTAACATCAACGAATTGAAAAACATAAATTTGGAGCTCAGAACTTTAGCTGGAGAATGTCTCAATGACATCCAGCTAACTTTGCCGAGAAATTTTGACATAAAAAACCACATCAGTCCAGACCACTGCAGCCTGAAGCTTCAAGTATGTGATTTTCTAATCCACCATAAGCTTCCTGTTAAACTTCGTCCATATTCACAGTGTTGGGCCTCACACGCATCTTTCAGATTTTTGCGCAAAATAATAGCAATTTTACTTTTGTCACTGTAGTGTGAGGAAATCTGAGACGCGTATGCTCTCATTTGAATGCAGTCACTGGTACCAGAACACAAAAGAAGTAACTTGCAGGACATCTGAGTTTATCACTTGCATGATTTGCGCAGAAACTAGAGCTAAGTGGTGGAAATTTAGCCACTTTTGCCCCAACTTATCAAGCCTCATTATGGATTTATATCGCCAAGAAACGTGTTGCCGAATTTAGATTTACAGGTAACGTTATCTGTCAGTCATGTAGTGTTAAGACTTGTAGTTATGCCACCAAGATAGTGCTGAAGAAAATCTTCTTTCGCTGACAAACTTTTCTGATGTTTTATGAACAGTACGCCCAGGATCTGTGGGCAAGGCTGTAATGAAGGAAGGGGAAACACCCGCAAGGCCCCTACGACCTGGTCAAATCATTGATCATCTTGTATTTCAGGTGAAGTGCAAGCCGATATTTCAAGTAGGAATGCTTGATTATGGCCTCATTACACCATCCTCAGCTCTCTGAACTTGGGAAGAATTGGCTTGCAACAGATAAATCACAACGTAGAGCACTAACTTTTTGGACTGATATTAAAATTAGCCTTATCAACTTTAAACATACTAATGCCTTGTGGAGGAGGTCACGATGATCATGATTCTATAATTTGGGTGCAGTTCATGGACAAGTATGGGAATTTAGCGGAGAAAGGCGAAGTGGTTGACCTGGCTTTGGAGGGATTAAAACTCTGCGATAGAAAGGGAGGCTCCACTAGAAAGGTGCACTGATTGATCATTGTGCCCAAACTGCCGAGTAATTGAAATGATTTCTTATTGGCTTACGTCATTTATTTTCCCTTGCTCATGGCTGTTGGTGGCCACAGGTAGATGACAGCAGTTGTGTTGATCTTGGCGGCCGTCTGAAAGTGGAAGCTAGATATGGCGACACAGGCAGGAAAACTCAACCTCTTTAAATTTTTGGGTGTGATCTACATTAAATTCCACGTAGACCAAATTCAACTAGACATGCTCGTCTTATTGGGAGAAGTCACAGTACATAAATCATGCACCTCCAGTATCCTCTCTGCTATACGCTATTTTCCGAAGGTCTGTGTCTTGGTTAACGTACTGACCTGTAAGCATGTTCTTGTTCCATGCCTATGCACAGCTGCCGTCGAGCTACGGAATACAACTTTTGGGAGAACACAAGTTTTGGGAGAATTCAATTTTGACATTATGAAACGCCAGCTGCGAATTCTAAATGTACACTTACTATCGATTTGTTTGCCATCATCATCTGCACTGCTGACACTGCAATTACAAGAATCTTTAGTATGCAGAGCGAGTTAGCTTAGCATTGCATTAGCCAGATATTGAAAAATTAAGAGCAGTAGATGGAGGATAATCTTTAATACTTACCTCATTGTGTTTCCTGTTTTGGACAGAATCCAAAGTCTGCATCTGGAGGCTCAAAATTAGAGGACGTCACAATTGAAGTTGTAGATGTGGAGACGGGAAGGGTTGATGAAGATATGGATGGTGTAACGTACGCCTTAGCTTTAGGATGGAACAAGGCAGTTTGTATTCCTTTAAAGAGAGGGAGGTGCACCTTACCTGATATAATATTACCGAACAAGACAGAGTTGTGGACAGGGAAAGTTTTTCTGGCTGAGCATCCGGAGATCCGAGTGGTGATGAGGGTAATCGTTGTATAACTAGTTTTTGTTAAATTCAATCGTCTTTCAAAAGTTTATTCAGAGTGAGCGGAAGGGTTACAACCAAGAATTGATTGAATTGGTCATATATGAGTAATGACTTATTTTCACATCCCATGTTTGGAATTGAAGGTGGAAATTTTGGAGACTTGGGTGCTACCAGCGATGGAGAATACTTCTGAATATCCACCGATTTCAAGAATAGCCCTGGCTTCTCTGCCACCACAGGAATTGGCAAAAGTATTAGAGGCATCAATTGAGCGCCATAAGGTACCACTTCTTACGCTGCCTAAATTGTTCCTCCAAGCCTTCAGCACGCCCTCGCGATATATATATATATATATATATATATATTCATATTTATCAAGCCGTAGTGAGCTTGACCTGCATTGATCTCAAAAGTTCGATCAACTTATCCGCGACACAATCTTAGATCGGATTCTGTCGTCTCTTTATTGATGCGAAGAATTGATTGACTGATGTTGTGAAGGAACTAGAGAAAAAGGCCAAGCAAAAAGGTCGACAGGTGGGACTTATGGAGAGCGAATTGGAAGAACGTAAGAAACGTCTAAAAATGTTTGGGGAGAGACAAGCGTACTTACATAACCAACTAAGATCTCTCCAGAAGAATGAACAAGATGAGGACGGTGGTGACTCCGAGTATATAGAACAAGCAGAGATGGAAGAGGACAAGCTCGAAACCTACAATTCAAAGAAACTAATGTCAGAATTACAGAAATTGGGAGATCCTCCAGGAACTCATGCTGCTAGCGTTCTGCTGGACGCCATTGTGGATGATCATAGATTAGTAGAAGGGATTGGTAAAGACGTCATCGGACTGGTGGCCATTTTGGCGGAAGTTGAGAGCGACTCTATAAGCACGTGAGTTGGTCAACTTCAGTCTCTAGGTTCAAATAAAATTCTCAACTTCTATGATATCTCAGTTTGCACGATTTAAGTTGTTAAAGCCTGTAGATCTTATCAAAGACTTGCCGAAACTCATTAGAGGAATTCAATGGTTGAATTGGTGAATTTGCAGTGCATTGGCAAACTTCTTAGGAGAGGACACGATGACTTGTATAATCTGCAAGACAGTTTTGGGGATTCAGTTTCTTGGAGCACACTATGTAGGACATCAGTCGCTGGGTCTGCATGGATTGATCAAGGACCGAAACTCCAGTATTAGTGGCAGCTTCGGGGTGATCTTGGCCGATCCGTGCAGGTATCCTCTGTGTTGATTCGTGTTGCCTCAGCAAATTCATGTTCATTTAAAGATCTAGCAGTGTAGCTAATTAGATAATGATTGTGCAGTTCCTACAAGCGTGATGATGGTGAGCAGGCTGTGATTGATGATCACCCACAAAAGCTTCTGCATTTGAGTCCCTCAGCTGACAGCACAAGACCAAAGCCATTAGGTTTCATTGATTATGCTGTAAATCTCCTACAATTCCACAAAGGATATACTCTTTGCTTGAAAGTTGGAGAATTTGGTCTTCGAGAAACCTTGTTTTTCAACCTTTTTGGATACTTGCAAGTGTATGATACAGTGGAGAATATGATGAGGGCGAAAGAGTACATACAGACATCCGCAGTATCTCTTGATGGTGGTGTGCTCTATGATAAGCGAACATTACACTTCAAGACAATATTAGGGTGAGCATTATTCTCGAATTTTTGACAAATAGTCGTTCTCATTCAGGATTGACCTTACAATGGTCATCATAAAACATTTTTATCTCTTGCCGAATTTGACAGAGCCTTCGTCTGTGGCAGAAAAAGTCCCACCATTCGTTTTGCAGTTGCATCTAAAACAGAAATAGTCGATGCTCCACAACGACAACCACCTCCTGCACGACTCAAGCTGATGCAAGAGATTAAGAAGACAAGTAACCAGGCTGCGGAGGAATGTTCCAAGATTTCAGTTCTTTTAAAAGAACTGATGCAATCAAAAAACAGAGCGAATCAGTTGACACAGGATCTGACCAAAGAAGCTGCATTTACTGCAGGTCTTGTAGCCAAAGTGAAAGAGAATCATTGCTGAATCAGACGTTACATTGCTGATGCGTCTTTCGTTTCATTTGCAGCATATTCCCCCAATTTAGCTCAGTGAAATTGTACATATACATACGAGGATTCATTTTTGTAAATAGTGGGAGTTAGACTCTATTTGAATGACTGGGTGTCTTCAAAAATTCTTTTTTACAACAGGGGTGTCGCAGCAAAGATGCCTGAATTACAGTGTGTACAGACATAAATGCCCAGAGTTTAGTAGAATGCGACACTGCGTTTAGAAATCTGGTCTCTTGAATGACTTCAGCTGCTAATTTTTTTGAATGGAATTGTTTTTTTTTTTTTTTTTTTTTTTTTTTTATCCCTGTGGCTATTGAGCATGTAATATATACAACACGAGACCATTGTGTTTGAATGTGTGAGCCAAATGGTAACCTTTTTATCCTCTTTTCTTATGGGCAGGGTTGACATTGAAATGGAGTTTTCATTCTCGATAAACACCATTTATCTATTTAAGTTCTACACCGAAAATGTGTTCATTTGCAACAATTCAAACCCTCTACTGTGAACAATTGAATGGCTAAGAGTGAGGTTATAAGAATCAACTTTCTACCAAATAGAATTGTATCTTAAATGATACTATTTAGGTATCCAATCAAAATTCTGCATCATTTTTTAATTAGGACAATCAAGTAGTATTAATACTTTTGACTTTATGTACTCTAACCTCTATTTGTGATGAAGATAAAATAATTTATTATTTATCTATTTTATACAAAAATATTTTAATAATCAAGACTTAAATTTTAATTGATGTGTATAATAGTAATATGAACTTTTGTATATAGAAAAAGCAACATTTATATGTTTAATATCAATTACTCTTGATAAATTAAATTAAAATTATAGAATTTATCAAACTTATCTCAAAATATGTTGCATACTTATTACTTAAAGACTTAGAATAACTAGTTTGTAATAATATTTAAGGTTAAGTTCTGTTGACAATAGGATTTTTTTCTAGAACAGTAATTTTTATAACATCATTTCTTTGTAATTCAATACCAATCTGACTATTTTGCGGACAACTCAATTCACATTCTTGCATATTAATTGTGTCTCTAAATTGCAATTCCACTTTGTTGTTATCTTTTTTATCTAACAGAAAGTCAAGGATGTTGTTTTGAGATAGGTGGCTTTGGCTTGAATTATAATTGTTGCAAGACTATTAAAAAAAAATACACCAAATTAATACTTACTAATTTTTATATATAAGTGTGGCCAATAATTAAACTATACACTTCAATAATAATTTACAAAGATCCAAAAATCTCTTTAGAAATAAAGGTCAATGATTATATTATTATATAAAACTGGTTCTTTAAAAAGATGAATATTATATGCCACCACATTGCAACTTTTATTATCAACAATAAAAAATATCAGTATTACTTTTACTTTATAGGATAAATTAAAGAAATAAAACCTTTTCTTCACTTTCATCAAATGTATTTGCACTGCTTAGGTGATTTGATCCAAAATTTGTAGCAGCATTAAATTAGGATTCAATTAATTCCATGGCACAATTATAGGGAGCTCTCTGTAATCCATTGCAAACTATTGTTAGTAATTGTTATTTTTATGTCAGATTTTTTGTAAATAGAGTAAGTCGTACAAACCTGGATTGAAGTAAAACCAACTAGTTTTTAATATACAATTGGACATGTATAAATTTTGGTACTTCTTAAACTGATCCAAAATCAAAGATAAAATGGTGTGAAATAATCCATACATTTAAAAAGTTGCAACAATTATATAATGTTTAAACAATTTAATATAAATAAAATGTTTCATATAAGCTTCTTCACTTGTGCATGTTAAACCATGGCACCTCTCTCATATTTTATTATTTTCTGCTCATTACCATCAATTTGAGACATACGCATGGTTCGTTGTTTTTCAAGTGCACCAAAGATTGATTTATATGTAGAATCACTGCATACATTTCTTTTCACATGAAACCTACATGTACCAGAAAAACATAAATCTGCAACTTCTCCCGAACACAATTATAACTAATCAGTGGTACAACTACAGCTTTACAACTTACGATGAATGGAATAAAAATAGCTTATAGGCCTCAAGAAACAGAAAAATTTGAATTTGTGTACCTGATGCCATTTGTATTTGATGTTATTCCATATCTTTTCAACTCCTTGCAGAAGTGGCCATCAAATTCCTAAATTGAAAAGTACGATAATTGACTATATGATGTGATGTTTCATTTAGACTGTTAATTTTGTTCCATGTAATGCAAAAGAATGCAAAGGAAAACCTGAAGAAAGCGAGGATAGACACTAGAAGAGAAAATAAAATGAACTAAACTAGAATAGGTAATTATCTCAATTGACTTTTTTTCAGAACTTGTGTTTCATGTTCCAAAATACAAAATGATCTGTGTTTTATTACAATACAATACACAGATACAATGTATTACAATACAATACACTTGATCTGTGTATTGTATTATAATACATTGTATTGTAACCGTTTGAATGAGACAATATCAAACATCTACACGTACGTTAGCAATCTTCTCGTGCGCTTTTTCAAAAGCTGTGTCTGGGTGTGGATATTTTGCCACCACATGTGGCCTGAAAAATAGCAATGTTTGTGGAGGTTATCATCTTGAGATTCTTAGCTTGCACAGTGCATGGTCCATGGGCATTTGAATAAACTAGTTGGGGTATTCTATGTCTGCTGTAATATTACCAGTCTGAAATCAAATTCTGTGCCCCAGCGTCACACAAGACAAAACGCAAGGTTGTAAAAGAGGGAGAAGGATTAAGAAACTCACAAGGACGTAATAGGAACAAATGGGTGATTACTCAACCACTTCTGCTGTTGTATGGTTGGTGTAATAGGTGCATCTTCTCCAACATCCATTGCAGCAACCTCAGTGATTACTTGGATCTTGTGATCCTGCAAGCATCAAATATCCAATGCTCTGACTAGAATTAAGAATCTACTCGGTTGAATTCATTGGGGATTAGTAAAATTTTCACCTTATCCTCTTCATGTGATGTGATGCGTTTCTCGCGCTCATTGCCCTACACTCCACACATGACAAGTGAAATACAATACGATGTCTGTCAGTAAGGCTTGAAGTTTTTGACGCAAACAATTACGAGAACTAAGAGCTCAGAGGATTGTTATCTTCTTCAGAAGCCTGTGGAAAAACTTCAGAAACAATCCAGCATCAACCTCAGGATGCAAAAGCCACCCAAGCCATCAACTCTGTCAACGGTGAAAGCAAGAGAAGACTGGTCACAGGCTTGGTATCTGTATCCATGAGGGAGCTAGTCTGCGGACTATGTAACTAATATGATTTAAGCCACAGTTCATTCCTGGGAGGTATTAATCATGTCAATGTGCTGACATGACACGCTGAACAGAGGCGTGAAGGAAAGCCTAAAACGTCAACTTCAGTTTCTAGCTCGAGAGATGGCTCATTTTTCCCTACGACAGGTTTGACTTTTTTTTCGATGGGTGATAGATATGGAAATTGGTTTCCAAGTCCATAAACCACGGAAACTTGATTGCCATCGATGACCTCTTTAACAACAGGATTTACGCTATTCAGATGCTGTTGGGAGCAATCTGGAGATCAGGATGGCCATTAAGGAGGGGAAAATGAAGAGAAGGTCTGGGCTGAGGAATTGCCTGCTCAGTTTGAGGATTTCCCAATCCAGGCCCTAAGTAATGGTGAACTAAAGTTTGGGATTTCTCGCAGCCTTGGCTGGACAGGTGTGATGGTGGGGGATCGAGCGATTGATTTCGGGTAAATCGAAGATAATCAGGTTTTGGTCGAAAGGGTGATGAATCGTCTTGTAACGGCCAGGTTTCTATTTTATTCCCTACAACTTTCTTCGCTGAATGAATTGCTGGCTTCATACTAGTAACTCCCTCTTTCTTGCGCAAAGCGAGTAACAGAGGAGCTATCTGATTGGTTCAAAAGCAAGAATGTTATTCATGCCATCGCAAAAGTACAATGTCTCACATCATTCAAGTTTTGCTGATTCTACTAGCAAATTGTCCTAGTGTTCAATGGCATACCATGGTAGTACCACGGAGTTCATCTCGTGCCCATACTTCTCAACCAACAAAAAGAAAGCCACGAGAAAAGAAAATACAAGTTGCCTATCTTCAAAAATCTTCGATACTTATTTCCACAATGGAGGCAAAGGCTCTTTCAATATATAAACTAAGCACCTGGTCGAAGGCACATACGTCGCAGATTGATATCGTGTAAGAAACATGAGTATCCTACGAAAGCGGCACCAGGTTATCATGCAGTCAACAACTTACGCTTTCGCAGGGGAATTCTGATTTGCGTGAGTTAGGATATTGTGTTGTCGAGTTGCAGCTTCTTGCATCTTCGCCTTTTTTCCGTTGTTGATTTTTCTTTTCATCGACTCTCTCTTTCGCCATTTCCTTCGCTAAAAGCCGTTGGACGGCTTTCTGGCGCCTGTAGAACTCGGATTCACATCAGCTACATGAGGCAAAATTTTGACATTATTTGACCCTGCTTACACCGGATACACCAAGAAAATTCTGACCAGCTTCAGCAATTCCAGGCCTCAAAATGTAGATTTGACATGCAGTAATTACCTTTGCTGCTCCTCGTGTGCAGAAACCATCTCTTTTTCCAGCCTGGCGCGCATTTCTTCAACTGTGGTCGGGCTTTCATTCCCTCTCGGCTTACCCTGTAAACAACATTAGCTAGAAATGAGGAGGGGATTATGAAAATAAAGGTTCTTTAGAAGTTTAGGTCAAACATTCTCTGGGCCCCTCAGACCAGCCACAAGAGAAACGTCGAAATTAGTACTGATAACACACCTTTTTTATGACTACTGAAGTCCTCAATCTATCCAGTGAAAGCTTCTTCGATCTGTCTGGAGAAGTCTCATACTTCATTTTCTGAGGTACTACACGTTGAGTTCGTTTGGCAGGTGATGTAGAATGTCTGCAAGGTTGGGGCTCGGGAGATGACTTCCGCTCATTTAGCTCTTCATCATCACCATCATTATGTGCAGGTATTACCTCTGTCCGTCTCCTAGATGCAGGGCGCGCTAGGGCTAGGAGTGCCTGATCCTTCTCAGGTTCTCTTGTCCACCGTTCCCTCGGGGAGGGGGCTATTTGCTTCTGTTTCAAAACCGACAGCACTGTGCATTCCTCCTCAGCCTGCAAACACAATTCAAAGTGCGCCTCACATTATATCATTCTGTGGAGCAACTATCAACTTTGCAGCAGTTTACCACGTATCAAAGAAAAATCCAGTCATTCATTTGAACGATCCCACATTCACAGATGATGTGAACAAGAATCAATCAATAAGATTGCTGTGTCAATGAGCCATACCATGACGTTTGTTGACTTGACACTCTCAAACAGTGATTTTTAATGAAAAAATGGAAACAACAGGCTTCTAAAAGCTTTGTGAATGGGGGCACCTGAGAATGACCTTCATCATTTTTTCAAGCATTTATTATGTTTAGTGGGTTACACCACATTTGAGTTAGAGGGAACCACAACTTTCTGGAGGTCCAATGCAAAGGACTGGGGCTCAGGTTCCTTTGCTTTAGTTACTGCAAGGATGTGTGCAGCTATTTCATTGAATAAGTGGATAGGAGCATTATCACTCGTCAGTTCTTCTAGAATTTCAAGTGACTTTGACGGCACATTCACTGATTCTGACTTAGGAAAATCAGGCAGAATGTATGACTTAAGAATGGATCCACAGCCGAGTTTTCTGGACAATGGTTGTAAGCTTCACAACTTCGATAATCAAGTTCATCCTCAATCACTTCGGGTGTGGGGGCCATATTGATTACCTTGGACATCGTTTTTTTGAGGTATTGATTCTCCTTGAGCAGATCTTCCACCTGCAAAGGCGCACACATCCCAGAAGCTTGTAGCGCGTATGTTAAAAAAATCGCTTGGGACTGATGCTCAACATCTAGTCATTTGAAAAAGAAATGATTGTATTCCATCTTTGATATCTTGATTAAACCATCAAAGGCTGTGAACATGAAGACTGAACAGTAAAACATCATTTCATCACATGGAGAATGAACACAGTCACATCATCTTAATATGATGTAGGATTTGGTCATCTAGTCCATCCTTTTGTTTAAAGTTGGTCATGGACTGATTGAGTTGTTAGCAAAGGTACTTGGCAATTACAAACACAAATTGGACATGAAAATTGCCTGAGTCTCCAAGGTGTTAACACTCCGCCATTGTGCCGACTGCAATTCGGAAGCCTGATTCAAGTTGGAAAGAAATTTTCAATGTCTATAATCGAAAAATAAATTAATAAAATAGTTGACAGCACATTCCTTCACTATTAAAATGCTTATAAGTTGAGAAAGTTATCACAGAAGAATATGAACACAACATGATGCTTTTGCACAGATTTTGATTCTCACCTCAGCGCATGCCACATTCAGCTTCTGCAGCAACCTCAATTTTTCCTATTAAATAATCACACAATAACTAGTTTCAGTTAAGAGCCAAGTTTACAGACACGAATTTCAATCGGACATATGTTCACGTGCGAATTGCTCAACAATCTCAGGAGCGTCACAAATATCAATATGTGGATAGAAGGGCAGCAACGGATGTTAAAAAGTACCTGACCAAGGGTATTTACTTGCTGCTCCAAACTCATGGATTTGCTTTTCAAGTTGTATAGTCTCTGATAATCACAACTGTCCCATAAGAGTAGTACATCCACACAGTCTGGGCAGCAAATGCTAGAGAAAGGAGTGTGCCAAATTGAATCAAGTCATCGTAACTATACCTCTTGATCTGATCCATTATCTATATCCTCCGGTTCCTCAATGGCGTGGACACTTTCAAGCCGGGCATTCTGAAAATTTCATCCCACACCTCAGATTTCAATCCATTGGTTTTATAGATCAGTGGTACTCAATCCTACAGAAAGCTAGAGCATGAGGGATCAGAGAAACATACGTTTGGTGAATGAAGAATTTGAGCTTGGAGAACGTCAAGTTGGGTTTGGACTTCATGCAGTTGGTTGTTACTTTGCCTGAACTCTGCCTGCAATGACCGAACCTGCAATGTATATGGGTGTTAAAGACTACACGTAAGTTTATAATAGGTTCAAGAATTCCTTGGAGTGCATTCGTAAATTGCATGCTCAAGCATTTCAAGTAATACATACAGATCTTTTCTGATTTGAACACTTGATAACGTCATCTTCGTAAGCTGTTGGAATAGTGAAATACAACCTGAACTCTGTAGGATACGTGGAAACAGCGACTTTACCGAGCACCATGATTTTGTTTTTGCAGAAGATAAGCATGTTCAGATATTTCATGCTTATTTGTTGATCAATTCACAATTTTGTATGGTGATATTTCATTGAAAAAAGTGTACATGTGCCTAGTCCGACCAGTAATTGTACCAGAAATAATCGAATGTAGTTTGTGGTTTACGATTGTGAGCAGAAGCAACCAAAGCTAATGGGAATACCTTTGAAGTGGAACTTGTTTCTGCTCTTTGCAAGTCTGCCTGTCAGTGCGTCAATTCTAAAGTGTTAGAACCCTCATAATATTTTAATGAGAGAAGATATGGTTAGACGGGAATAAGGTTGAAGAAACTAACTCGAAAGAGTCCCCACAATGAATACCGATCCTTGTACTTAAGGGATCTTTATGATGAGCTAAGAGGATTCACACTATGATTTATACACAAATGAAGCCAGGTTAAGGGAAAGCTTAACCTGGTATCTCTCACGAAGTTGTTGAATCTCTCTCTGTACTGCTATGTTCGTCTCTGCCTTGGTCTGTATGAAAAGGTGATACACGTTTAACTTCTGTGGATGTCCACATGATCCCGGAGAAGCCCTCAACTTTTAAATAAAAAATGAAAAAGAAGAAACAGCCAAATATTATGGGCTTATGAGATGTTCCTTAAATTTAAATTGCACAGGAGTAAGTTGTACGAAAATAGAGAAGGTTATGGGCTGTGCACTCGTGCTGCGGTGGCATCTTCAGGTTTGGAAACTATGGCTATAATTCTGTCCTCGATCACGTCGTGCGGCTTCGGATGTCTTCTTGCAATGTGCAAATCCTGCTCAAGTAATTTTCATGTCAATTATGCCATTTTCAAAGAATTTAGGTGATGATTGCATCTCTTAAAAACAACTTGGTTGGCACCCAACTTTTGGAAGGTGGCACTGACGAGGTAGTGGGAGGATTCAAACACTTTCTCACAAAATGGGCAATGCCGGACCTGCATACAAAGCGGGTTGTTTAGCACTTCGTATATAATCCATGAAATGAACGCATCATAGCGTTTTTTTTTAGGTGAATCAGGAATTCTAAGCCTACTTGTGGCTGGCTAATCCGAGAGGCCCGGGTCTTGCTCTGACTTTCCAGCATAACCTCATCCGTTTTCAAGGTCTGCAATCTTGCACGAAATGATCAATGGTCGGATTGAGGATACTGTACAGGAGAATTTTGAAACCGTACATTCACCCTGACTGAAACTCTAAAGAAGGAAGCAAACACTACTCCAGACAGCATTTTGATTGTGTGTCTGAATACCTCTTTAGCTTGCTTCAACTCATGGCGAGTTTGGAGCAGGACATTCCTTTGACACAAGAAACGTTGGCGTATTTTTTCACTCTTCTGCTGCATGATAGCCCCAGTCTGAAGGAGTTCACTCTTTTGATCTGCCAATAACTGTAGGGCATGGAGCAGATATTCCACCTGCACAAGTTCATTCCAATGCGACAATCGATGTCAATAAGAAAATAGTTTCAGTCAAGGTTGTAGTTATCTTTTCATGAAGGGGCAAATTGATTGTAACAGAATTGGGACTGTTTGTACCATTAATTGTGCAAGACGGAAGATCTTCGTGAAATTGCCCTCCGTGATATTGCGTGCGTCCTCTCCATGAATGTCGCCAAATGCGATAGTGTCCATCACCTTCTCCAGTGTGTCAGTGTCTGACCCACCCATTCAGAAGAACATCATTTAAATTGTAATGACAGCATTCATCCTCGTGATGCTGGCCAATTGACAAGCACAAGCTTTGATTGTAGGCATTTCTGATGGGTATTGGTCTGTCAATCAACCCTAAATCGAACAAAACGAGACAATAGAATTATGCTAAAACTGCAAAGCTACAATGACAAAGGATTTGTCGACGAACTGCGCTTAGTTTTGCTATCTCAGTGAGCATCGCATCAAGGGGTTGCGTGATCATACATACCGACATCGCGAATAATGCGATCGACGTCAATCGTATTCAAAATGCGCCAATCGATTTTCGAATGGTGCTTCTGGAACACAAACGAGACGCCTTCAGCACTGGTCGACGAATTCTCTTGCGCTGCAGCTTTCCTTGTCATATTCTTTCGTGGGGTTTTTGGCTTCTTTGAGTCCATGATAATTTGTTCCTCATCGTGCTCAAACGAATCCGTCGAGTAGCCAGTCGATGAAACTATGACCATGAGCGGATCGTCATTGCCTCGCGTGGACATCATTGCCTCGGGCGGTAAGCTTAAATCTACATTGTTGCTGCTTATCGAGAGGAATTTCTTGCCTAGTGGGAGGTGAAGGGTGCGCCATCCCCGTGTCACAGTCGTCGTTTTCTCTCCCGCCTTCCGAATCCGAGACGGGTTTTGTTCCATCTAAGTCGCTTGAGGCAAGTAATTCTCTCCAGTAGACTCGCCCGTCTCTATCGTGTCTGTCGCACACGCTCACACGAGTTCAGCGTTAAATTTTGTCAAATCCCACTTATAAACCCAGCATGTCACCCCCAACATTACGTAATTTCTAGTGAGCTCACACTCAAACTCTCTCACTAAGTATCAGCTCATGATTGATAATGGTACTAATTATCCTGCACGAGCTCCAGAGTGAGCTTCCATTTTGCGACCAAACAGCAATGAAGGCGGAGCAAATACTCTGAAGTCACAAATCATTAAACTCGCGTAGTGGGAAGCGATACATAAGCGCTTGGCAAAGAAAACCCCTATAGAGTATGTGGGTTTCTTGGTACATAGTGCAACACAGCACTGGTTTTGAATTTTTCATTATCACAGAACATTACTAACACCCTGATCATTGTCAAGTTAGTACTGGGAGTGACTTCGGTACATAATGCGCTGTAAGAAGCAGCGGTTTGACGTGCATTTCATTGACGGGAATTCGTTTTGTTGAAATATGAGGAGCCTGAGCCAGAGCTTTACTGTGAATGAGTGAGGAGGGTTCGGCACGATGTTAGAATGAAAGTTATGAAACAAGCAGCAGAGTTTTGCTCGTTGCGAGAGAGTAGCCTAAGGTTGGTTTGTGGTGAGCGACTTGAGACTCTTCGCCGATTGTGCAAGCGGTGCCAGTATGAGGCCGCTTGGACTTGGACATGTCTCTTCAACAACCTGGATACTTGCCCATCCTGGCAACTACTCTCAATATTGCACGCGGGTCCTCAACAGTTTCATCTCGACTCTTCAGTAAACCACGTTCCCACTGGTGAGTTGTATGGAAAGCTCAAAAATATCGCCACTCTCCAAGGAACAACAAAATGCTCTTGTGAGGGTGCCCGAGACTTAGCAAGCCGTGCTTCGCAAGCTGAGCAGTTCTGAAGCAGAGTAGATAGAAGAGACTGAAGTTGACCCAGTACACTTTTATTCAAAATTCACATTTCGAATCAAAACGAGAACAAAGTACTTCACAATAGAGAACTCATCTCCTTCTTCGAGGAATTTTGGGAGGTCTTACAATTGAAATAGTATCTAGCAAAGCTATGAAAAGACGGGTCGCAGTTGGCTTCAATCTTTGCCCAACGATGCTGCAGTGGAGGAGTTCGCCGTTGTCGTAACTCGACTATAAACTCAAAATTATCGTGGTTTTCCTCAAATCTGCACTACCCGTTCCTGTTGTCCATTTGTTGCACTGCACTATGTATGACAATAGGCAACGAACAGCTTAATTCCTCAATGCACAACTAGCCACTAGCCTCCGATTTGAGTCGTTATAAATCAATTTGATTCTCTCGACGCATTGTGGATGTAATTTGTGTTACCTGTTGAGAATTCGAAATTGGATTTGAAGATTGCTGGGGCAGATTTTCAGGAGAAATTTCGCAATTGGTTACTTTCGGTGGATTCAAATTGCTCACCTCACCATGTAATGAACATAGATGAACATATTTCAGGCACCGGATGTTTCAAGTGAGCAGGCCCATGGAAATCTTACAATTAATTGAAGTTGTGTGAGCCCAGCCAGAGTACGGTTAAGAGCAGTCGGTGGCTTCACCACCGCGGAAGTTGGGAATGATACCTACTTGGCGCTGTTGCTGCTAATACCTAGATGATTTACGCTTGGGTCCCTTCAGCAAAATCATTGTGTGTTCCAACAAGCTCCATCGCGAACCAACGGGTAGTGATGTGTGATACCGTCACACGTAATGAATCTATGATTAGCCCAGAACCGAATCCTCAGTTAACGGCCACACAGATCTCATTAAACCCTATGATGATGTTTGTTGACGAGAACTTGAGGGTGAAACCACTATTCGATCCACGACTGTTAATGTAGTGCTTCCATTGCGAAGTTGAGAAGGTGAAAGATGTGTGCAATGAACTGACTTTCTTCGACACCCCATTTCCGATCCGCACTCTGATTGTGAGATCATCGAGAGTTTTGAAAGGAAGCGGTGAGGAAAATCTCACACAGATGTCTTCGTGACGACACACCCACCCAATCCACGTTCTAGCTTCTGCTTTGAAACTTGCCACCCTACCAGTAAACCACAAGAACCACACTCTCTGCATTATTAGTAGGAATGGAAAAACTGGAAATATAAAAGGATTATGTCGCAACTGACAGTCAACGGCGATTACGGTTTACTCTTCGGGGGACAACCCAAGTACCGCCGGACTACTCGATGAAATATCAAGTCCACTTTAACGGCACAAATAACAGAAGTGTGGCATGAGTATCTGACCTTTTAGAGGTCTGCAAGAGCTCCTTGCGTGTCTACGTTAAATGAGTAACACGGAATCAAATCTGACAACGTGCATTAGTGGAGATAGACCCAAGGATTTGCTAACGTCACATTTCATTCTACAAACATCGTTAGCACGTTTCATGAGGTACAAGTCAATTATACAGCTACAAAATAGGGGCAATCACATCCCTTGGCAGCCCATGTGTGATTAAAGAGGCATTGTATGAAACATGATTGATGCTCCGTTGATCAGGGGCGACCTCACAGATAACTCTTACCAGTACATCACTCATTCCACACGGTTCAGAACATGTTTTCAGTTACGCATTTTACCGTTCGCGGACTCGAACGTTCTAGACATTACAAGCTTGTAGCTTGCCGTAGATTAATTCAGGGTAAACTGTTAGGAAGGCAATGTCTTGAAAAGATAGGTCATTTCATTGCATTCGTAAACACACTCATTGTTTTTAAATGGTATAAACAACTCATTTCATTCAACGCTAGGAATTGGAAAAGGTCGCAAAACGAAGTGACAAATGGATGATACAGTGTTTTTCAATGTCCTGGCTTTTTTTTCACAAAGGTATAATTTCATAAAATGAAATTGTGCGAACAGATGCAAACATGATGTAAAAAAAGATTATTAAAATTACTGTAAAAGCCACCATACAGAGATTCATACGATTTCATCGCATTATACGCTGTGTGGGGTGACTAAAGCATTCGATAAACGCAACCGATTTTTCTGGGTATTGCATCATGACAGAGACCCTTGACTGCACTTTATCACACCTCTTGATCCAGTGTTCAAAGACCTCCTTCGCGATGTTGGTATGAAGCTCAACAACCAACAGTCCAAATATGTTAATTCAAATGACGGTGAGGATACAAACGTTATGTCTCAATGTCATTTTGGAGGTGTAATGTATAATTTTTATATCACAAACTAACTTACAACGCTGTTCCTCCTGGACGCCATGGAGCTGTCTCTTATGAAGAAGGTCAGAGATTTCTTGCTAACATACATAGACCAGACTCTTCACTTCAGGCCTTCCGGAAGCAGGTTTAGAAGTCTGATAATGTTGAAATCCGCTGTAGTGGCCAGAACAGCCCAATCATGGATCGATTACAGTGACATAAATCCTTACTCGCATGACATTCTAGTTCCGTCAACACTTCAGCAGTAGATCCAACCCGAACTAGTACCCTAGCTGCACATTGGACTCGTAGATACCTCCTGGTTGGAAGTATTCCGGAATGGCATCCTGGGCAATAAGGACATGGCCGTTCAATTTGGCAGTGATCATCACGTCGTAGGGTCCCTTGAATGGCTTTCCGGAGTAGCAGATTAACATGTAATTAGCACCCCTGCAGAAAAAACATCAACACATGACCATTTAGTCTAACAGCATGCGACTGAATATTCTTCACTCCAAGTGAAGCAGATGTAGTACTAGTGCGTGATTCTGAGTGGCATTACCAGTTGTGTTGCATCTGCTGGAACTCAGAGCTACCAGCCTGGAGACAAACATCCAAAAAGTTTAAAAGAGAGTTGAGGACATAGAATGATCTGTGTGCTTGTTAAAAGTAGAGCATCCCTTAAAGCAAAGTTTCTTGATCTGATTTTGGGAGATACATGCAACTCTATGACAGAAACTTCATGCAATACTCCAAGTTTAAGCCTGGAGACCGTGAACGAGAAGGCCAAATTCATTACCTGTCTTATAGCGACGCTTTCAATGTCTCCTGGTCCTCCTTGGTATTCAATGGTGAACGAAAGCCAAAACGGGGTGGACCCGGGGTCTACTTTAAAAGCGACGTTCTGGTTTGGATAATAACAGGGCACTCTTCTGTATTGAATCTCGTACAAGCCCAAGTTACGTAACTCCTGGTCCCTGCCAGGAAGAGCCATGTTTGTCATGGCCATGCCACTGAGATCAAATGCTGGTTCGCCTGTGCTGCAAAACGTTCCTCCTGTGAAAACACGGACTAATCTGTCAAGTAATGCGTATTTGAGTACAAAAGACATTATCGTTATAAACTGACATCGTGACTGTGATAATGTGTTAGAAAATTGAACGAATGAGCCAAGTGCACAAACCTGGACAAAAATCAGTAATAACAATTCTACTGGGCGTCGGCTTGCAAGATGGGTACGTGCACTTAACCTGTGGCAACAGTTTTGACAAGTATTTTAATTCTCCTCTTCGTAAAAGTTGGCCTGCATTGTGAATCATACACCGGAGAAAAAGCAAAAGAATATGAATTATGTGCTTGAATATCTCTATGGAGATTAATGTCTTGAGGATCTGTGTGTGTTTTCTATTTTGCAAGGTATGGCGTTCTACACAGACCACTTACTTCGTAGCATTCGCCGCACCCTTGGCCATTCTGGTAGATGACAGCACTTCCCGCACCCACACTCAAACCATACGGAGTACCTGCGAGCTCTGTGTAGCCACAAGCTCCTCCTGAACAATGTCAACAGTCATCAAGTGAATAAGTCCAAAGAAAGAAGATTCTCTACGGTAACCACACCAATAGACATTGTTGAAAGCTACTGGTTACTACTCTTGGTTTCACTTATCCCTATCAACTGATATGCGGAAGCACGATATGTACTATCAGAATTGTCTAGCAGATGATATATATATATATACATATATATCTATATTTATGCAATTTAGATAATACAGACAATTTAGAGTTACAGGCAATTTCAATGCAAGAATGAGTGATTATCGAGTGTGGTACCGCTTGAGCCCTCTCCATATGGATCCCCATACCAAGTTGCATGTCCAGGGAGCCAGGAAGCGGTGTACCCGCTGGCCTCCAGGGAGCCGCTGCAGTGAGCAACTGGAAGCACACTCGCAAGGGCTATCCACAGCAGCACAGTGGGTTGGCGAAGAACCACTGAGGATCCCATCCTTGGTCACAAGTGCTGCAGAAAATGTGGGTAGCTCCACACAGACCGCAACGTCTATTCGACCAGTCCAAGCATCCCCATGCAATGCAGGACCAGTCTCCTACTAACCGCAATAACTGCTTTTGTACAACTCCCATGGCCGACAAATCCGTCCCCTATAAGTGCCCACTTTGGCTAGCAGGCTATAGGCATGAGCGCTAGACTGACAAAATTGAGATAGAAACGGACTGGCAGCTTTTGACACTGCTCAGGACTAGACCAGAATGTGCACTCCCGACACTGGATCTGACAATCTGAGCAGAGGCAGGGTCATGAGGTTCCTCCTGAGAAGTGCTGAAAAATGGGACTGAAACCTGCCAAGAGTATTATAAAAATATTCTGGGGCTGAGGCACGGCCGGCGTGAGTCGTGTTCCTGAAATCGTTAAATGAATTCAAATCCACATCACGTCTAGTTGTAGCCTCCATCAGTGAGTTGGGTATTTTCTATAAAAAAATAAAAATAAAACAAAACAATTGAGCCGCGAAGGGTGTGGAAACGATCATTGCAGCGCTGCCAGACACGGTGATTGCGCTACAGAATACCGATCCCTCATAGCAATAACTGTTCCATGGATTAATCCCGAGGCAGGGTTGCAGGTCTGGCGAGGAATGATCTTGAAATCACCGTCTGTAGGATAATGAAGTTATTGCGTCGCAAAATATACAGCACTTAGCTTACAGCGACCATGGCCGTGTCTGCCGAGTTCTGACAATCTCTCCAGGCATCATCAGCAATAATAAAAACCATGATAAAGAAAGTTGCAGACAGGATTGCAGATTTAACAGTGAAACTCAGACGTCCTGGTGATGACTTTCCAACCAACCAATCACTTCATGGCCAATGAGGGGGAATTTGAAAATGGGTAACTCACGTGGTCTGCACCGCAGTGCCTTGGAGGTGATGGACTTGAGCTCAGTTCAGTCGCTTATTGAACTCGCAAGACAAACGCATTGAAAAAAATCTGCATTTCTCTCATGCTTTGTCCCAGTGTCTCCACTTAATGTGACTGAAGAAAGCTAGAACTGATTCCTCACACATGGATTGTACACGGTCGTTCTCGCATGCTAGAATGGCACTCCATCAGGCTTGAAGGTGGCTGAGATCATCCAAATGGGTTGCGCCATAACCTGAGCCGACTTCGCCATGTGCAATTAGTGATCAGTGGCATCCTTCACCGACGAGAAAGAGTATTCCGTAGACATCGATATCGGTGCCGAATCCCGCACTGGTGGTTCATGATGCGCTTCTCCAAATCTGCGGAGCAAGTTACCTGGCCACACTTGTCAAGCCTTTTTGCTTGTCAATGTTGCAGCTTTTTTCGTTGCTTCTATAGCGTATGTAAAACATTTCCTTCAATCGCTCTGCTGTTGTTTTGTAACCATGCAAATAGATAGATAAGAAATGAGTTGATGTAATGTTTGATCAATTCCATTGTATATAACTCATATACACCAAAGTTGAAATCCATTCCATTGTATATCACTCATATACACCAAAGTTGAAATCCATTCCATTGTATATCACTCATATACACCAAAGTTGAAATCCAAAATGATAGCAAAAGTTTTCACTTAACCAACAACCAGAAGATTAATCCATAGATTTTAAATAATCAATAACCTGAAAAAGTAATCAACTTGGAAATGTGATTCCATGAGACGCTTGAAAAACTTGCACCAAGTAATATCAGATAAAGTGAAGGCATGATTTATAAAACAATATTGAGTAATTACTAAAATATTTCAAAACCATTGAAACAAAAGGGTCTACTAAACAACAGTAATTAAATGATACATGTATAACTATTGTGGTCTCTAGAGTTTTGGTAAAATTCTTAACAACAATAGTTGTATTTTTAAACGAAGTGTATGATTAGTTTTTTATTTATCATTATATATATATATATATATATGTATATGTGTGTGTGTGTGTGTGTGTGATTATTTATTTAGAATTTCAATTGATGATTCCAATCACTATTCTTTATTTTAATTAGAATAACTTCATTTGAATTTACTTTTCTATTATACAATAAAAACATACTACAACAATTCACAAGTTAATGATTTACTTGAATAACATGCATTCTATAGAATAACAATATCCTTGTTTCTTACATAGAGGTCTTTATACAATCTTGGAATTGCAACAACTAAGCAATGACATCTTCAAAGTTACTCATGAAAAATCAGTAGAAGAATAGAAGCTTGTAAATTGGGTTGGCTTCAAAAAAAAAATTGAAATTTTTGTAAGTATGTTGTCTCTATTTAGGTTGGGGTTGTAGTTGGAATTGACATTCTGAAATATTATAATGTTTATTTTTTCAATAAACTAGTCTATCAAAATATCATTTATGTGATTATAGTGATTTGGGAAGCAAGTATAAACTAATCGCTTTTCACAAGATTCTAATCTTTTAGAGTTTCTAAAGAAATGTTGGATGTTTATAAGTATACAACTATAAACTAGAAATAACATACTCAAAAAAAACTTGCTAATTTAAAGACAAAATTAAATATCAATATGTAACTTTAATTTATAAAACTTAAATATAAAAGGTTCTTATAGATACACTATTCTTTAACATTTTTGTGTTGATTTGTCTTCCATATTAAGAAAAAACCACTTATTGAAGCTTAGTCAATAAATTAAAGATAACTTCTTTAAAACTAAGAATCTATTCAATTCTTATATAAAGAATCATAATACAAAACACTAGATAATATTTAAACCAAAGCATGCTTTAGAGTCCCATAAATAATTTTTAATTGGTTAAATTATTAAAAACAAAGTTTTAAGTTGTTTTGATATAAAAATATCAGGATTGAAGAGCTTCTTTGATTATTTAAGTATTTATTATAATTTAGAAGGATTTATGAGTTAAAAGAGTCTTGTTAGAAAAAAAGTCATAAAAATGTAATCTTTGTAAGTCTTAGAAGAAATTAGCTTTATTGATCTTGTATTTTCTCTTAATTGTAAGAACTAGTCTGTAGTTCTTAAGACCAATATCTTCATTGGCCTTCTATCTATATATATAACTCATTCAAAACCTTTAAATATTAGTTAGTAAATAGAAGAAGCATGAGAAAGAATAGAACTTTGTAAAAAATATAATTTATAGTGGATTTAAATTAATTTATTTATTATAAAAAATTCATTAAAATAAAATAAAATTAGCTTCAAATTGATATTAGTAACATAAAAATATTATAAAGATTTTTAGTATCTATTTAGAATTTATTTAAGAATTCTTATAGTAATTTTCAAAACTTTGGTAAAATTGACTTTACTATCTTAGGAGGCAATTATGAAGAATTAGAGAAAGATTTGAAGGACCTATAAACTCAATTAGATGGAGAAATCATTTTTTTTGTGCATTTACTAAGTAACTAGATTTTACATATTTATCAAACATACACATGTGATAAAAAGTAATATTGGAATTGACATTGCCAATAGTAAAATTTAATAGAAAATTGTGATAGAACTTTTGCTTAATAGTTGGGATGTTAAAATATGCCATATGTCAATATGTTTTGTTTAAATTTTTTTGTTAAATATTTTAGTAGAAAGAGCTAAAGTTAAAATTTTATTGATTATAGATATTATTAATAGATGAGTTGATGGCAATACAACTTGTAATGATAATTGATATAATCAATTGATCCATTTGCCTTCCAATATAATTTTTATAATTTTAATAGAAATTTACAAGCTCTTGGGATCGTGATAAAAGATGTATTATCCTCAAAGACAGTGCTAAAAAAAACAAATTGTAAACTAGGGATGGAACATAAATTACATTTGTAAGGATATTAATAAAGAAATTATTGTTTATTAATTGTTGGAGCCAAATATTCTCTTGTTTACATGTCTAGAGTGTTTCATCATTGGCAATTGTGATTGGTTATTATCCTTGAAGAATCAGTGTAAAATTTTGAAACCATTTACAATGATCTATCATGTATTTCATATTTGCAGAGTTAACATACCAATAATCATTATTTGAAAGAATCAAATAAGCATGAAAAATCATGAATAAGAAAACATCTAGGTTATCAGAAGAAATTTACAAATCTTTTGACAAGAGATTCTCCCCATTATCTGAACTCAAGTTGTATTAAGGCTTTTGAAAGTATTAACCTCACTTAATTTTTTCTATGAACTAAAAGGTGCAATTCTATGTTGTTTTTAGCAAATACAATCTACATACCAATGATTGTATTCTTCCCAATTAAAACATTGTTTTTGCTTTTTAAATCTTAAATATAATTAACATCTTTCTAATGTTATTCATAGCAAGTCAATGTTCCATTGCTTTGACCTTGTACTAGGATAAAAAAATGTAAGATTCCTTAATTCTTCCATGTTATCTTAAATTTGTAATATTGTTTCATATTACAAGAGACACTCATCATGAGAAGAGACCATTTATTTGTCTTTATCAACATTAGTCCATATTGCAAGGATACTATTAAAACTCAATAGTAAACTAGACGTAATTTTTGATAGAATCATGCCTTGAGAGATTTCATTGTCAAGATCCTTGAGCAATAATATCATTGTTTCAACATTTTGAATATGTGAGCTTATATCATCAATGAAAGACATTTTCTAATCATAATTTTTTTTCCTTACAACTAGAATACATTTCTTGTAGTACACTAGAGACATATTAAACAAAGCTTATTCCACATATTTTTAGTATTTGTGCAATTTATTAGTTTCAAAATAATTTTGGAAGATATGCCCAAACTAATAAGCATTCTTGCATCATTGTTTTTTTTTTTTTTTTTTTTTTTTTGATCCTATGCATTGATGTGTTCTTGTAACTTATTATTGGCACATGTTCTAAACATGGATATTGGTTTTCTTGCAAGTCCAGTAACCATGTTGAAGACCGTTTTTGATTAGAACACAATTTCAATATAATATTTCCATACTAGAAAATGTTTGCCATTAAAAACTTCATCTCCAAAAAAAAATTCACTTCTCAATTGTATTTACAAATATCAAGAAAAAAGAGGAGAGAAAAAATTTAATTAGCTTTAATAAAAAAAAATTGAATTTACTTTGGTATATAAAAAAGACATTCAATACAAGAGTTAATAGAAGAAATTGACAAAGAATTAACAAAATGTTTACAAAATGAACACTGCAGGTAATTAAAAAAGAATTAACAGAGTTATCTAAAGTAATTAACAAGCACTTAAAAAAACAGGAGTTAACTAATAAAAGTTAACAAGAAATTGAAACTAGTGATCAAGTCCTTGTATAAGAGAATCAAAAACGTATCAACGCTTTGCAATTCTTGTTGACAAAGAATGTCACAGCAGAGATTTCAGATAAGTTCAAAATGAAAATAATAAAAATAAATAAATTGCACAGCGTTGTAGAGGCCCATAACCTGTTGAATCTCACTAACTCATCACTGGTAAATGCAAACAATCATCACACATACACGATATATAAATCTGTGCAGAAGCACTTCGATTCACTTTACTCAATCTGAATTTGAGCTGCTATGAACAACTCTACGCTTCCAGGAAATGTTCAGTAAAAGACTAATCTGGTTGTAATGCAAAACTGATTTATTTATGTGCATAAAGTGTTTGATCATATGTTATGCGAGATGAAATTCTGTTAAGAATATAGATCGAGAGCTGCGGTGTTCCGAACCATTTTCTTAACGGTGGATACACCGGCATGACTGAATCAAGAGTGCCATCGATGAAGAAGATAATCAACTGGTGTAAGGGAGGAAGAAGGCTGGACAGCAGATGAGCCTGCGACATTGGCTGAACTTATAGGTACTTGAGCTGTGATATGGCCCTTCTTGCCACACTCTAAACAAAATACCCCAGTTGCTACATTCTTCTTGAGACTCTTGCAATCCCGCTTGCCATGTCCAATTCCTCCACAATTGAAACATCGCATTCGTGAGTCACTAGAGTGTGAAGGTAAGCTCCGCTTTCCAACTTCAGGATTCTCCATTAGCTTTGGCTCTTTAGTGAAAAATCCCACTGTAGCCCTTTCTTTTTGTAAATTGATCTCAATTTGCTCTGAAGTCTCAAAGACAAACTTGAGAGTAGATGGATCCCTCAACTTCAGAATTTTTTTCTCTTACCATGGCCCAAAATGCTTTAGTGGCTTGCTGCTCTGTTTGTGGCATCTATTAATCTCTTGAGTCTTACAAATGCCTCTTTCAATGACTCATCACTTCCACGTGCAAAACTCTTCAGCGACCTCATGTTATCCCCACATTGACCTTCGTGATTGCATACCAAGTCATTGAAGAATTCTTTAGTCGGGTTTAATTTGGATACGGGCCCCATACGATTTGTGCATCCTTCAAGTGAAGATCCTATTTCATCATCTAAGCTCTTGAAGAGGTGATCTTTAGCCAGCGCGACAACTTCAACATCCAACCAATCACAAACATTAGGACGGGAAAAAATAACCTCTAAGACTGAACATGGTTTTCAAATGGGTTCATTATTCGCAGGGTGGAGAAGTCACTATTGTCGTCGCCACGACCTCCGCCTCTCGATGTAATTTTGACCAAATTTAGAAAGCAGAGCACACGCAATGAAAAACTCGCTCTCGTCTTCCCCAAGCCATGCTGGACCGTTTGGTAAATGGAGGTCTGGCCGAAGTTTTGGCACGGAAAGCCACAGACAACAGTGTTTTCTCAGTGTGAACCCAAATGTTATCTCACTAGCACTCAACCTTCGTGGACCAACTGTAGTGGACGAAGGTTGAGTGCTTGTGAGTACATGAGACAAACCTAAACTGCTTTGTGGTGCACAATAAAATTTTAATTTCACTTTCCCTTAAATTAGCATATCAAAGGGTTCATGTGCCTGTTCAGGACCAGGAACTGCCTTCATATGGGTACAAGCTCAAGAGGTGCTTCCCACTAGCCGCCCAAAATCTAGTTTGAATCTATGTTAGGCGTAAAGGGTAGCCGGCTTCAGTTCCTCAGCCAGACTTCTAAAAAAAACTCAAACTAATCGACTTTGCATTGATGGCCGGATTCGAACCACTAACTAACATTTCGTCCGATCCCAGGATGATCCAAGCAGAGGCCAGCCATCAAAGGTGTGCTCTTAAAAACATAAAATAAAAAAATCTGGTAAACCCATATCACATTTAAATACAAAAGAGCAACAGAATCGTGGTTCAAATATCAGCTTCATAGACAAGAAACCAATGCTACTCAGCAAGTTTTCTGAACAACATGAAGTGAAACAAGTTTTCTTGACACAATGGAATGGAACTATTATATTCCTACAAGGCGTAGAGTAACAACAAAAGCTTTCGTTCCTACATAAGTTGCCAATGCTTCAAGGCAAGAATGCTCCAAAAGCTCTTCCCCCCGGCCAAAACGTTCAAGAAACGTTGAGATGATTTGTCTCAGATCACACGGGTGCAATCAGCAAGTTCATAGCACCACGCAACCACATAAAATTCCAACATTTCAAACACGAGTAAAACCAGAGAGACATTGGGTTCAATAAATATACACCTTTTACATTCTGAATATTCTCTAAATAAGACCTTCGAAAATTTCTTATCTGTACAAATTCTTCCGGACTCAAGGCGTTGCCAATGACACAGAGGTCACAGCAACCTCGTCCAACACACGCTAAGCCAAGATCATACGGGTACACATTTACAACACAAATACAAGTGGCCAATTTACCGAAATCTGCAGGATCCATACTCTTGCTCAAACAATCCGTGCTATGACTTTGCAGGTCCATGGCCACATTCAACTCGATGATTGATTTCCAATGCAGCACCATTCCCAGGCTTCATCAATACGAACACCGATTCAGGGTTCTACCCTAAAACTCTTGATCTTTCTCATCAAATACAGATGATCTCTTCATCTCTTCATCCTGGACTGCTGTACAGCCATGATATAGTCCACAAGACAGGGCATGTTGTTCTCTTTGAGAGGAATGGAAACTGTCCACTTCACCACCAATACTGCAGTCCCTCCATTCAAGGACATGAAAACCTAACTTGGGTTTACACTTGCGGTGCAGCAAATAGCATAAGGATTGAAATGGCGATAGTCTTTCCGACCATCACACGGGAGCCTGATGCTGATGCTGATTCTGATTCCGAAAAGAAATCCTGCGAGAGCCCACGCTGGTAATGATGCTCGCCATAGCTTCGGTGGGCAAAATGGAAGAAAAAAACGTCTTTGGGCAGCTTGAGCTTGTGCTCGCAGCTGGGGTAGCTGAATCCGTGGTGTTATCACTCGTAGATTGAGATTGTCCACTAGGTTCCATTTCTATATCCACGCTTGCAATACGCGCGCTCCCAAACCTAGAGCTCCCAATTCTGGCGCTACCGGAAGTCATCGGCCGGGAGCATGATGGACCAGGCTCAGCACAGTCATCGGAAGACTCGGTGGATACGACACTACGACGACAGACGGGGCATGTCGTATGGGTGAGTAACCATGTGTCGATACACGACAAATGGAATCCATGTTGACACTTGGGAAGCAATCGAAGCTTTTCCCCTTCCATGAATTCACTCAAGCAGACAACACATTCATTGTCACCAGTGGGATCGGATAGATGCATCAGCGATTCGGTACCATAGGCCACTACAGGTAGAGCCTCAATGACGCTCTTGTCGAGGCCCTTGTCAGCAGCGTTAGCTTCCTGCGGTTGCTGCTGCCTTCGGCGTCGCAGCATGCATCTGGCTATGATGTTGATGAAAGCGGCGACTACGAGGGCGAACAGCAACACCGCCATTACCACCACGGCGTTGGAGTTGAAGGACCGGGCGAAGTAGGAGCCATGGTGATGACCGTATCGAGGGCTCGAGGCGGAACTGTCGCTTCCATTAACGGCGTATCTAGCGTTAGTGGAGTGCGAAACGTGGCTTCGGAAACCTGCTGTCATTGGATATCAATCGGTTGCTCTTCGTCGTAGCCAAAAATTTTGGACCTGAGTTGCTCTTAAGGGATTCTCAATTTCTCGTCATCATTGCAGTTGTCGACGAGGGCGAATGTACTCGTGCCATGCGCTTCAGCTCTGAAAAGGCGACGCAGTTTATTTGTGACGAGGATCCGGGAAAACTTTAATCCTAAATTACGATAGCTCCCATTGAGCGACGTCGCATCTGCGAGACAATCAACAGCACCTGTAAGTTCCAATCGCACATGTCCAACCTAAATTCCCAGGACTTCGTTGTATCATTCTAGAAATTGTGAAATAAGCGTAGAGACAGCGCGCGCTGCTTGAAGACAGGCCCAACTCATGGAAAGCAACTGATCCATCCGATATCATACTCGACAAGGGAGCTCACCAAAAGATAGATTTCACTGACCTAGTTGAAGCGGCATGCTCGAGGTAAATTCGACGCTTCCAGGCCCGTCAAGACTGCAATTTGATAACCTAGATTTCTAGCGACACGCTCACAGAAAGTTCCCACGCAGGAGATGGAGACGAAAGCCAACCACCGCATAACTCGTCCAAACCAGAACCCTCCAATTCGCACCCTACGCGCAACACTCGAACCTCACAGATTCAACATGACAAATTCTACGAGGTCCAGCTACAGGTACCGCGGGAAAAGAAGAAGAAAAAAAACAAAGAAAAAAAAAAAAAAAAAAAAAAAAAAACGCCACAACCAACAACACACAAGATTAATTAAGAGACCTTCTTCACGACACGAGACAGATTGTACCACAACCAGCGCGGCAAAATTCCAGCCCGCTCTGCAGAAACCTAGTCATCGAGGATCCAACAGCGACCGACGACGCATCAGCACTAGCTGGAGCTTATCGAGAGAGACCCAACCTGATCGCGGAGGAAGATCCATGGAAGGACTGGTGGTTTTGCGTTTGGCTAGGGGATGGCGTGACGCTAGGTCCCCGGGCTACTGTGCTCTCGAAATAGATCATCTAGAAATCGGCACCCCGTTCGTTACTGTAGAAACGGCACCTTTATGGCTACTTTCACGCCTCGAGGAGCTGGCAGCCAAGGATGGACGACGTCACCAACCCCTTCTTTAGCCCACACTAGCATTGCACCCACCACCAACTGCAAAACAACGTCTTTCCTGATCAATCAATCGATGAGACTCAAGGTAGACTTGGAGGACTCCTCTGCTAGTCCCCTCGCCCACCATGATCTTGCCACTGCAGCATCGCCACCCGATGATGCTGAACGCTCACTGTTATTGCTGCAATTGTGTCGAGCGGTGGGCTCTCGCAGTTTCAGCGGAGAAAGCATCGACGAAGAAGAAGCGATGGTGGGCTGCCAGTCTCAACGTTCCTGAGAGGGTACTGAAATCTTCTGCCGGCTGGTATTTTCTTTTTATCCTTGTGGGGGCATTAGTTGGATCACATGGGAACTCTAAGGCCAGTCAAAATCACTCACTTAAGTTGGGTGTTGAGAAAAACAAATAAATGTGCATATGTGTATATATGTGTGTATGAATATATTTATAAAATATATGTATATATATATATATATATATATACATTGGAATTGCTAAAATTATCCAAGAATTTACTGAATTGACCCACCTATCATCATTGGTTATAGAGCTAACAATTTATTTATTTTTGTTTGTTTTTAATCAGCACAGATCCATCAATGGAGAATTCTTTGATGCCACTTAAGATGGGTGAGTCAATTTAGTAAATGCCTATATCAATTTAACAATCTCCAATATATATATATATATATATATACATACATATTTTCTTGTATATGTATGAAGGTTGACTAGTAGGTGATCTTCATTGATTTTTGTGTGAATTTTTTAACTTATCTAAACTAATATTTTGACTGAAAAATATGGTTTGAGAAATGAAGTGTGAAAGAGTTGAAAGTGTGTCAATGATTAATTTGATGTTTGTAGAATAATATATTTTTTTCCTAGCTGGATTTTATACTAATTATTTTTTACACTATTTTATAATATTTCTAATAAGTTTAAGATAAAATTTGGATTATATATATATATATATATATATATATATGCCTTTATATTTTATGTAAATGTATTATTAGATTATTTCATATGATTTGTTTAGGATGTACATTGTCGTGATATAACACGACTAAAGGTGAAAGAGTGTGGAAATTATTATAATGTAGGAGATCTTAGTTCAAAGTATTAGAGCAAATTATCTTAGAAATATAGTTAATAGTCAAAAGAGTAGTAAAACTAAAAGGTACCAATGCTGTCTTTTTAGAAAGGTGACTTCTACTTACTTTGTAGAACAATAAATAACGCAAAACAAAGTAGATTAGAAAAATAAAAGATATAAGCATCTTTAGAAGGAAGTTAAGAGTAAATTCTATCAAAATTTACTTAGAAAAACTAGATATTGATACCCGGAGAGGGCCAGTTATGAACCAGGGTCGAAATTAGACCCTGAGGCACAAAACCGAGTCTCAATGATGACTCGGGGGTTCTTTTGCAGATCAAAGAGTGGAGTTCTTTTGTAGATCGAAGAATGGGATTTGATAGCAAATTGGATAGGGTTTCTATGAGCATTGGTTTTAAGTGATTTGGAGTTGTAATGACTTTGTAAGAGCTCTACAAAGTCAAGTTTGTTTTTAGATGACTTGGATTTTGTGAAATAAAATAGGGTTGACGTTTCTAGTGATTTCAAGAGTTTTATAATGGATCTACAAGTGAAATTTTGTGGGTTAATGGTCGTAGTTGTGCTTAATATGTGTTGTCAATCTTAACTTGATCTAACTGTTGAATTGAGGGTTATTGAGGTTTAAGTAGGTCAAGGTCTCAGAAAGTAGAATTTTAGGTCTAGTGAGGGTTTCTAAGTTTTCTTGCAATCTTCTAGTTGAATTGGAGTGAAATTTGTGGATAAAGATAGTAGACTTGTTTTTCTATGTATATGAAAAGTTTGAGATCAATTGAACGGTGAAAAGGAGAGATATTAGCTCTAGGAGATTGGCATCAAGGTTGGAGAAGGAAACCAGACAATAAGCACGTTTTTGAGGTTATTGTCTATTTGGTAAGTCCACTCCTTTTCAAATTTTTTGTGCTTGTTTTCAACTTACTTTGTAAGAAGTGTGAAAATTTTGAGTTAAGATCAACGGTTCATTCATTAGTTATTGAGGTTTAAATTTATTATGGAAATCATTAGGGCTTGATTAAGATTTGATTAAGGGTTTAGGATTTGGTTAGGATTTGATTTAGAATTAGAATTTGGTTAGGATTTGGTTTAGGATTTAGGATTTAGAGTTAGGATTTGGTTAAGGTTTGATTTAGGATTAGGGTTTGGTTAGGGTTTGATTAGGGTTTGGTTTAAGATTTAGAATTTGGTTTAGGATTTAGGGTTTGATTTAGGGTTTGATTTAGGATTTAGGGTTTGATTAGGGTTTGGTTAGGATTTGATTTAGGGTTTAGGATTTTCTTAGGATTTGTTTAGGATTTAAGATTTAGTTAATTTTTGGCCTAAAGTTTGAATGAAGTCCAATAGGATTTTAACTAGGATTAAATTAAGATTGAATTGAGATGTATTTGAAATATATTTATGGTCATTCTAATATTTCTTTAATATTTCATATTATTTATTTGTAATTTCTTTGAGGTTTCTTTGAATTTGATTAAAGCTTGCTTAGCATTGTTATGGTCTAATTAGAGTTTAGTTAGTATTCTATTAGAGTTAGGATTTTATTGTTGCAATTTCCATTCTACCTTCCACAACCAGGTGTCCGGAGCATTCTCAAGCAAGACTTCACGTATTACAACAACATATACTATTTGTATTAGATTGCCTATGATTGTATGTATGTATGTATATTAGTAAATGAATGTGATATTTCATACAAAATCAAATTTTTAATTTTGAATACAAAAATTTTACAAAATAAAGAAAAAAAAATTAAAAAATAAAAATTATGATTTTTTAAATTAAATAAATAAACAAAAAATAATTTATGTAAACATTAAAATTCTTTTCAATACAAAAATAATTAAATTTTAAAAAATATATATTTATTTTAAATTTTAAACTATATACTTTTAAATAATCTATAATATAAAAATATTTAAAATTTTGATAATTAGATATGCACAATTATCACAACTTACAAAAATAAGATATTATCAAAATAAAATATTAATTTTTGTTTAAATCAATAGATCAATAACTGAAATTTTTTTGAATGACAATGATAATACCTTACTTTACAAACGAAATTTAAATCATTTTGCAATTATTTTATTTCAATTGAATAACAAGAACAATGATAATGTCTGTAGCAACCAATAAAAGCCTTATGTTTAAAATATTTTTAAATCCTGCAATGCAGGTTTAGCAATCACAAATAGAAATGACTTCTATAACCATAATTTGCATAAATTCATATAAATTTGGATTAAACTTGTAAGAATTATAATGATACAAAATTAAATTATATTGATAATATTAATTTCGTTTTCAACTTGACATATATAGAATACATGTCATTTGAGTTTTAAAATGGAATAAGCAACACAAACATAATCAATGGAAAAAAACAAAAAAAAACAAAAAACAAAAAACAAAACAAAACAAAGATTGAACAATAATTTGATAAAATATGTTTTTCATCTTTGATTTTTCAATGGCCTAACTTAATTTTATGTTAAATTCTATTTCCAACTATTTTGGCTCATAACTTTAAAAGTATGATTAAATTTAAATAATCTTCATAAACAATTGGAATATAATCAAATTCCAAACCTTAGCATCTTTTTACTAATTGTCACAATTGTCCTACTTGGAAAGAACTTCTAATAAAACGTTGAAGTTGTTAATACAAATTAAAATTGTTCCACAATTTTGAGTTTAAGCAATATAAGTGTTATTTGCATGCTTTCATGACAAAAGTTGGCATTCACAAAAACAAGATTGGTTTCTTCTATGCATACACCTCCTTGAATTAATCATTTTTCAAAATCACTAAACATTAAAAGCAATGACTAAATAATTCAAAAGAATGAAACAAAATAAGACACCAATCAAAAATATTTAAAAGCTTTTGTCTACCACACAAAGAACCTCAAGACCATCTTCAAATTGAATCACTCTTCAATTTTGAAATAAACTAAATTATTAACAAACTAACAAACAAACATCTAAATAATTGAACATGTAAACAACAACGAGGGCATGAAGCAACATGGACAAAGATTCACACCTCTTATACTAATAATAATAATAATAATAATCAGGAGTATGCGTAATGGGGCTCAGAATCGCAATCTAAACGTGTTGCGTAGACGTTTCTCACACACAAAACTTGGAATTGAATCTTGACGGTGTGCGTTTTTTTTTTTGTTATTATTATGATTATTATTATTATTCGAACCTTTTATCGGCTCCACTGTGGAGCTTGTTCAAATCCTCGACCAGTATTGTGAACCCACTTCGTGATTCCCTAGACGAAAACCTAAAATTAAACCCCAGCTGCTGCGCTTTTTTGTCAGTGGGGTCGAGCTGGAAGGCCTCCGCGGCATCGCCTCCCCCTTCCATGAAAATTCTTCCGCCCTTGGAGCGCTCTTTCTGGGTACCCAATTATTCGCTTTCATTCCTGTACATGTTTTCTCCATGTTTTCCATATCACGAGGAGGTTTGTGGGGTCCTTTAGATCGGATCTGACAAGCAAACCTGACAGTGAAGAAAACAACCTGAGCTTACTGCGTTTGCATAATTCGCTTCGCTGACTTGCTGTTGGTATGCAATTCGCAATCGAGAGATCTGGCTGCTAACTACAATTCTTTTGGCATTCGAAAGCTGAGAGGTCTTCATTCGAAGTGTCTTCATCAAAGCACAACACCATCGATGGTCTTCTGCTACACCGAGTAAAATTTCTCGCATCGTTATGAAGTAGGGTTTCTTGTTATTGACCTTAACTGAGTTTCGCAATCATTGGTATGCTATGAGATCTCAGAACATCCTTCTGGTGTTGAACGTGTTGCAGACTGTAGTAGCTGAAATCATACCTGTTGGGCGAAATATTCAACGTGGAAACTTGGTATCACATTCGAAGAAGGTCCGAGGAAGCTTTACACCAGACGATATTCAGAATAAAACAGAACAAAACTGTTCGTTTCATTATTGCGATCCACATCCATCACAGAAACTTTCATGAAGGCAATTTGCACGATGCACTTGTACGCGAATTCAACGCATTCAAGGTAGGCCAAAGAAAACTGGAGATAAACCGGTTTTTCACGAATAGAACTTAAGAGACCGAATCTAAATTAAGGTGTTCTACTAGGGCAAACATGAGTAATTAAACATTGACGCAATATTTGGTAAAACCAAAGAACTGTTCATATCTTTGAGAAATACTAATACTTTGTCATTATCTTGCAAATAGACTCTTACACTACGACACAATTAGTGCAAAAGGAATTCGCAGTAGTCAGAATCGCATGAATTGAGAAAATGAGTATAATTTGCCCATCTGAAACATATGGTGCCTTCCTGCCAAACGTGAGGTAATTGCAGCGATGTTATTACAAGCTCATATGCTGCAACATGTATCAATCAAGCATCGACCCTGAACCAACCAAATAATTGAATGCACTTGCAGTGATCAAGTGTCGGAAATCGTCCACCCTGCGTCCAATTCGGATCCTTGTCCGCCTCAAAAACAACTTAAAGAAAAGGAAATGAAGCGCGTTGCACCCCTCAAAGACCCGAAACGCCAGCTTCCTCATTAGTCCCGACATAATATATATGACACAGAAATGGCAGGGACCGACTGAATATAATGCTTACAGCCGTTGATGATATTTCAGTAAGGGCTTCTTGAAAATCTTCTAATTCTACCATCAAAACTCAAGACAAGTGCATGTTTCCTGTCGTTATGTACATACAAATTCGTAAGTGATTACCACAAAAGGGTACCTTTACCGTATAAAGACAAAATCTAACAAGCTATTCTAGACTCTAGACTAGAGTGTCTCCTCGGATGTTTCACCTGACGAACCTTGGGAAAAATAGGAGAATGGTGTCACAGTATCCAATCCTGATTACAAGGAGCATAAATTGCAAGGAGGGCATGCATAATGCAGTTCGTGTGCCCAAAAACCTTACAAAAGCCTTCTTCATGTGAAAACAAGACAACCTCACAACATGCCGTGACTTATTTTTTCCTGCATGACGAGCCCGTCAAGAAATCAGACAAGGAAAGGCGTGAAGAAATACAACCAAGTATGCACCGGAGGAAGGGGAACCAATGGCATTTCCGAATGGATACAGCCTACTGAAAAAATTTATGAACTCACAGGCTTACAACCCTATAATTAGACACAAAAGTCTTAAAGTCTCAAAATAGGCTCCTGCTAAAGCATGAGGTATCATCAGCTTAATTATTTCAGAAATACCTGCAGAAGAGCGACTAGTTTTGGATGCTGCTCCAACAGCTGCTGAAGCTTTTTGGTGTCCTTCAGAAGTTCCTGATCGCATCACAAACATCCGTATCATGAGTCAATTAGCACCAATTCAGTACCAAGCATTAATCATTACCAACAGTTGCTTCAAGACATGGAATCTATGTCCATCTCCATGTCAGAGAGCCTAGTGTTCCGGTAAATCCTTTCTAAAGGTAAGAATCACAGAACAAACAGTCAATAGGCATAAAAGTGCAGCCTAGATTGGTAAACAAGAGAGTTCTAAACCACTAAGTCAGAGCATTTGTAAGCATATTCCACTCAATTGTAAATAATGAAAAGAGATTGATTATGTACGTGAATAGTGTCTGGTGACTGAAGTATTTGCTGCAAAACTGCTCCTGGTTCTTGCTGTGCAATGATTTCTGATTCCTGGAGATGCAACGGCGGAGGGCGGTGCACGGACTGTTCTGAACTAAGCGTGTTCTGCGAAGGAGGCATCCCAGTTGGAATTGGGGGCTGAAAAAGAGGTGATGATCCCTGACCAGACGGTGGACCACTTAAGTTCCCAAATCTGTGATCACTAGTAGATGCTGTGCCTGCATGATTACCTGGATAACCTTGCAAAGTATCCAAGGGTCTACTCGCACCCATAAATGATTGCTGTACAAATTGAGGTCCATGCGGGTTGGGACCAGGGATTGGAGGAGCAGGTGGAGGAAGGCCAGAGAAAACAGGAGTAGAATCACGCCATAAACCTGCAGGAGGTTGCAATACAACTCCACCAACTTGCAGATCTGCTGGTGGTCTAGACCCCGATCCATGATTGTAGGGAAGCACATTCATCCCAGGTATCAGCCTAGGGATGACAGGGGGGAGCAGCGAAGGATCCAATCTCCGCGGCTGATCCAACCACGGGGACGGGGGCGCAGGAGGTGGTGGGGGAGGAAGATGGGAAGATAAATCTGATTGAGATGCCTGCTGCTGCGGAGGTGCTGCTGGGACTTCTGCGTGCAATGTACGTGGCATGATGTTACTGTCAGGCTGCTGTCTAGGTTCCATCTTCACAGCAGCAGCCACAGCAGCATTAAACTCTTGCTCATAAGGTTGAAAAGGAGACGGTAGCCCAGCAGAGACACTGTTCATGGATGGCGCTCTTTCAAGTTTTACTTTCACCACTGATGATGGAGGCTGACTGTTGATCTCAACTCCTGGGCACGTTCCGCCATTGTTCTGCTCCATTTTCATTCCACCCAATCTCTGTGAGGAGAAGCCAGTGTGCTCTGAAGCTGAGTGAAAGTTAGGATTCCTCTGCAAGACTTCGGAATTTATGACTGAGGTGTTCATCATTGCGAGAGCCGGAGGTGGTGCGGCAGAAAAGGTTGCCACGCTCGACACTATCACGCTGACACTGGAGTATTCAGCGGTTGTTTGACTGATACGTAGGTTCCTATCAGTCAAACACAGGTCTGCTCCATTATCTCCATCTAGTAAGTCAAGTACGGCTCTAGAACCACCATTTTCTGCATAACCTTGAATTAATGGAATATCTGATTGCTGGTTTTCTCGTTGTCGAGCCATGAATTCATCCACATGAATTGAAGGTGCTCTCCTTGTGCCAGAATTTGAGCGCTGCAATGTAGTGGCAGCGGCAGCAGGACTGCTACCTGAAAGGACATCGCTGCTCTTCTCCCGTGCGACGTAGTCATCCACATGCATAGACGGTGGTCGGCTTGTATTAGGTTTTCTGAGTCGAAATGTATCACGTCGGCTTGAAGTCACCAAAACAGGCGTCCGACTAGCTACTGCGCTCGTGGCACCATCGCCACGCTGTCGTTTACTAGCAACTTCTATTGTAGAAATAACTCTTCTCTTCGACGTTCTCATTTTCATCACTGGCCTCTCATGCGGCAGTTTTGGGCAATCCCATGGTATGGTGCCCTTGGATTCACCATTAATAGCCTCACTGATATCCGTATCCATGGGCTTCACCCCATCATCCATAAAAGATACCAAGCCAAAGCACGATGATGATTGTGCTACAATAGCTTCTGCTCGACGCTCAGCAACAGGGCGTGCAGCTGGTAAACGGTTGATCAGCAATTCAATCTCTTCACGAAGAACAATCTCTTTTTCTGAAGCAGTTAAGTAGTTCAGCATAGAGGAAACTGCAGAGAGAGCCTGCAATAGCATAACCACACATGCTTACGGATTTAGCTCTCAATGGACACAACAATGATTAAGACAAAACCGTCATTTTCAGGTAATGTTCACAGGCAATCATTGACAATGAGCATTAACAATAGTAAATTTTTGTACAGAAGTTGCAGTATGTCGTTGTTCAGAACGTCACAGTTTAACACTCTGTTAAATCTGTTTTAATTTATCTGTTTTCAATCAACGACTTTATCTCTTTCCAAATTGATATGCGATCTCACTCTTGCCAAATAAGCTTATTACCTCATGTAGAGAAGATCTGAAAACTGAAAAAGTAGCGTTAGAATCCTCGATGTCAGTTAAATGTTGTTGAAGAATGCTCACAACACATGATGGTGCTTCCAACTTATCGTCTCGTTCTCCGACTGTTTTTGATTCTGTAGACTCAGAACTTACATCGAGTCCAAACAGAGCTCTTAAGGCCACTCCTCCTACTGAACTGCACGAGCTCAGAAAGGTAATCGCGTAAGTAATCATAAGAAGTGAGTCCTGTAGACAGATGCAGTGCAGAGAAAGCATACAAGCATGCATGACTAATATGAAAGTCATAATTTTTAGCAATTATTTCTTACTACATCATATCCTTGATAATCTTTGTGACGACTCCAACAAAACATGGCATTTTGAGTGTACCTTTGAAATATAATACTTATAGAAAAAAACACGTATATCATTTCTGGAATATGCTGAAAAAGTTTAAAAGAATTTATTAAGGAGACAGATGCAAATTGTGTTAATTCAAATTAAAAGAAACTAGAACAACTTCAAAATATAAAGGCACTTGAGTGCGACGATGACTCCGAAAAAAAGACTAGATAACTTTGTCAATCACTTGAAACATACAGAAGGCCACCATATGATGAATTCAATTTACAGCGAATCATCAGCAAAAGAGAGCAAAATATTTATGGGAAATAACGAAGCAATGTTACCTATGCCCTGATTCTGTTAGAACAATTGCTACTTGGGCGAAGCGTCGCACAAGTCTCACAAGGACAGGGTTCAATTCCACTAACCCCATGGCAGAGACTAAGTTCTGCCAAAGTTTTAGAAAAGGTGGGCTAGCCTTGTGAAACACCCCTGATATTTGAGATTCTGGAGTATCATGATTGTTCATGTGAGTAGCACATCCAGCATGACCCAGAGCAACTGAAGCCACTGCAGCACGCCCAACATCATGGCTAGCTAGCTTCTCAAATGCGTCTGCAAGCACTTCAATCTGTGGTTCCACGTGCATCAACTACAAACAAGTGCATTATATTAGATAACTCTGCAGATGACAATAGTCACAATGTGGTAAAAATTAAAATAAAATCACATCATGGAGGCAGGGTTTCAGGACCCAAAAAAGAACAAAAACTTGCTTTTTTAAATACCAACACTCGGGCCAGTTGAAAATGTTAAGACTTACTTGACAATGCTGCAATAGCGAGGAAGCTATAGCGCAGCAGTCGTCATAGTTTGGGCAATCTTCTGAAATATGCCTGTAAAAACATTATTCCAAATTACGCTAGTGGTGTAACATCAAAGACATACTCGTAAAAACTGTTGACACTAAATTAAAATGCGCTGTCTTGCGACTAAGATAGACAAGGTGACATCAAGCGCTCACCTGGCAACAGATGCAGCGGGCAGGAAACAGACTTCAGTGTCACACAACCGTGCGACAGTTCGAAGGCTCCACATTAACCAACCCGATTTGCCGACTGGAATACTGGGCGTTGCTTCCAAAGAGATTACCTGTAATAGCATCTGTACAATTCCTTCTTGCAGAAGGAGTGCCTGCGAAAAAGAGTATCCACTCTTTCAATCTTTTGAGATCCTCACAATCGACATCAAGATCCCAAAAAAAAATACAAGGATGAACTTGATGTAGGAAAAATGACTTCCGTAGATGTGATCATAAACGTGCAAAAGAAAGAACAAGTAATTTCATCACAGAATATGCAACCACTGAGTACGAAGAGAATCGTAATTGCTCTAAAATAAAGAGAAAGTATCAGCTTGGACCCTACGAACTCACAAGAGCTCTGGGTCCAAGACAACTGGTTTGCGGCTTGTGAACTGCTCACCTTGGAAGAAGCATGTGCTGTCAAAAGAGCAATCCAGCGTAGCATGTGCGTTACCTGCAAACAGACAGAAGATCAATACCACAAATCCTCTGTTCGCAATTATGTATGCGAATCAGAGGAACCAGTTTCGTTTGTCATGAAAGCTCCATATAAAAGGTGATTCAAGCTCAGCATGAGGTATTAGAGGAACTGACTCATACCTGGAGGACATCAGTTTCACTAAGTAATGATTTTGCTGCTGCAGCAGTGCGTTGTCGGAGAACAGATAGCACAGGCCGCAGAACAATGACTGCATTCTCAGAGCTTTGACATGCCAGCCGAACTACCAGGTTCGTCAACCTCTCCTGGACCACATCACATGTCTGCATTGCTATCTGTACTTTAGTCTCCAATCATCATGCTTTGAAAATAATTCCTTAAGCCAGACTAACTCCAAAAATCTCAGATCTCTACACAAGAACTATGTAGTAATTGAAAATAAGTTGAATCGTAACATTGCAACAGGAGAACTAATCATATTTAAAATGCCATCCTTAATGAAAATGTCGGAACTCTGGCATTGGACAAAACATCTTCACTTTAAGATAGAAAAGAATCCATAAACAAAAGTACAATAAACTTTGTAATTGGAAGCAGCAGAACTTACACAAGAAGCTAAATGGACAACAAGCTGTCCAATCTGCTCCAAGAAAGGAGAAAGCACATGAAGCATTTTATCCGTATGTTTTGGAGAAGTATGCCAATAAACAGCAGGCATCACCTCCACGCCATGAATGTTTCCAACAGCAACTGTGCGATAGACATCTAAAACTGCGGCTTTGTCCATAAACGTCCGGGGGCATTCTGGAGGTAGGAATTCCTCCTATACATAACATGCCACTATTCATTCAAGACAATGTCTAGGCACCCAAAAATATTAAAAAAAAAGTAAAATAAAATCAATCAATCAATCAATCAATCAAAATTTAAGACTGCGAGACATATTCAACATTACATTCAGAGAAATCCACCAAAAATAGTTGAAAAGGTCACACACCAGCAAACATATTACACTGCAGGCTTCTGTAGGCTCCATAGGCAGAGAAGTCGAATTGGACCCAAAAAGTCGTGGCATTAGAGCTGGAGTCCAGCCCTGCACCGGCCAGAAGGCCAACAGGGAAGCTAACACTTGCTGGACAGCTCCCAACTCTAAAACTTCCCCAGTCCAGGAATATGGTGGGGCTGTCTCATGAGCTCCTGCTTTCGCACTAAAACACCAGAAATTGAACGTCTCGTTAAGACGATACTTCAAAAACCAAGTCAAAAAGCGGAATTTCATTCATCGGGACCCCATTTTGACATCTTAGTGTCTCACCAAATTTCAATCACATAATCCCATCAGAATCATCTTATCGACCGACGAACACAGCAAACATAATCTCTATGGACAAAGCAGAGGTCACCATATTTACCTAATAACATGATGCAGCTGTGTTAAGAGATCTAGCAGTCTTGTGCTGCAAAAATGTTGAACTACGCTCTGCATTTGATGCAAGATGTTCAGAACAATACGGCAGCTCCTTACTCATCATACAACATGCATCCAATAAAAACTGCGTCGGAACTCATAATTTATGATATTGCTATGAATACACAAGTTATGAAAACCAACAACTGAAACTAAAATGACCATTACACTTATTCTTCTGTGTTAAAATAATAATCAATGCAAATATTCCCATTTGACGTTTAACACTGTCTAGGTCAATAATTAGACTCAAACAGTGGGCATGTACCTACTTATAATTTCAATACCCATATTTAACAACCTGCTAGTTCCAAACCTAAACAAAAAAGGACCTGATTTTGCTAGTAAAGAGACAGTGAATGAACACCTGCAAACATTTGAGTAAAGAGAGCAGCAAAATGAGAGTTGGCAAGAGTAAAGCGAGCAGAGCTTGTTCTTTGTGAAAATCTTCTCCCCTTCCTTCGTCTTCTTCTGTATCCTCATCATCTGCAGCACACGATCGTTTGTTTTGAAAAAAGTTTCAGGTTTAAATCTGTAACGAGATTAGGAACACTTCTACTCGAAGTTCATATTCACGATCTGGGTTCTAGAAGCAGTCCCCAAGCTTCAGTTTCTTAGCAATACAAGACTAGAACTAAGTTTTACCAAATTCATTAGATGAAGCTTGAAGCGCTGCCACACAGTGCTCTAATATGATATTCACAACACCAACAGCACCGTCTCCATAAAGCGATGCAGCAACTTCCTGCAAACATAATAATCGGCCGTTAGATTCAAAGCTCTACCACATGATGTACCCTCGAAAATTGCCACAAGTACTAGGAACATAACTTGGAACAGATTAGCGAAGAATGTGTTAGCCATACCAAGTTCCACCCAGCCGAGGCTAGGAGCCTTAAAGAAATAGTTAGCGCATGAATAGCCGAATATTGAATTGGTGTTGAACCGGTTCCTTTACTAATAGAGTTGGGAAGCTCAGAACCAGGGGCTCGATCATGCAGATTGTTTGCATCATCACCCATAGAACCATCCACATGAATAGTCATACTCGTATTCAGCGGGCCAATCAAAGCTGTCGCGTGCTTGAGTAGACCAACTGCTCCCTTCTTTTGATACACGACGGCAGCCTCCACCCACTCAACAAGCTTACTACAGCTATTCATCCCACTATTGCAAGCTGCTTGCAAAGCAGTCTGCAAAGCCGAAGCATGAACCGTTAGAGCAATTTGGTTGACCAAGGCCGAATCACAAAACACCTTCTGTAGAGCCTCCGTTGCAAAATGTCCTCCTGCGCCTCCTGTCCACAGCCGACCTCGTATAAGCAAAGATCAAGTGAATCTCCTATATTTTACAGGATTTTACTGAAGAAATACACTGAATAGACAAAAACTTGAAGCTAAGCTGAATGTTGGACTCTATCCAGTAATCCTTAGAGGACATATCGAAATATATATTTGCAATTAAATAGACGAATTATTCCTCAGACACATTGTCATTAACAACACATTCGATTGCACCCTTCTTAACTGGTTGGAATCAAATAAACAGTTGATTGGCTCCAGTTAAAACCTCACCCATTGATTCTGCAAGGTCTGGTGAAGGGTGGATAGCTTCAATCAGGGCCGTTAAAACCTGAAAAATATTGAGAAAATTCGGCATTACTGCCTTTACCTTCATACAAAAGAGAAACTTCATCGGCCTGTCCCCTAAAAACATCCATATTCACAGACGAACAGACAATCATACTAATTCGATGATTGTATACCTCTGGAAACGATACTATAGCCAAAATTGCCTGTCTGCCAGCTTCTGATCTGAATCAAAAGAGATTGAAGTAGAATTTTTAATGGTTAAAAAGGCAAGGAACAAGTCAGTGAACAGCAAGAAGATTGCAAGCAATAACTTTCAGTTAAAATGTTTCTAAAGCTGGATTAACTTCCAAGAGAAAAGGTAGAGCTGCGAGGAATACGACAGTATGAAGTCCAGCTCTCACTACGTATTAAAAGAAACGGAAGCGACAACAACCTGCTCATTGAAGCAAGATCCCAAAGAGCCCCAAATGCAGCATCGGACCCTGCGTCGGCACCTACAAAGCGATCTGCTGCAGAAACCTGAAGACGAAGGGAACCGCAAGCAGCACACCTTGAGTTCAATATTTGCAAACGTACTAAAAAGACTTGCACTACTTGACGATACAACCAGCCACGTAACAACCGCAGAAGATGAGAAAAAAGTTCAATCCCAATCAATCAGTGTTGCTAAGCGCGAAAGGATAAATCTTACCATAGAAATCCTGCTATGCAATGTCTCAGCCATACTTCCAGGGGTACATAAATAGCCCAAGGAGGATAGCACTGTCACATGTCGTATTGGTAATACCTCAAGCTCTTGCTCAGATGCACTCTTGAGGCCAGTTATCATCTTCGTTAGTGACTCCATATCAGCACCAAGAAACAGTAATCCTGCCAACCAAACACAGTAAGCATCGATCATCTCTTAAAACCAAAGCCTTCTTTAATATAATTATGATCCAACAAACATTGGCAAGAACTTGCTCTGAATGACTCGAATCAACAGCAGTAACAACTATGATTCGAAAGGAAAACAACTCATATTCATCCCAAGAACAAAGAAGGTAGTGAAAAGCGTGCGAATAAAAAACCTCATGGTCCTGAACAAACCTGAACGGCATTCAAGAAGGCGAAGTAGGAATCTTTGTGTAGCTGAAGCAAATTCAATGCTTACATTTGGCGCACTTCCATTTGCAGGCCAGATATGTGGTACAGACGAGAAGGCTGCAAGCGATTCCATAAAGCTTGTTTCCTGCATCCATTTACTACTTTCAATTTACTTTCGAAAATTAAAAGGAGTTGAACATAGAATAAAGTCATAGTAGTATTAAATTAGTCGAACGAACCAACAGCATCGAAAGCAAGCAAGCAACGTAGAAAATTCATGGCATAAAAGGCAAGCAAGGACAGAGACCATCAATATCGGCAAGGAAATATAAAATTTCGAAATAGACACCACTAAAAACTATCATCTAAATCGATCACTAGGAATATGTATATTAACTAAAACGCACGACAAATTGGCTAAACATGATCATACCTGAAGGATTGAAAGCAGCGCACAATCGACGTCTTCTGACAAACTCGTGAAATCATCGTAACAAGATCCAGCAGAAGTCGGCAACTTTGCCTCTTGTTTCACCCAATTGTACTCAACTGAAGTGCTTTCAACGAAACTCTTGATACTGAGCGCAATCTGTTCCATTACAAGCGCCCTCCAATCAGAAAAATGCCCGTGAGGTACAGATCTTTAAATTGTCATTTCACAGGCCAAATAAAAATAATTAAAAATTAAAAATTAAAAAAAATTAAAAAGAAATAAAAAAGAAGAAGAAGAAGAAATGATCTCATCCAAAACAGGAAATACTGTGCATACCAGAAGACCATTCAGTAATTTTGAAGCTTCTTTAATGGTGTCCGAATTTTGAGCAGAACCCAGATTTGTTAAAGGCTCCACTAATCGCTGCTAAAAACCACAAACATTTGTTAGCCTTCACTAACAAAAATTCATTGAGCCAAATGGTAAGGCATGACAGCAACGGAAGACAACAAACAGAGAAAAGACATAATTTACACAGAAATCAAAGGTATTCCTCAAAATATTATTCTTCCTTTCAGAGGATTGAATATAGTTCATCCAGAAATAATGACAATAATAATAATAAATATTACCGTAATGGTAACTGCAAGCTCGTAGCACCGAAGTCGTTGTAAAATTCGCTGAAGAAGACTGACAACGGGAGGGCGTTGCTTCTTCTCAAGCAATGAAAGTAGGATGCGTTTGTCTTGAGCTGAAAATTCCTCACAGCCAGATGCATGGCGGAGTGTACACTCAACCGAGGTTAAAGCAAACAACAGCAAGGCAGAAGTCCCCGAGATCTCCTCCACAACTTGATGCAACAACCTCATCCCCCCTCCGGCTAAGAAAGCAGGAACATCTTTGGGACAAGAAGTGAACAGAAGCTGGACTGCAGCTAGCCCTCCTAAAAGGCTCTCAACCTGTAAGAACAAGAAAAAGGTATTAAGAGAAGATATACAAACAGTATGGTTACTGAACATGGATTAATATAAGATTGAACGCAGTTACTATTTGCTCTACCATTCCTGGCTACTTTGACTCATTCAGCCATTAAACTTTGATCCAACCTATAGGCCAATTTCAAAACAACTACAAACCTTTGAGGTGCTCAGAATGGCAATGATCATTGGGCAAGCTACGATGGCGAAGCAATTTGAACCATCTAATCAATAGGAATAACAAAAACATTCTGCCTTCAGTGAGCTAGGGAAAAGAATAATACCGCAGAGATTGAAGAATTTAATCCAGCAGAGGGATCTAGTCCTACTTGTAGCCAGTGCAGAGACAATTGCACCAGCACTCGACCATTAGCTTCATCTGAAGACGTATGCTTGTCATCGCCTTCTTTCTGCTGCAACAAATTGTGAAGCTCTGACATCTCCCGAATGGAATCATCACAGAGAAGGCTTCTGGACCCATCTAACGGGTCATCCTTCTTCAAAGCACACCACTGAGCACCTTCGCGTTGACGTTGATGAGATAGATGCCATGCGGCTGCAGCTGTAAGTAACATCGACACCATGTGTTGCGTGGCATCCCTTCCGTCCACATATTTTATCAAACGTTGTAGTAAAGTTCCTTGTTCTTTAGTCGGAGGAGTATACAGTTGTAAGTTACTGAGAGACAAGATACTGGAAGGTTGTGTACACAAAATCTCTCGCAGGGAGACAATTTTTGAAGTGGCTCTTTGAGAGACATTATTCGTATCCGGATTGTTATCTACGCATAGCTCACTTGCAAGATTGCCATATATCACCAGCGTAAGAGACTTGTAGCTGCCTCGGAGCACAAGATGCTCAGTAACAGCCGCCTGTACGGTGAAGTTGCTAGAAGTCAATTATTAAATTAACCTAAATTTTTGAGAAGCATGCATTTATGGCCACTTCCATTTCATTTAGTACAGACCAGCTCCAGGAAAGTTGACATTTGTGAAGGCTTTTTAATGTGCAACTAAACTCGTACTATGCAAAACACAATTTTCATACCACTTGCATCAACTTTATACAATATCCATAACCCTCTGATCGCTTATAGATTAAGTCACTAAAAACAATAAGGAAACGAACAAGCAAGTGAAGTTACTGGATTGAATTGAATAGAGTGATAATATTAATACTGCACCAACTATTACTAGATCCCATGAAAGGAAAGCGATAATCCAGCTAAACATAGCAGAGAACACTACCTGCACATCAAGGAATGGTATCGCAGCTGGAGAATGAAGGAAAGCAGGCCCTAAGCGCTGGAAACGTGAATCTCTTCCACTGCGCACGTAAAATTCTAATGCACATGATTCTGGGCTTGTAATCCTGAGAGCCACGACAAGCGACAAACGTAGAGTTAGACTCTGCTTTCAAACACAGTATCCAAATCAACTCCAACGTAGCAGTTAAAAGAACGACTCCTGATATATACAGAACGCGACCGAAATATGCTTAAGGATAAAGAGTGTGATACACGAATGCTTCTGGATACGTAGATACTCATTTTACATATTATAATGCACCTCAACATGATATCCCAGAATGTCATCTGCAACAATTAACTTAAAAGTCCTACATCTGGATCAAGGTCTGAGTGTACCTACAGCTATTATTAAAGCGCAGTGTGTAACAAGAAGATGATCAACAAAGAAGCTGACAGTATCCTACTTCGGTAAGAATTTTATGTCAACATGACACTGCTCTTCATAATAATTTCTACATATTAAAAAATTTAGCTAAAGCTTCCGAATTAGACTAGTCGTTGAATTGTTTATTTCGAAAAACAGTAACAATAAAACTGACTCATTGAGACTTACCCTTTCAAAGCAAGAGTAGGGCACCGAGAAGGCTGATGTAGTTCAACGACCTCACAGGCAGTGATGACCACTGGTTCCGTGAATCGAACCTGGAAAAACGCCCCACATTCAGCACTGAGAATCCTGGAGCAGATATGAACATCCAACACAGTATGCACAGTGACAACTTAAAAATTGAAAAACGTTCAGAAAGTTGGATGCTTCTTTCAGAATCCATGTTTAGTGCTTCTCAATAGCCGAAAAAAAAACATTGCAGCAGTTCTAAGACACTGAGAAATACATCTCTTAAAAACCAGCACTGCGATAATCAATATTCAACATAAAATGCGAAAAGTAAAAGTGCAGTCTTCAAAACTCTTTGATCTCACAAGTTCACAGTAAACGCTCTACAATAATGTTCGAGCTACCTTAATAGCTCATAAGAAAAGTCAATCGGAGAGATGTAAACTGAACTACACGGTGATTGGCATGCTCTAACATTTCCAAAATCGTGAAAATGGATGAAGCAACAACATCCCCCACGCAACGTCACGTTATATATATTGACCAAGACAATGCAGAACAAGAACCTAGACACTTCAATCTCAGCGCAATAGGATGTAAACCCTGAATGTCGTGTTATCAGTATGTTACTGCACCAGTGAACATACTCTCAAGCTAACATCATAAAACCTGTAATAAAGATTACTGATATAAAAAACATTAGATCCTTAATTTAAGGAATCAAAAAAATTATAACAGCCTACAGACTTAAATCGGAGAACCGTAGAATTTTTCCAGCTCCAGACCCTGTGCTTCCAAGAAGGACGTAGATCACGCAGAAAAATCCATGACGAACTTACAAATATTTGAACCACAGTGTCGGGTTTGAAATTTTCATCTGTAATTAAAAAGTTGACTTTGAATTAAATATTTAGACGCCAATTGAGCTTCAAGAGACCACTGTCACGCCGCAGCTAACATACACCCTCGACATTTTCAATATCCCAGCACAACAGCCGACAGAAAAACTAGAATGGTTTAAACTGTCAGCGCAGACGATAACCATTGCTGCCCGTCCCACGACCAATCCTCCGCACCAGCGGCGAAGTTCAAATTAAAGCTACAACCCCGCGTGCCTTTCGTTTCATTACCACCACACCATAATTTCGTCCTCAGGCATGTTATTAAATTCAGTGGCCCGATGCCAATGTTATCCGCATTTAATCAATCGCACAGCGAGTATGATCTCCACTTGACAGAGGAAAACAGCAATGACGAGCGCAAGCAAAAAACCCTAATTGTCGATCGCTCCAACTTGTAGTTTGAAATAACAAAAAGATAACAAAGAATAAAAAGACAAAAAAGAAAATGCTTGCAGCGAGAACATATTTGCAAGAGCGAACGTGGTGATGAAATTGATGAAGTGGAATGGGCAGGGAACCTCATCAACGTGTTGGCAGAGGCGATCGTGGTGGAAAGAGTCGGCGAAGAGGAGGCTGCAGCGCGGGAGAGCAGCCATGGCTGGAGAAGCCGCGGCAACATAGCCGGGTGAAATGCAACCAAACCAAGCCTGCGACTGTATGAAAGCCTCCAGGTTCTGTTTTACCGGGCAGGGCTGAATACCGAGCTGGCTCGACGTTGTGCCCGGCACGAGAATATAACGGGCCTTCCTTTCAGGTGCCACTGTACGGTATATGTGTCTGATATTCCATTGAGCGAATTATACTGATCCCTTATAATACTAAAAACATTATTAATAAATATTAATATTTAACATACTCTTGAGGAATTTTCCAATATAGAAAAAGATATTTTTAGGTGTGATATTTCAAATTAACTTAATATCGTAAGCATGTAGATCTGGCAATATGTTGAAAACCAATATGCTTATGTAATATATATACACATTGAGATTTTCATTTATTCAATAAATTAATTGCTAAAATTTTGTGTGAATATATATATATATATATGGATACATGTACATTTGTGTGTATGTGTGATCTATGCTGGATTAGTTTGGTTTGGTGTACGCATTTATTGATATAATTATAAATAGTAGCAAATAAATATCTGATACTTACGTGCAATTTTGAGATTATTTAGATTATCTTCTTCAAAATACAGTATTGAGTTGATTTAAACCTTAAAATTCAACATTCCAAATCTTGTAAAAATTTGGGTGATAAAAAATATATGAATCAGAAGTATGATTTTATCACATTATTTAAAACAACCCATATTCTTTTAATTCATGTTAGCAAAACACTGCAATTTTTTTTTATTTTTTTCATTTTTTATTTTAGTTCCTTTGCAAAGGTAACATTCTAACACCACATCATATTAGTTTGTTTTAATTGTATAAATGGCAAAGTGTTTGCCGCTGGTGAATGAATGGGAATTGGCTGTTGCTCTGCAGGTTGTGTCGGCCGAGCTCCGTCACGACGATCGCCTCCCTATGTCACTTGAATAAATCGTATTCGGAAGACTTGCGCGGGCCATGGCTGCAGCAGAACCGGCGCTGGTTGCAGTTTCACATCGCCCTTGAGCTTGGACAGTAGCCGTTGAACGATGGCGGAATTCGGACGTGTGCAAAATGCACAAAACTTGAATTAGGGTTTTGTTTCCAATTCTCTCGCTCCACCACATAGTTTTACGTCGGCAATCGTTGAGATGTGGAGCCCGAACGCTGGTATGATACGCGTTTCGTTTGATGGACATCTCGGTATCTTTCTCTAACCAAACTATCTGAATAGCCGAGGCTTGTCAGGCTTGTGAGCAGCAGCATCATCTCGGCGTTGTCGTTTTCACTTCCCTTAATCTGCTTGTTCTTTCCTGCTGCATGCACTACAGTCTCCTTCGACACTCAATTCTCACGTTCCGTTCACAATTCCACATGGAGAAGGTGTGAACGGCCATGAGAACATGCGAGGCCCGGAAATTCACCAGCCCTTCCTGAGCGCCCCAATCATGAATTCATTCTATTACGGATCTGGTGAAGGGTAAATTACAGCCAAGTTTAATAAAAGTTACAGATATCGCGATTTCAAGGAGAGATTCGGCATTAAGAGTAGGGAAGAAACGGTTTATCAGCTGTTGTTATCTGATTTTTTTGCCACAGTTTCACATTCTGGACCGGTTCTGTGTGAAGGTTGGACTCGTGTGACTTAGGTGTTCTGTAGTTGAAAGGCCATGCAAAATAAACATCCACTTCTAATAGGTATGAGTCTCACAGGAAAGAACGAGAATAGAATAAACAGTGAGAATCCTTGTTACGGAATTTATAAGTGAAAGTTTCGAACTGAAACAGATGAAGCAGTGCTCAGAAAAGCAGAGCAGGCTTCCGACTAGAGAAAGCATGAATGATCTAATTTTATGCCTCCGGCTTGGACGTCTACATCTCAGGTCCAGGGCTCAATTGTTACACTAAATCGTAATGGGATTTCAAAAGACCCTGGAACTGATCTGCAGCGACAAGAATAACTCTCATTAACCCTTCTTTACAGGACCAGTCACAAGGTCATTTCTGGAAGTTGACCTACATTTTCAGAAATCGACTTCTTCTCGAGGTTCTGGGAATGTCGACACTTGGCAGCAGGGGTGCTGGCCCTTTCTTACGCCTCCCGAATTTCAATCGGTATGTTATGAATCCAAAAAATATAATCCAAGACAGAGGGATAAACCACCTGCACATGAAAACCCCCAAGCTTTTAATTAAAACGTTGCAATGTGTTTGAAATATATTTAGTTTCGATGCTCTATCAACCAGGAAAGAAAAAAATTCTTAAGATGCAACATCAAACTCACCTGTCCAAATCAAGCAATGGGCCGTAAACAGTTGCTTCCCACGCCGAGACCACTACTCGCCAAGTGGGGTTGTAGTAAAGGGACTCGGCAGACCAAAATATGCGTGTGTAGGTTTCTAAGAAAATGAAGAGCCCCCAAGCTGCAATCTCCAGGAGCAAGAATTTGATAACAAAGCGACCTACAACCACCATGACTAAAGACAGAACTACAAGCCAGTTGAAAAGACGCTGGTTGTAGTTGTTTATGAAATGGCTCCTTGCCTTCAACCACATCTGCAGGAATCCACGGAAAAAAAGAAAAAAGAAAACATCAAAACAAGGATCATTAAATCTTACTCACAACGCAAGTAAGGTTGAGGGAGATACGATGGACCTCTTGGGCCTAATAAGTTTCTGACTACGACGTTACCTTCTCCAAACGCTTTTGATACACAGGCTTTGAAGGTCCCAGGCAGTTTTTGGTGAATGTGATGTTGCATGATGTTATTCCAGCACTGAATTTCGCCATCGAAGGTAACCGCAGCCCCTGTAGACTATCTAGTTGATCTTCACAAGATGTGTAGATATTGTCACACTGTCTTGACGATCTAAAAGTATTAATTTCCACGAGAGTTACATAAGCCTGCAAACAAATCATGAAGGATGAAATTAGTACAACTGTTGCAAATGACACAACTTGCTCAAATCATCAATTTCCATAGTAAGTTTCGTTAGGTGTTGTTTGTATCTCTTCACGAAAATCGAGGGTGTCTGGAACTTTTACCTTCTCCACTTGCATGAGAAGCATTCTTGACGATTCGTCGTTATCTTTTTGCCTCCCAAATCGCTCCTTTCCAAACAAGCTAGTGACCTCGTGAACGGTACTCTCATGACCACTGAGGAGCTCTTCTTCACGAACAGGCAACTGGAATTTGGACATACGAGTATTGTACAACGCTACACATCGATCAACTACAGCTCTGTTGAAAGCTTCCACCACATAGCCAGCTGACGGAATCTCCCCTTTGTTTAGAGCATCCAGCGTCTGCGTGACCCCAAGCCAGAGTGAATAAAGTTGCTTGTATGCCAAAAAAAGATCACGGCAATATCCTTTTTCAGAGCATGGAGGGAAAGGGGAAGAGAGTTATGAAATGACCTGTTCTAGAAGAGAGACGAAATCTTTTCCAGTGATTGTCCCCCCTTGGACTATTTTTGGCCGAATCATAGAAGTCACAACCTTTTTTAAGCGCTCCCTCTGGCTCACGTATGAATGATGAAGTTCTGAGTCTCCCATTTCACAAAGCTTTGTACGCTCCAAGTGTGGCTGAACGTGCACCAGAAGGGAAGACATTTTAATTTGTATGTTCACATGCATGCGTAAAATAGGAATAGATTAATATGTGTCCAGATTGAATCAAGACGAATGCTCCAAAATATTTGCGAGAATATACTTAAGATACTTGAAAGAGGATTCAAGGGAAGTCGTACCCACCTGAGGTAAGCTAAAAGCTGTGCTATTCTCTGCCATTAACGACAAGGATTTCCGTATGCGATTCACCTAAAAATAATAGTTTGTGCTCTTTGTTAGAAAGGAACCCAAATAACACGTTCAGGAGGCTTCGAAGTCATACAATGGAAGCTTTCTGCAAATGAAACGAAAATAGACGAATCCATCAAGCTGTATTTCATTAAACTTGTCAGTGCATTTGACCTGACTACATGTGAAACTGAATAACATACCTGGAATATGTCCTTGTTGTCTGAAGCAAGATACACAGGAGTCAACCAACGACAAGATGATCAGTATCTGAGTATTGACTCAACATCCTCACACCGGAAATCTGCAAGAGATTACTTACGATGGAAGTGAGTCACACTTCTAAGTCCAATCCAACACTTAAGACCAAAAAACCAAGTCTACTTATGCTACCCTAAGACACTGAAAACCATAAAGATAAACCTCTACGAAAGGAAGAACGTACTGTCAGGATTGGGAACGGTCTGCAGCGCTTCTTCCACCATCGCCTGAACTGACTTTCCCTCTGACAAGCACATAGCAGGTGTATCAATGTAAGTTATTTAGGGGCATGAATTCGGTTCCAGTGCGACATATGCATTGACTCTACGTTGGTGGGTAAGCATAAATAATCTAGCTACTGAAAAAAGATGATTCAATACCAAGGAAGTCGCGTTGGATCAACCAGAGCAGCTTAGCAGGTTCCAAAATACTTTCTCTTCCCTGCACATCATAGTATTTTACCCAAAATCAATTTCCAACTACAAAATTTTGCAGCTACGGTTTTAGAACACAAAGCTTAACCCAGCCTCAGGCAACAAGTTTGAGTAGAGAAGCAAGTAAATAAAATGTTGCTCGAGTAACATTTTGAGATCATACAAGATACTAGGAGGATTAAGCAGCAAAGTTGATGTACCTTAACCCTGTCACCAAAATGTGACGCCCAAGTTTGGCGCACAACCAACCAACCAAGAAACCAGTCAAAATGGTGGTGTAACGGATTTGGAGTATGTTATTGAAAGAATTAGGAGTCGTCAAATTTTACTCATATGTAGCCTGATTCCACAGATGCAGTAGAGGACTTCCTTGACAATTGATCAGAATACAGAAAGGGCAGAGAAAGAAACTTACCGACCATAAAACTCTTCTGCCAAGTCTACTGCAAACGACAGCTTGGCGATATCAGCCTCACGTACCTGCATCGAAATTGAGGAACTGGTGAAGGTGAAAAGGCTCGAAGTACATGACAGGAAATAGCTCGAAATAGACAGTCATCCTACAAGTTAATCTCAGCGTTAATTCACTCTAGATGAGCCTGCGTGGCAAGATGAGAAACCGTACCGTCTCCGGCAAATTATAAATAAGAACGGAACTCATTATAGCTGCTAGTGCAAATATCCTGCATACCAAAGTTCACACTCGAGTCATGAAACAGAACTTCACAACCAGCTCTTACTAATGCGACACAGCATAATTAAGTAAAGGCGTATGCGTATTGCGGTACTTCGACTATTACGTTTTCGCAAAAGGTACAATGTGTTGCATAAAGTTCACCACGGAGATATGTACCTATCATCATAAACATTGGACTTTCCAATACTCTCAAAGCCTTCCGTGTCCAAGAATAAGACCGAGGTCTTCACACCGTCGAGGTTGATTTCCAGAGGCTCCCCCCACGCCCAAATACCTGCAGCACATATTCACCTTTGGAGGTCTTAACAGCGCAGGCCTCATGGATTCCAATGCAATTTTGAATGAGCCAACCGTCTACAAATGCTACCAAAATGAAGGAGAAATCCAAGCTATATATGCAGTAAATTTGACTCCCTGCAACAAAATGCATGCTTTCCTGCTTGGATGGAGACTACCACTCCAGGTAAACAGCAAGGAAAACCAGAAAAAGCAAGACAACTCGAAACGTTTTGGGGGAAGAACCACCAATCAGCCGGGGATAGACCAAAATGTATCCTTAAGGCCAGGTTAATTGAATTGCACACCTCTCGTCTTCGTGTCCCGCATGTGGCCAACGCCAAACCCTGCATACACGTGATTGAGGATGAGACTATGCTTCAAAGCCTTGATTCTACGACTAACAGGTAGTTTGTGGAAGTTAGGACTAAATGTTTACATCCAATAAAAGGTGAAAACATTTAAGCATTCTGACTTGGAGTTACTGATGAAGATGAAACTATAAGTAAATAAATAAATACCTTCATTGCAGGAAAGTGACAGAAGCTGATTGAGGAGAAATGATTTTCCAGAACGATAAGGTCCGATGACCTGCAAAAGTTTAAAACTCGTTCGTGTTATGTACAATGCTAACTGCCATGCAATTGGGACCTTAAAACAGTAACACAGGAGGATTTCAAAGCCTTGTAAAACAGCTTTGCAGGATCATCACATCTCAGAGATTGTTTAAAGGAGGGAAGGCAGGAGAAAGTAAAGACAACAAATGGTTTTGATTCCACACGCACCGCAACAACCGCAATTGGATTCGTGATTCGCGCTATAGCATTCAAACCGCTTCTAGATACCGCTAATTTTGTGTGCCCTGGATCCGGCTCCACGATTGAAAACCTAAATCCCCAAGTTGTACACTTCATTACTCCTCAACCGCAAAGAATACCTTGTCTGGGATTTATTGCGTTGTCGATAATTTAATGGCATTGACCCGTCAGTTGTGAGTTTCTCGCCACAAGAACTAGACGCACATCTATAAATGCGATGACAAGCGTTCAAGTGATTTTCACTCAATTACCTAGGTCAAGTATGTAAGAATCAGAAGAATGTAATTGTAGCTTACGCTTTGTGGAATTGTGAGGAAGTAGAACCGCGTAAATGACTTCCGGACATATCTCCATATCCAACCACTCCGATGAAATAGCAGAGTACGAAGGAAAGAAAGGCCACCCTTGAGCACGTTTTACTTTGCCTCCCATCCATTGTCAACTAGGTTTACAAAATAAATAAAAATCTGTACCTCAATTCATGCCTTCTCGTAACGGTTTCAATCTAGCTGCAATCAACAGAGAGTAACAAGAATGAGAATGATTCACTAACTGCTGTTCATGCCAATTCTCAAAATCATAACCCAAGAGTGTCGACGTTTCTTGAGCTGTAAGGAAAAATGAAATTGACGTACTGAGAAGTAGTCGCGAGGCTGCATTGAACTGTACACACTGACCTGGGCAAGGTCCTCAAAGGCTGTAAGATTACAATTGGATCCATTGTCGGTAGAGTCTACAGTTGCGTTCTGCCACTTGTTACACATATGAGCTCAAATGGTTCAGGTAAAACCCAGTTCTACGCAAATGAATCGTTTGTCTTTCATCAAATGCTCCGGTGACATATACTGAGCTCGAGTAAAGTCATGCATTCGGAACGATTCAATAGATCTGCTAACCAAGTGCCCGGAAAATCAACCACAGCCGCACAAATCGCACTCCGGCACCCATGTCAACAGACTAACCCCACTCGAAAAATCGCAGATCCCATCACACAAACGTCTACACACCCCGCCTCTTGCCACAGATCTGTTTCCTCCTCCAACCAAAATTCCAAGAGAGACAGTGGGTTGAATCACACGGCAACTACAGCGACATAAAAACTCCAAATGTACCCTATAAATAGCCCCGCAATAGCCAATATTTCCATCTGCATCCCAAAACTCTCAATCAGCTGTAAACACTCGAAAAACCAAATCAGCGCGGGGATTCAAGACCAGAACATCCCAGGCATTGAGTCAAGTCTCTCTATTTTCCGATTCGATAGGCCGTGATCGCTCGACTGTAACTCAACCTTGGCTTCTACAGGAATGCTGCTAATTGTACTACAGTTGCTGTAGCGGAACATCGATGGAGGAACAGTCGAAAAAAGTGACTACGACTCGATGTGCATACAATCATCGGCAGTTGATGGGGCGTAGTCGTGGCTCGAGCGTTGAAGACTTGCCAGAACGAGGGAACATGGGGGCCTCAAAGTCCACCGGCGGCGGCGGCGAAAGCGGCAATCGAGGCCATACTGCGGGTGATACCCGTATCCATCCGGGTATGGAAGATGGTTGAGGGATGCTGTGAAACTCTCCCGGGTTTTACCGAAGCCCGTGAAATGAGGGTATTTCTTTCCGACGGCACAAGCGACGAATGTGTGGTGTCGCTTCGTATGGGTTTCCTCTTTTCCTTCATGTTCCTTTTTCCTTTTACGTTTCGTTTTGGATGGATGAGTAATGTTGGTAAACTACATCCGTTGTGAAGAACCAGTCCAATGGCTTGTGACTTGGATATTTTTTTATGTTAATATCACCACATTTTTTACTACTGCCACCACAATCTGCCATAGTTTTTGTTAATATAATCACAATATTTTATTAAAAAAAATCATTATTATCATGTAGAATTTTTAAAAAAATTAATAAAATTTGAATATGTTTAATTATTTATTTTAAAATTTTACTGAAATAAAGTGGAAGGAGAAGAAGACAAAAAAGAAGCTAATAGTTTAGATTCCAAATCATTACTTCTGTAAATAAGAATAGAAATACCAATATAAGTAAATTTATGCTATATTTTATCTTCTTCGCTTTTTTTCTTTTTTTTAAAAAAAAGTTCTCGACAAATTTGTGATTTACAGATTTTTAAACACAGCTATATAGTATCTCATGCTATATATGTATCTTTTTTCCATTTTGGGTTTTCTTTTCTTTTTTCTGTTTGGTTTTTCTTTACTTCGTCTTTTCTATACATTTACATACATACATACATACATTCGACGTCTATACAAAAACTGTTCACTCCGCGAAAGGGGTCATCATCAGGGCACGCTGAGGTGGAGACCGACATGGCAATGCCGCCTTGGTCGAAAGGTGCCACGTAATCAGATAGTTTATCTGCAGGGGATGTGCTACGGAGCCAGAATTGTGGGTATTCGTTTTCCCGAGTGTGGCTATGGCGACAGTGGCTGGGGCTGTGCCGCCGATTTCCTCATGCCCCGTCTCGTGCCCCGCCAGACATGGAGCAGGGGTGGTCGACAACTTCAGTTACCGCAGGAGCTGGAGCTGGCGCGATCGTGACCACCAGTGGCAACAAAATTGGTGCCGTTACAACTGCACGCCCATCCTCACTGCGAAGGTTATCCCAATTCGTCATTTCTGTTGCTCATGTCGCGTCGGAAGCTCGAATCGGCTGCTTCCGTGTCAGAGAAATGTGTTGGGAATTTCTTGTGGGGAATCTTCTTGTGGGGAGTCTTGTTTTGGACAATCAGGCATGGTTTTGAGATGATTTCTAAAAAGGTTGTGCGTAGATTAGTAATTTTCTTATGCTTTCTGTTAACTTCAGATGAGGATCGTGCGTTGCGTTATGCAGACTCCTCCTTTATTTTATTTAGCTTTTTAGGATCAAGTGTATTACAAGATAGACACCCTTATGTCGAAACTTGAATAAACTTGGGTACTTGTGTAGGTTAGGGTAAGGCGATGTGGAGCATACACCAGGAGTTCAGTGACGGCCCAATCTCGAGATGACAAGAGGGGAATCGTGATAACGGGGGGGTCAAAGGGACTGGGTTACTCGCTTGCTCGAGAGTTTCTCGCTACGAATAATTCGAAGGTCGTTATCTGCGGTCGCAATGCCGATCGACTTCAGGCTGCAGTTGCTTCACTGCAGACAGAATTCGACGATTCTTGCATTCAAGGAGTACGATGCGACGTGTCGAATGCATCTGATGTTGCTGCCTTGGCTTCTTTCGCAGCTGAGAAACTTGGAACCATTCACTTCTGGATTAACAATGCTGGTAATTTTTGATCTTGTCCAAGTTGTCCTCCTTTAGTGTCCGCCCTAGCTCAAGATATTAATCATTTCTACTCACTCATTGGCTTCTAAGTAACTCATACACATTCATCTCATGATGTAGTTGCACATAGCTATGTTATCTAACCTCATGAGTTCGGATGTTTGTAGGAGAAGTGACAGGCAAGAAACTCCTGGCAGATGTGGATGCTGAGGAAATTGTTAGGGTAAGCGGAACAAACGTGGTGGGGTCGTTGTTGTGCTGCAGAGAAGCCATCCGCCTGATGCGCCAACAGGAGAGCAGCTCTGAACCCATATACCATATTTTCAACATGGGGTTTTCACGATGGGGTGCCAGTTTCACGAAGTCTGCTTGCACACACAAGTCAACAAAGGTGGCTTTGACTCAGCTCACACGTTCATTGAGCGAGGAGCTACAAGCAGCTGGTACTTTCGAATTCAAAGTGTAGACTAATGCATGTTTGAGTTGAGATATTGAACTCAGAATTCTATTCTTACACTTTCTCACGCTTGAAATGCTTATCACTGACGTATTGCTTCGTCTGAACAGACAAATTTTGCAACAGAAGGTGTAAATAAATTTCAAACGTAGTTGTCGTCCTGTGTGTGCACATTGAGATTGAGTTTCTGAATTTCTGATCCATTAATCCATAACACTGATCTACTTATAGTTATGCCTACATTTTCATTGAAAGTCGCTTTTCTGCATTCTGTTTTGAGTTATTTTGTGTTTCATGGTTTTATATATAAAAATAAATAAACTGGTTAGTGCAGGTCTAAGCAGCATTGGAGTGCATAACCTTTCACCAGGCATGGTCCTGACGGACCTATTATTGAAGGATTCAACACCAGTTGCTCGTCGATTCTTCAATACTTTGGCAGAGGAGCCAGAGACCGTTGCCAAGGACTTAGTACCTCGAATACTTGCAACTCGGGGGACGGGGCAGAGTATTGAATGCTTGTCGCCTGCATCAGCATTTTTCAAAGTAGCAACTGGGTTCCCCCAGATTATTCAAGGTGGCCGCTTTTTTGACAAGGATGGAAATCGCGTGAAAATCCGTGGAGAGAGTTACCAGGAGAATGGTGTGAAATTGATGTGAGTTTAAATGAATGTAACTTTGAGAACTGTAAATTAGCATTTTGTGAGCAGAAAGCTATCCTCCCGCTTCCCTAACATGCTGGTCTGGATTATTGCACTGATAATCTTCACCATGCAACTTGGTTTGCGGTGCCGCTGCACTGGGGCACTCTGGCAGGATGCAGTTTTGTTTATTGTTGTCATTACTCTACTCGAGCATAGGCAAAAGAAATGAATTGGAATTTTTTTCTTTATATTCAAAACAAGAAAATCTAGGTGTAAGATTTAGAGTTTCACTCCATTACTAGAGAAAACATCTTGTTGCCCTCTTTCCACACATTTTTTTGATAAGGGTATTTTCAACTCCAACAATTGGATACCTCTAATTGTTTCTAGTATTACAATCTTCTCCATACAAAATCATTGTAGGATTTTGAGAGTTGAGATGTTTGAAGAGAATACACAAGCAATCTTATACCAACTGTATGCATATATATATATATATATATATATATTCCATCAAGAGTACATTAAACAAGAAACTTTTGTGTAAATAAGTAAACTCAGAAACATTTCAAATAGAAAACTGCAGATGATAATAAATTTAAACTTTCTATTATTTACATTGATTAGTATGGAAAGATCTTCAAACACAATAAGATTTTGTTAATTTGGCTAATGATTTGAAATATTTATTTTAAATGAAATTCTTAGACAAAATTGAATAACAACCTCTAATACAAAAAATAAAATAAAGATGCATCATCATTTGATTAATATTTAATAGTGAAGAAAACTTATCAAATTTGAAGATTAACAACTATAATTAGATTTTATCTTCTAAATACTAAAAATAGTCAAATTATTTATTTATTCAAATATATATATACCAACCATTTTAAAATTACTTAAATTTTTTGTTTATTGTAAGGACTTCTTTAGTGCAAATTTGATCGAAACATCTTATTCAAAATAATTCTTTGCATTGCTCATACTTGCAAAAATCAAATCTTAGTATCTAGGCACAAATTATTTTACATAGAAGTTATAAGAAAATTAATCAAAATACCAAATTGGATTGATATCTAAAAGTTACACTAAAAATATTATTTGATGTAATAGGTTGTGTTCAAGTCATTAGTACATCAGATTTAAAATTGGATACTACCAATTGCTATTATAGATAGTAGATGTAGATGAAATATTATATAAGATTTTTGAAGCTAGAAATGATTTATTTTATTATTAGAAGTTTCTTCTATTTAGCCTTAAAAAGTGACTTGAGAAAATTTAAAGCATATTTTATATAATTTTAAATATCCATGTATTAGCAATAGTAGAGATAAAGATTGTATTGTAGTAAATATAAGTTCTTTTAGACTTGATTATTCTATTTAGAGCACATTATTCTTAAAGAGCTTGGTTTAAAAGGAACAAGATCAATGCTCTATAGAAAATCCTAACACCAAAGAACATAATACAACTATGACTTAATAAATTATAATTCTTATTTTGTTAAGATTTTGAGCTTACTTACTAAACTTTTAATTATGTTTGCCTATAAAACCAAGTTTGGACTTTGGATTATAAGTAACACTATTATTTTAATGCATTAAATAAACATATTTTAATTATAATATTTTATTTTTTAGATGTCATTAAATTATGTTAAATGAAAATATTTATTTTTTCTTTAGTTAAAAATAAATTAGATGTTTCTCTAAAGCAAAAATATAAGAAAGTGGGAAATGTATCTAAAACTATTAAAAATATAAAATAAAATTATTTATCTTTTGAATAAAAGATTTTGTTTGCCCTTTAGGCTATTTAATTTTTTTGCTAAATATGTGTAATAAAAAAATTACTTTGATAACTAATCAAAAATCAATAAAATAACTTATGAAATTAGATAAATGTACAAGCAAATTGACCAAATGGGCATAATTGATGCAAGAATACAATTTAAAGGTGTGTTTAAGAAGCATTATTAGTTTGGATATAAGTATATATATATGTATATATATATATATATATATATATATAATTTAGGTTCTTTAGGTGAAAACTTGTCCAACATTATATGATATTGTAATTAAGTATATACAACACATTTCATATTTTTTAATTAATATTATTAGAATAACATGTATCAACAAATTTCTACTTAAATTTTTTTAACATTGCACAGTTAAACTTGCACAAAAAATGCCTATTATTTAATTTTAGACATCAAGGGATTTTTGAGGACAAGGTGGCTGCTGCGGAATACATACAACTCAGAACCAATGCTAACATAGACCAGGCTTGCTTCTATTCAATACCATCAAAGTTTAGAACCCCCCACCTCAGCTACTTCTCCTCTCAAATTCACACACTTGTTGCTTGCCTTCCTTAACAAAATGAGGAGCAGAAGAGTAAATAACAGTATTAATCTTCTGCATTTATCCAATGACTACAATTAGCACTTACAAATTGGGGAGTTACAATATGTCGGACTGTTCTAGGCACCAGAAAGAGGTTTTTCTAAATATCACATGCCTAAAAATAGCTTACTTGAGAACAAAGACCGTAAGTGAAGTGCAAATTTTTTAAGAGAAGGGGTCAATACACACAAAAATGCAGGTTTGTCGTGAACAGTTCCTGACGATGATATTCTTCTAGGCCCGGTTTATTGCATTTAGAGCAGGTCAAATTCACACAACGGAATAATAAGATCCAATTTGTGAGAATTCTATCACCATTTTCATAATTGATAAGGAATACGTAAATCCAGGTGAGCATTAAGTGGACCAAATAATGTCCATCCACGGACTTAAAATGAAAAATGTAATGATTTTTAATGTCTTAGTGTTACAGAAGAAAAATAGTTCACCAAGTGGGATTACCAATCACCTTCTACAATAACATTTGGCTTGTACCTAGCATCAATTGCGATGAATGAGTAGATCGTGAAATATTGCGGAACAGACAGCCCGGTGAAACATCCATGCATACCAAACTAAAGAGCACAATCCGCTCTGCTTTAAGGGTTTAGGGTCTATCCTTCAGTATATGTACACGACGCACGATATTGTGATCACGACAAAGTGCAAGATTGGATGCAATCGTTCCTCAAGCACCCATTCCAGTGAAAGGCATACATTGAGATTGAGATTCATGGTCTTCCCCTCGAAATTCGCCTCCAAGCAAATTAACCTGCAGACGAAGGAAAACAGTGAATGTGGAGAATACTACACATACAACATGTCGAACCAAATTTGGACAGCATGTTACAGCGTGATATCAAAATGAAGGAGCTGATGATTGCCTGCACTAAGCTGAAACCTTGCATTGGTATGAAAATATAGATGGTGTGAATTGTAGAGAACTTGAGCGTCCACTTTTGGGTAAAATTATATTTACTAGATATCTCCAACTTATTTAGACGATTCAACATCGCATATAAATTTCAACCGGAGTATTAATTGAGGATAAATTCGGTCCCAACTAGTAAAAAAATTCAGATTCAAACCCACTATAAATCTTTGATATAGGCCATAGAACAGTACCTTGACAATTTCTGATCTTGAATGTGGATGATTATAAGCCACGAGCATACAAAAGTGAAAATCCTGCAATTATATTCACGTGAAAAAATTTGGTCATGGTAGCTCCACACACGTTCAATAGAGAAGATGCAAGTGTTACCACTTTAAGGATGACTATTCAATGGGAAAAATCCTGTAATTCATCAATCAAATTCTGAGCATGTAATTGTCTTTGCTACTTTGGCTCGTTTCACATATAATTGGAAAATCTTTTTCTAAAACCAAGAGGCAATTAGAGCTGCTATAGAAATTGCTGGTAGCAAACTGTTTTTAAGTAAAGGAAACACAGCAACATTTATGCTCACCTTGAAAGGATCACCTCGCAGTGATTGTACGTACGAAGAGTTTCTCAGTCCTCGACCCTAATGCAAAAAAAAAACAAAAAAAACAAAAAAAAAACAAAAATTAAAAAACAAAAATCAGCTCTGAACTTGAAGATCGCGTAACTTCTGTAAAAAATCTGATAATTTTGGAAACATGAATTGCACGATTAATCAAAATAACAAGAATGTTGTGTTGCAAACATAAGAGGACCAAATCAACTAACGGGGGTATTCAATATACGCCAACTTTTGCAATTCATCTCATTTTAAATCCTAAAATTTGTAGATAGTATCAGACTGAAAAACACTATCACCTCCACTGCTAAATCTCGAAGCCGCCGGCCCGTTTGAGCACAACAAACACGAACCACATTTTCTTCGCAACTGCCACTAATGATGTAGTCGCGACCATTGAGATAGTAAGAGCGAGTGTAATTTTGATTGCTTCCCTTGGGAGTTATATCAAACTTCATGTGAAGTCTCCCATCTACTGCCAAATGTTGTCTTACCTGAGACATCAGATCACTCAACGTGAGTGCTCCAAATACTCACAGAACTACTTAGAATGTTCGTGTTATCTACTCAAACTTTTGTTACCCTCATCTTTAAAGATTAACATACTTAGCACCTTGGAAAAATTAGAGCACATGTTAAAGTACAAAAAGTTGCAACATTGTACAATCAGACCTCAACATTGAGGTACATACTTGGAAAACAGATGACTTCATCAGTAATAATTTCAAATTTTAGATTGACCAACAACCAACTACCAGCACAAATCAAAAAGCAACCAGAGGACCTCGAAATATAATTCCGACAAAAACAAGGAACATCGTTTAGAAATTGTCAATAACAGTGCAAACGAGACGATAGGCAATAATCAACATACTTACCTCATTATCAACAGCTGACGAAAGCAGATAATGATCGTCACGAGAAAAACAAACCATAACGTTGCCTCGGTTGCTCCTAACAGTGTATAGAGGCTGCGTAACTTTCTGTCTTAAATCCCACATCTTAATCTCCTTGTCAAATGATGAAGTAGCAAATATCTGAGGGGAATGATTCGCAAACTTCACCACATTGATATGCTCTTTATGAAGGTCACGAAAGATTTGCAATTGTGTGCCAGTGCGAAGATCATAAAGACCCACATGATTGGAATATCCACTTGCTACAAAATAATCATCTGTTGAGTTTATGTGAACAGATGTAAACTGCTCAAAAGCATCATATGTGTAGATTGTGGGGCTCCTCATACTTCTGCTGCCAAAGCTCCCAGACAGAGATTGTCGACCCGAACCCCCATTTCCCTGAGATTGATACCTACTGGAAGCACTCGAAGACGCATTCCGTCTATTAGCCGATATCATAGAGGCTCGCATGTGGTTTACATCGTAGAGTTGAAGGCATCCATTCTCTGATCCAGCAATCAGCTGCACAATGTGATGAGAGGAACAAGCGTTTTCAGTAAAATTGGACTTAAGCTTTAGAAAAGACAGAAATAGGATATTTGGGAAAACAGGAGAACATACAAGCTTCTATTGTACCTTATTTGGGTCTTTGTTTAACCAACAGAGTCCTAGAATACTGTGTGGAGCACCAATCGATTGTACATATCCCACCACCTTATCACTCTCGTGATTAATAACCACCACCTCTCCCTGAACAGTTCCAAAAACCATATAGCTTGGTTCTGTGGGATGATACTCAAACTGGCGTGGTCGACATCGTCTTCCACCATATAAATTTGGTTTTTTCGAACGGCATATGGACTCGGTTGCCGGCCATGCACTAGTTCCCATTTTGGCAGCAGACAAAGACCGAATGTACTCAGCAGGACTCCTCTTATCGTCAATGTATCCTAACCTGCTATCACAAGGAGCTCGAATACCAAAACCACCTGTTTCCCGCAGCTTGATAATCTGCACAATTACCAAAGAACTCAGTATCGAAATAGACCAGGATCCACTAACTCAAGTGTTAGAAAGCTCTAATGTTCTTATTGATTTCTTCCCTCACTTATACTTCTGTGTAAGTATACCTTGAGAATATTCTCCTTCACCCTACGACCATTGGCTAATGGCTCAAACCGCTCCTCAAAGACGCAACGAGCTCTTTCTCTTTCGCTATCCGTTACGGCCACATTATCTAGGACTTGAAGCGCAGGCAGCATTGTAATCATAAACTCTCGGTATCCCTTCTCACAGCAGATAGGTGATGCATGACGGGCACCATGCAAGGCCCATGCAAGATTTGATGCTGGAGTGGTTATAGGACAGGGCTCCTCCCCATCTTCTCCAGAGCTTTCTGCTCCACGTTCACTAGCCCCTTCGCCACCGCCGTCACTTAGTCTGAAAGTGCTCCTCCGGTTGGACTCTTGAATAAAGGCAGCTGCTTCTCTAGAGGAATTATTGGTCCTTGTAGCAACTACTCTCTCAAGTGCTTCCAACATTGTTATGTCAGAGTCATCAGTTTCCAAATCCTCTCGTCTTCTGACAGAAGCATTAGATAAGATTCCCTCAATTGAAGTCACAGACTCTGGTAGAATACTAGAATCATCCAGATTAATAAGGTCTAAAATCGAATGCCTATCAAAGTTGCCTCCGTCATCCTCGCTTAAAAATGTCACAAGCTGTTCAGAGACTGAACGAAGATCTTCATCTGCGATGGTGTTTCCACTATACGGGTCACCTCGATCTTCACTTATCTCTCTAATGAGATTGTGGTAGTTCGGATTACCCTCTCTGACAACGTCCATGTCCTGGCTCTCACTTGGTACAGCCTGAAAGTACATCCAACGCGAAAATGAAAACAATGCACCTCAAGCGAACCTTTCAGTAGAAAATATTTCACAAAGATATTAGCTGCCTAAAATCATAAAAGTAGATTCCTTTCAAAGATTAAAACCTGACCTGCTCGACATCGCTGTCTTCTACAGATTCTCCACTTGAGTTACCAGATAAATGACTGTCTTCTGATTCTGCATCTGTGAATAGATGCTCTGAATCATCTTCACTTCCTGAAAAGTCAGAGGGAGCAGAACCATGAGACTCGTACTCCTCTCCACCCCTTGCAGGAGGTGGCGCCCACTGCCTGGGCTGAGTTCTCTCCGCGCCACCCTGTCCATACAGACAAAACTTCAGCCTCGTGTCGCAAATATCTGATACCTGTTGAATGATGATGCAGTCAATCCATCCTTGGCAACTACACTAGAAACGACTGATTGGACTTAATATAAAACAACACTACCAAGAAGCAAACATAACACTGAAAGACCTGATCTAACAACAGTACAAAAAAATGGGATCTCACAATATAAACATCACACCTGGTATAAGCGCCCCTCCCGCCAACTAACTCCATCATTTTGCAGACAAGCTGCCAAAGCTGCGCACTGGCCTGTCCCTTGACAACATAAACACTTTTGAAAACGAAGCTCCCTCAAAGCTGAAAGCTTCCGTAAAGCTGCACTTGTCGTCCACAGGTTCATAACTTTAGTGCCACACATGGAAAGCTTCGTCAGCTTAGGCATGGCACTAAAGCACCCCAGAGGTAAGCAAGTAACTGGGAAGCAGTAGTCAAGCTTTAGGGTGTGTAAGTTGGGAAAGTATCCCAACATCTCCAGTTTCCGAATGCGTGAGAAACTAAGATCCAAACTCTGACAGTTGAAACCACCTTGAAATAACTCTCTGTAACAAACAAGTAACGTTTGCATCAAAATACAGCAAACATCTAAGTTTTTTTAATACCGTTTCCTCATGTACAAACCGTAGGAAACCAATGATTTAACAGTTTGCCGATAGTGAGAGTATACTCTTAACCATACTACACACAAAGTCACCTACCTCACAGCCTCTCGTCCAAGAACGTTGTCTCTCAAATCTGCCATGCGAAGCTTGGAGCCCGCAGATCGCAAAATTTGGACTAGAAGTGGCCATCTCAGATTCGATACTGTGCTGCTAAAGACAACATCAACTGCGTCTAAATCTGAACTTTCAACTGCTGACAACATCTCAATAAGAGGTTCCATATCAGTCTCTGGAATTTGATCCAATAGAAGTTCAAGAGTTTGTTTCTCCTTCTTCGCATGCTGAGAACGAACCTGGCAATCAGTGTGTGAATGGAATTCGTCTATTAGGTTAACGTCAAAAGTTTCAGAGGAATCGACACAAACAAAAACCGCACTGTCTGATCATGAAAGTAATTCAATTCCCATCCTTGCAATGAGCAGTTGATATGTTTAAACCTGACTTCGATTATGATCTACCAACGTAATCAAACACTAGTAGAAGTACAACACTGAAATGGGAAAAGTTACTACTCTTAGAACTTCCAGGCCAAAATGAGCTGCAAGAAAGTGATGCCCCAAAAAATATGACGAACATTGTGTTTATTCCTTTGAGAAACTGAGGAATGAAGATATACACAACTGACTACATCTAGAAAAAGCTTTTACTGCTGAAAATACAAAACCTTGATAAACCTAGAGAACTGAAGCAAAGCTACGCACGAGGAAAAACATTACACACACAAGTTCACCTTGTCGAAAGCAGCAGATATTGCACCATGAGGGACTGTGCCATGCCTTTCGCATGCACTAAGATACCTGCAGAACGAGACGACAGTCACTAACAAACACCCAGTGCCTACTCTCAAAAAAAAACCACCAAGTCAGACAAACACCTAAATATGAACAATTGAATGTTTAGAGCGACTAATGTAGACACAACCCCTTACATATATGGAACATGGTAAATAGTGCCTGCTTTGACTAAAAAAAGAATAATTGCTACCTACATTCGCGAAAACCTCAAAATTCATTCTCTACATTGGTGCATAATTTTAAAGAAAAAAGGCACTATCATCTCCACAATGATACCAAAGTATTGCCCTTCACAACCCCTCGAGCAACCTACCTATCATTCAAACCATTGTAATCACAGAAAGTAAGCATTCCTTCCATTTCTTCGGTCGGCTGCTCCATCCTCCTCCACTCCAACACTTGAACCTACGTGAAAACAGCAACTACTCCCCTGCTATTCGCGCATTCTTCACAGTTGAAAATATTCTCCTGGAGGATGTAACCAAATCGATTGTGAAACGTCGAATTTGTATTTGAGCACAACCCCCGGCGTCAACACAAGTATGACGTCCATACCCTGCACCCGACGCCAAAGAATAAAGAGTATCATAAATGATGCACAAAAGCACAAAATGGTTGTCGAAAACATCCAGCCTTTGAACTGTTCACAGCCCAAACTTCCGTTGGCATAACTGGTTTCGACATTTATGCATTTATCCACAGTATATCTCAAGCCAAACCTGAACGTGAAAATATGCAACATTCCCCAGAAGCTGTCACTTCATACTGAAAATTGGACCCCGCTTGACAATGCATGTATGCATCGGAAAGTCTGCCCCAAAGTCGAACACGAAAGTCTCACGATATCAAAGAGAACGTGCCATCTCAAAAACCTCCCAATGATCACCGTGCCTCGTAATTCCTCTACAATGCTCATCTAAATTGTTCTTCTACATCAACAACCGAACATCGGAAGGTCATGCACGACGTCATTCACAGGCTTAATTATATCTTCTCCAAATTGCATTTTACGTATACATTGTTCTTTTCATTGTCCATAAGGGCACTATCGCATATGTCTCAAACAATACTCGACTCGCCACAACCTGTAAATTTACTCTGATGAACAGTTGTCGGATCCACTGCCCATTTAGGTGCATAATTTCCAGCTTCTACGTCTCCTGTCTACCCTAAAGTTCCCGGTAAATGATACCGGACTTCACCTATCACAATGACAACTAACCACAGAATCGCAACGATCACTAACCTAGTCATAAATCCAAATGTCGATCCCGCACATGCAGTAACCACAAAAGTGTCGCGAAGACTTATTCGAACGGCATGAAATTCACGACGGATTGCAGCAATTCAACAATAGCATTCCGCTCCGCAACTCCTTCACCAGCTTCACCTTCACTTAAACCCCGCTCACACAATATTTACCACCCCGCCCATCTCCAATTCCCCTACCATCAAAATCACATCGCCACAACGCCAAAGCCCTTCACCTCCTAGAAAACTTTGCGCGCACGCTACCGCAAACAGCGCTCACCTCATCTCACCTCACCTCCCCTCAGTTTCAGATTCACTCCCCAAATCGTATCTAACACCAAAACCCTTCATAGCGCCCGACAATCCTCGAAAGGGCACGACATCCTGACATACCGATACGCAAGTGAAGCGGCAACCAAGTGATGACCCAATTGCAACCATCAGATGCGAGAGTTCAGTCCCGATTCCAAGTTGACAACCCTAAGAGACGACGAAGGCTGGAGCTCGGAATGGGAGGGCTGCAATTGGAGAGCCGGTGGCGTCAGGAACTCGGCCCTGATGTGATGATGTCGCCATCCGCTTCAAATCTGCGTGAAATTCCCTTCCGGGTTTCGTTGCTTCAGTTTCTTCGGGCTCTGGTCTCGTCTTCGGAGTCCGATTGTGGCTCCCACTCCCTCGCTCCTTCACTCCCGCTGCTGTGCCGTGTGACGTCAACGAGCCCCGCTTCTCGGCCCGCCCCCGCCTCCGTCCATGTCCCCCCCAGGGGCCGGGCCGGGCAGGGCCGGGCGGGGTGGTGCTGGGCCCTGTCCCGGCGTGATTGCGGTACCCGCTGTGACGTGGCCCGTTGCGGATGGAGAATGCGTATGTGGATGGGATGGGGCCGGGCTGGGCTGGGCTTGGTGCTGATGTAACCTGACAGCGTGGACTGCCCATCACATCCTGTGTTGGTGGGGCCTGTCTGCTCCAATCCACTCACTCCCACGTTCTAATTAACATTTATTGAATATATCTATTCTTCGTGAATTTCTCTACCCTAATTTCATGCATTGCATAGGGTTTGAATAAATTTACTAATAATATTTAATAATAATTTTTTAAAATATATATATATATATGAACACACATATAACAAAGAATTTAAAAATGATTTTTGACTACAATAAGACCAAATTTCTTAAATTTTATGAAATAATTTATTTTGAAAACATTTTATATTTGATTTTAATTCTTTTTGCTTTATCTTTGAATAAATTGTCTTTTACAATTACAATGAAAAAAAACTTTAGCAAAGAAATTTAGATAGAATCCAAGACTTTTAAGTCCACTTTTAATGTCTTGAATCATTATTTTCTAAAGACTCTATTCTACCATCTCTATACCTCATTGTCCCTTAAAATTTATATTTCTCAATGGATTTATATTGAAATTGTCTCATTATTTTTATTCATTTTTTTGTTAATATGTATTTAATTAATATCTTTTCAAGACATCTTCTAGTACTTCCTTAAATCATAGAATATGTTTAAAAGATGTTTTCACAATTACATGATATATCCAAAGAAGATTCTAAAATATTTTATGACAAAGATATTATTAATTTAATTTATAAACATTACATTATGCAATTACATTGACTTCAATTGTAGCTTGATTAAGGTCTTTGTATACATATTTGAATAAATATATAACACTGATAATATTGATAAGTACTATAATATATATATATATATATATATATATGTGTGTGTGTGTGTGTGTGTGTATATATATATATATATATATATATATATTTAAATAAATAAATTATACAAAATGATTCAATAATTGTCATAAATATTATTTTTAGAATTGCTTTAAAAAGTTTGTCTATTATTAAGTTGGCAACATAAAGTGTCGCAAACCAAATGATATATCTCCTTTGTAATAAATATCATTTAATCTCAAGCAAAAACAATAAAAACATGTCAATATAAAATAATCCTTATTTTTAATATATTTTTTGTATAAAAATATTTAATTAGATTTAAAAAATCATGTATTTTATTCAATCTTTTAGGAAACAACCTTATATTTATATTGAATATATGTGTGATGAAATTGGATAAGTTAGGTGTGGTTTGGCTCTTTGATAGTTTGTTGATTATACTGTGCCATTTTGGATAATATGTAAATATACTAAAAACATCACAATTTTTGTTTAAATAAATAATTTTTATGATATTTAAATATCTTTGTTACATGAATTGAGGTAAGTTTAGAAAAGTTACAAGAAGAACAATGCAACTTTAGCACCAATTAGACCAAGGTTAGTATCCAAAATATTTGCCAACAACTTAGATTTAAGCTTGTTTTGGTTTAAAATCATATAATTTAGATTATTTTGCTAAGTTTTAACAACTACAATAGCAATGTACTGTTGAAATAAGCAATTGTTCTAATAAATATACAATTTATATACATAATAAGCATACATTTAAACTTTATTGTGTCTAATAATTTTTTGGAAGTTGTCAATCAATTCACTATCACTTTTTAAAAATATATATTGAAGTGGATTATATGTAGGAGCTAGATTATTGATAAGTTAAATACCATGTGCATTGTTGCAATAAACAACTACATACTATCTATCCATTCTTTTGTCCAAAAGAATAGTCTTATACTTAAAATATAGTTGGATATAAAAATTTATAAACTTTATAATAAATTCTACGGCTAAATTTTTATATCATATATAAATTTGGTTTAATTTATAAACTGCCGAAATTTATAAAATTTCTATATTTCTATAAAATATAAAAGTGTAAAACTATAAGTTTACAAGTTTCTACAAAAGCTAAAAAATTTAACATATAGAAGATAGATCTTGCTTCATCTTCTTAACTAAGCTAAAATTAGTTATGTTAGCCTTTAAAAAGTATCCTAATAATATATAAAAATTAATCACATAAGAAAAATAAGAAGGATTTTATCTAAAGATATGTTCTAAATTTGTTTTAAAACATATTAAAAAACTTAAATCTAAAATTTAAAAGAAATAAAAATATTTAAAATAAGAATTTATAAAAAAATCTTAAAGATGGAAGCTTGTTTAAAATCTAAAATCTAAAATAAGTAAAAAATTTGAAATTTAAATTTAAAATTTAAAATTTAAATTTAAAATTTAAAATTTAAAATTAGAACTTCAAATTTGAAAAGAACAAACTTATATAAGGTTTTAGAATTCTATATTATTTCTTCTTTAAATTTATTTTATTTATATTTATATATTAAAATATGATTTTGATGTCTAATTCACAAAACATAAAATTTATAAAAAATTAAATTATATTTCAATGTTATTGTGCAAACTAATTATTAATCTTAGCTTCACATTTCCAAATGCCAAATTCAAGGTAACAATTGTAATCCCAAAAGGTTAAGAACTTAAAAAAGTAAAATTTATAATTTAGATTAAAATTTTTATATAAAAAAATTAATATTTTTTTATGAATTATAATCAATTATCAATCTCATACTATCTATATCAAAAAAATATCCATTAAAGTCTTTTTATAATATTTATTATTATGATATTTTAAATTTCAAATTTTAAATTCAAAGTTTTCTAATAAATTAAAAATTCTTAATTCTAAATTATATAAATTATATATATATATATAATATATATATATATATATATATATATGCATCTTATTTCTCTTTAATTTGTATTTAAGTAATTAAGTAAATCAAGGAAGAGGTCCAAGTAGCCAAAACCATTGGGTCCACTTCAATCTCTATTGCAGCAACTAGGTTGTAGCAATAGTGGCAGCCATCAAATCCTAATAAGGCTGAAGCAACTAGGTTGTAGTTGAGTCAGCCTTATTAGGATTTGATGGCTGCCGCTTTTGCAAGCATTAGGTTAGTAACAACTAATACATATCAATATCAGGCTCAAAGCCCAGCACACTCAATGCAAAGAGTCAAAGCTTTCATTCTGCATTTGAGCAATGAGAATGTGTTTGTTACTCTCATATAATATCAAAGCAGGATTTTAGTCTAAAGAAAACAGTCTTGTGAAGAAAGACAGTTTCTTTAGCACTCGAATAGATGTTACAAACTAACGACAAGTGCTGAAGATCTCAGGAAGATGGAGAAAAGTATAGACCACAAGGAATGGCAAATCGCTCAAGACATAGCTTCCAACAGCATTAGAATAAAGAGCCAAACTAGGAGCGAAAATACTAGAGACAAAAGACCACCACAACATCAGTCAAAAAGACAGCTTCACTATGCCAAAGTCGACGAAGTTGGAAGGCATTTCTAATTTCTAAGTATGGAAGATAAGGATATGGACGTTGATGCAACACAAGGGCCTCTAGCAACTGCTCCAAACCAGCCCAACTCAGGAAGGTGAAGCAATTACCGTTGACCTTAAATCCTTGGATGTACAAATTGTAAAGGAACGCGACAAGTACAAAGCAATGGCAATTATTATCATGTAAGTAAAGGATAGCGTTATTCACCATATAGCAGAATGCACCGACCCAGCAAAACTATGGAAGATCCTTCACTCAATGTACGAAGGCCAAAACACGGCACACACGATGCAGCTACTTAACACACTCCACACCTTGAGAATGAAGGAAGGAACGCCCGTTGAAGAATTCATACGGCGTGTGCGAGAGACATTACTCGAGCTTCAAACCATTGGAGAAGAAATCCAGGACCCTAGGTTGGTCCACCTGACGCTCAGCGCGCTACCACTGAGCTACGAGGGCTTCATCCAAGTAGTTGTGGGGCAAGAACAACTTCCCACCTTTGAGAACCTATGCAACAGACTTTTATACGAGGAGCAACAACAAAAGAGTCGATTAGACGATCAGGGCAAAGCATTGATGCCCTAGAACCTACGACACAGAAGTTGTTGGGAAAATAACCAAAGGCAAGAAGTGGGAAAACGCTTCTAACACCAAGGATCCAGAGACCAGCAATACGAACACCAATATAGAAGACCTCAAAAGAACAAGAGGTGCAATAATTGCAACGAGTGGAGACACTTTGCTTGAGAATGCTTGCAACCCAAAAGAACCCGACGATCGGAGAGGAGGCCTCAAGCAAATCTCATGATCAAGGACACGGAGCAACAACCAAATCAAGAGAATAAAGAAAAAGAGAACAAACCACTCTTCTATAACGTTGCAATGTTGGCGCTCAATCTTGATTGCGATGTCGAGCATTGGTACTTCGACAGTGGCGCTACCATTCACGTTACTAGATTCAAGTCCAATCTCCGCACCATACAAGCCAATACATCACACACCAAGGTAAAATCCGTAGCGGGACAAGAACATGCAGTGCGAGGAGAAGGTACGGCACAAGCGCGATACGAAAACTCAATCAAAGACGTATTAAGGGCACTTCACGTGCCCGGAGTTTGTAAAAATCTTCTATCAGTCGGCATGATCACAAACAAAGGATGTATTGTCATGTTTACGTTGAATTCAAAAGCTTCAGGGCACATATAGAGAACAGAAACCAACACAAGATCCAAATCCTTAGAACCAATAGGGGAGGGAAATTTGTATCCAAGGATTTCCTAGCATTTTGCGAACAGGAAGGGATCAAAAGGCAACTCACCGCCCTACACACTCCTTACTATAATGGAGTAGCCGGAAGAATGAACTGGAAAATCTTTGTCAAAACCCAAAAAATGGCAATAGCAGCGCACCTGCTTGCCACATTCTGGCCAGAAGCAATCAGCACCGTAATTTACCTCGTGAACGTCACCCCTACAAAGCCAAACAACGGAACACTGCTACTTCAACAATACACAGGCAAAACGGTCAATATCAACCACTTGAAGGTCTTCAGATGCACGGCATATGCGCACATTTGAAAAGAAGAGAGAACTAAAATAGACTTACATGTAGAATTGTGCATGATGGAAGGTTACAATCAGGCATCGAAGGCCAACTGATTCTACCACCTCACCAAGTGCAAGATCCTGATAATTAAGGATGCAAGTTTTAACGAATTAGAGATGGCTATCATCAGATGCATGAACCTAAAAATATTGCCAATCAAAGAAACTACTCTTCCTTTGCAATTCAACAACGCAGAAGATGAACCGGCAGTCACAAAGCGAGACAATGCTACACCAGCCATAGAATAAGACACTCTACATGAAAATCCAGAAGAGCCATTACCAACATGCAAGCACCCGGTCACATCAAAATGGGTGTTCCGCACCAAAGTGTCCACCAACAACAAGACTGAAAAGCTTAAGACCCGCCTTGTTGCCAGAGAATTCCAGCAGCGCCTCGGCACTGACTACGACAAGACATTCTCACCAATAGTTAAATGCGTCACATTACGTATCGTAACAGCACTAGCAGCACAAAAAAGCTGGAAGCTAAAACATCTGGATGTGAATGCAGCTTACCTGAATGGTACCATCATCAAAGTAGTTTTCATGGCGCAACCACATGGTTTCATTGAACCAGGTCACAAACACCTGGTTAGCAAGCTTTGAAAAGCAATTTATGGTCTAAAACAATCGGGCAGAGCTTGGTACCTTGACATCGACAATTTTCTGCAAAACATTGACCTACAGTGGAGCAAGCACGACTACAACATGTACATCAAAATCATCCAAATAAATCAATATGTCATCCTCATATTGTATACAGACACCAGCATGCTCACTGGCAATGCGACAGAGGAGCTCAACCACCTCAAAATTTCACTCCAGACAAAATACCAAATATCTGCGCTAGGCACCCTTTCACTTTACATTGGCCTAGAGTTATAGTACATCATCAAGGGCATCTTCATCTTCCAACAACGTTACGTCAAGTAACTTCTCACCAAACACATCATGTAAGCATGCAAACTATACTGGAAGCAAGTGTCACAATTTGCCATCGATCTCAGGGTAGAATAATCACACAATCTCCTAGACAATGTCACAGTCCACACTGGTTTCGCTTCCTAGCTTCCCCCAAGCACTCTCAAGTTTTATGACCCCAATTGCGAGAGGCTTGCAAAGCAAGGCTAGAACGGCGATCCTCGTTGTGGCCATGTTCGCAAGGGATGTTGCGGTCGCAGCGCTTGCAACATATTGCAGCAGCGCAGGCACACTCCAAAACCACGCCGCAAAACCACTCCCTAGATTCCAAAAACAATGTATTTAGGGAATTGTTAAATCAACCTAGGCATTAATTAAATCGACCCACCCATCTTAACCATCATCGTGGTTGTATTATTATCTGAAAGGATAATGGTAAAGCAAAAGATCTAGGTATGTGAATACACTAGCTTAACTTGCATTGATATAATCTTACAGCATTGCATAATAGCTCATTTTCAGGTGTTGGTTACAAAAGCATGAGTAAGAAAACATGGTAATGAGTCATGATAAGAAGTTGAAATGTCTCTTATCAAACATAGTTTCTTTATACTGTAGGAAAATGAACCTTTTTAAATATGTTTATGTGCATATGTATGTATGTATATATATATATATATATATATCACTAGAATGTTTATGTATATGACTTGGAGGCAAGTTACATATGATTTTACTGGGAAAATGGCTCAAATATTTATAAACTACTGAAAAGTGGTTTTTTTGCAAAAGGTAATAAATAAGTTTTTGAAATGAATCTTAGAACTTTGTTTTTATCATGAAGAGGAATAAAAAGAGAGGAGAAGTGAGAGTAGGGGAACTGCCAAAAATTCAAAGAGAAATATACAAGCTATATTTTTTCTTTGTCATTGTTACTTAGGTTACAATGTAAACGTTTTTTAATTTGCAAGGTAGACTGAACTTGATTTACCTCTTAATCACTATTTTAATTTGTAAAAGAACTAAAACACAATTTCAGCCAAAATGAGGACTTCTTCTGTTACTTCGCTTTTTGTTTTTCTTTAATCTTCTCCATTTTTTGTCATAGTCAAAAACTAGTATTATCCTTAGTATATTTTCAGTAAAACTTTTGACATAGAATATGAAAATATATTATATAGATCTTATTTGTTTTTATGCTTTGGAAGCATTCTCTATTTTAAATTAATGAAGGTTTTAAAATTTTAAAACCTAGATAAATTCTGATTATTACTCTTTTTATTTTGGTCATGTTTTTGAAGGTGAGACCATTGAAGCTCCACCACTCCAATGATCGTGAATGATAGGATGCGAGGTTCTCATAAAAACTTCTAAATTGTGTTAAGTTGAGATAATTTATATAATTTCATTAACTGCCCACTTAATTTGAGAAAGAAAACATAAGCTATATATTAGTCACAAAGTATATAAACATACTTGTAAGTTATAAAAATTTCAAAATAGAATAAAACTTATGATATATATCATCTAATTTGCTGGCTTTCATCTATTTATATTTTTCAAAAAAACTCAGTATCAATTTGGTTTGATACATGCATTCCTACCCCAAAGTCATTATGTGTTCTTAAACTTTTCCTCCTTTGTTTGGACTTAACAACTTATTAATGTAGTTTTCCTTTTTCATTGACACAATATGCAAAAGAAATTGTTATATTAAAATTGAACTGTACATTGTTGTCTTCCTTTGTATACAGTAGCTTAAACCATTCTTACAACTGAAAATCCATAACAAAATGTGTCATAACTATTCATAATGTATCAAAAATGATTATAATATATATATATATATATATATATAAATAAAGAATCTTTGCAAATCATTTTATATTTTATATTATTTATGTAATTTTACAAGCGTGTGTGGTCACGTGGGTGACTAATCAATGCTAATTTTTGTGTGTACCAATACTAAAAACCATGTTCCATTACAAGAGAAAAATGACATGGTCCAAAAAGTAGAACAGCAGATATCATTGAAGATATTACATGACATAACACATCACATTAAATTAATGAATAGTCACATCTCTCCCAATAAGTCTTGTTGAAAGACATTTAAGAAAAAAAAAATATATCAGAATTATTGAGACATGTCGAAAAGAAAATCACAGAAGAGAATTTTATAAGAGATATTACAAAAGACTCCATGAAAAATTTAGTAGTTCCTTTTATAGTCATTTTTACTTAATAAAATGCGGTGTTTTAACTGAATAAAAATATCAAATTATTTGTAAAAATTAGTGAAAATTTTCAATTTATATTTTATGGGTTTGAATTAAAATTTTCTATAATATCCACCAATGACAACATCTATAACATTAATGAAAGACATGACAAAACAATCATAAAAAAAATAAAACATGGCATAGCATTAGTCATAACAAACAGAAACGACACATGATAGAAATAAGTTCTGCTATCATTTTACTAAGCCAAATAGGAGTCTAAAACTGGAACACTAATATTTCACTGTAAAAAATTAGTGCATATTGGACATACACCCACATGCTTCCGTGAACAGTGATGGCATAGCCACGAACCCATCATTCCACAAACGCCACACCCAGATGTCAACTTAGTGGACGGATATAATCTTCCACGCCAGTGCATCAATCGAGCAGCACGGTTCTCTCGCCGCGGACCGAAGGCGCGAAGCGCCGTTAGCGACGTCGAGCGGCACTGCTTGAGAAAGCAAGGGATGGCGCCAGGAGGGGAAAGAAGGAGGGTCTCTTGGGAGCAGATCACGAGTCCAGTCTCCACAGACGTCGCCTGACACCACCACAAACGTCATTAAATCTCTGGGTCTCGAAAAAAGTTGGTGCGAGCAGCGTCGACTGTCTACCACAGTTTGTGGGTGCGAGTATACGGCGGTGGGTGCAGAAGAGTGGAGATTGTTTAATGAGCTCCAGCCAGCGACCATCGTACCTCGTTCTTCTATCTACTCCCTATCTACTCCACCCTCGCTGACTCTCACCGCCCCCTCCGACATCCATTTCGTCCACACACCGGAGTTGAAGCTGCATTGACACCTGCTCTGTGCTCTGTCATTGAGTAATCCCTGATTCCGGTTTTGATCCAACTTACTACCCCGGTGAGGCTTGCAGTCGGCCTTTAATGTCGCTCATTGATATTCATGTGGGTTGCTCAAGTCTCTGCCGCTTCGCAATTTCTAGGGCGTCTATGCTGCATGTGTTTCTTTGCAGTCTTGTCACGTGCGCCGTGGGACTGGAGTGAGGAGGAAGTTGTTGTTGTGGTCATAGCTCAGTTTTTTGAACCTGCGAAATGTTTATCAAGAGGGACTGCAGTGGGGACGATGGCGGGTTACGTTCGCTTTAGGCTTGCGACGATTCTGGCGTCCTTTCTTTTGTGTCTACCAGCTTTTTCCCAATGCGGTAATTGATCTCTCACCTGGCTAGCAGCTCGTGCATGGGTGATGAAGCGACGAGGTGCTAGTGTCTGAAGTTATTTGAATTCATATTAGCTAAGTTGGAGAAATTGACTTCATGGTTTTCTCTCTTTCGGAGGCTAACCTACTCTCAAATGCCATTGATCTGCGAAAACATGATTGGTGTCACATATCTGCGACTTACATGAAGCACCTTGATCATGGATTTTGCGTGTGCAGCCAGGGTTGTCGGAATGACACAAACATCGGGTTCGGAAGTTGATTCTGAATACTACTCCAAAGCGTCCACTGGTAGAGCTTCGAAAGTTTTTGTCGAAGATGATGTCTTGAAATTGTAGTGCCAATTACACAGCTTATTACTCGTTGCTAACGTATAAGTGCGTTAATAAGCTATTTTGTCGTTTTCAGAGTATTGTTCGACAGACTTCTCGCAAGTTTCTTACGAAGACGTGAAAGCTGCGTGCCCAGCCTACGCCGAGCAGGGTGCATCTGCAGCTTGTTGTGCTGCCTTCAATACCAAGGCCTGCCAGTACGAGGCTCAAGTGAACAACTTTGGAAGCATGTGTCCCATACTTTTCATCAATTATCTCGGCATGGCCGGTCCTTACCCTGCTGGTTATTTCGTCGGCCCATGTGTCGACGGTACCAAGGGCTTTTGCATCCGCAAGTAGAACTTCTGCAATAGATGATTGTCAAGATCAGTATCTCAGGAGACTGCATCTAAAGCATCCAATCCTAGCTCCTCTTCGCATGAATTTGTCCTAATATGAAATGCTGCATTCCGCAGCCACTTCTGTTCAATCTACTGACTATTGTCCCACAACTGCAGCGCACTACATGTACATAGGGGTCCTGTAGAAGCGTAACTTCCGAGACACAAATATGTATGGATCTGCTTCAGTATGCCCGTGTGATTGTTGGTGAACTTTCCGAATCGCATCACTCCGTATTTCATACCTCGTCTGCATCTGTACGACTCTTGAAACTGGCTCTTCGTCTTGCATTTTCGATACAGTTGCGATAACTGCTCAGCGAAGATGCGGGTTTGCTTCAATGTATAGAGCTTTAAACTAAGCTTTGGGAACAAACGGGTTGGGAACTGGATGAAGCGAACCGCGCCGGTTGTCCATTCAACCGGACTAACAACGGTTTCTCAAAACAGTATGGCGAAGCTGTGATGCATTGCAATATCGGTTAAGCCACAATGTAGTAGAATGGCGCAGCTTTAATACCATTATTAAGCACAGATAAGTCGTCATTCGATTCTAGTTGCGAGTTGACGGTTCTGTAGGTTATGTGTTAAATTCTGGCCACGTTGGTCTGAACTATTCAATTCGACATCTACACCGACGAGTGCTCGTTAGAGATTTTATGAGGGTTTGCTGGATTGCTAAACTTAATGTAGACTATTTCACGCTCTAAACGCCACACGATAAAGCGGGTGTGTATGAACAGTTCACGATAAATTCTTTTTTATTGAAGGAATTTCCTGAAGTTCTCGATCTGAAAGCGACCGTCGGAAGGTGGTATCCGTTGCGAATAATCAATGAGCATTACGGGAATACTGCGGTGATTTCTGTAAGTTAAGCAGGGCTAACAATATACGGCCTCAGAGGAAATTACGTACTGAGATTTTTCAGCGAGAAACTGAAAATATTGTGAAAGTCGACAGAGAATTATGGAGCCTCAAAGTATTTCATGAGAATCGTAGCAACGAAGACGTGTCCGAAGCCTATTAGTTGTACAATTGGAACCATGCACTGCAAGGAATAGGACAGTTCTTCAGATTTCTTAGTTTACGGTCAGTCCATGGCATCACCAATGTTAGAAAGATCTGCACTACGCTCACAAACTCACCAACGAGATCACCTCAGGAGCTTTATAGCAAGCAAACAAGCATATCTCAATGCTAAAACGGCCCAACAACGTGCAGAGGATGTAGCCCTCTCAAGCACAGGAACCAAAGCTGCACTCTCACTGAAACCGTTCCCCGTTGCAGAGGTATGCGCCGCAAACTAAGAGCATTGCAGGCCAATGCAATGTCTTTACCTCCTTGTTGTTTCGGATGTTGTTCTTTTCAAGCACATCGTAGCTGTATAATTCTGTCTGTATTAGGTGGTTCAGCAAACGCAACAAATGGAGAAGATTCACGACAGGGTCATAAACTCGATTCATGCTGCGCTCTCTGATGAGAGTTTGGTGCAGATTCTCGCTCCTCCTTTCAACGAAACACTTGCAGCTGCGACCAAGGTATATTCAAACGATAATTTGGATCTTTTATTACATCCTCCTCGAAGCACGGGCAAAGTAGCTTGGATGCATGCACATGACTTCAAATCTACCATGGTTGAGAAATGGCTCATTCCGTGAGCTATTAAGAGACTCGAATTCGTTTTGTTGTAGAGAGGAGCATCATCACGATGGGAATGGCAAAAGAACACAGCCTTGCTGGAGCTTGAGAATCGTAACCAGAATCTCCAGATTCTTCTCTCTCAGGTCAGCTTCGTAGCTCCATTGAGTGTAAGGCTTTGATGCAGACAAATAATTATACGATACAATTCCAAGACTGTACCGTCTCCTAGATTCTAAATCATGGTTGCTTTCCAACTGGGTGCATGATATACATTTTTAGGCATTAACTAAGGTACTAGAGATATGGAAAATAGGCAGAAAGCGAAGCTCTGAAGCATCAGTCGCGCGCGCAAGAGGACCGCAAGATATTAGAAGAAGCACTGCAAAAAGGTAAAGAAGAGACTATTTTGTTGTCAAAAGCGCGTGACATGCGCGCACGGCTCATCGAGCAAATGCAAGTCATGGCGCGTAACAAGTCACTTCAGGCTACTCTTTGTGCTTGGCGACATTTCTGCGGGAAATCTAGGAGGAAAAGGGTACGATTCCTCACGCATGCTTTGCATGTGTCTAATCTTCCTAGCAGTTGCTTAGCCCTTCTACATCCATCAGGTCCAGGTATTGTTAAGGCTGTTTGTTGCAGGAGGTCATAGCCCCATCATTCTTATACAAGATTCTGACCATAAATCTCAGAATATCTAGTTTTTCTTTTCTTTTCTTTTCTTTTTGATGATACTATGTGTAGGTTTTTAGACATTAAACTGGTCTTAGTATTCTGTGTAGGCTCTGCGTAGAGCGGCTCGCATGTGGCACGCTCGAACCATGTTGAAGCTCTTCACAGCATTTGTAGCAGGATGTGATCGCACCAAACATACAGTTGGATTGAGATTGTATGCCACGCATCACCGGAGCCGGACCTTGCTCTTACTCGCTATACGGGTTTGGTGGCGGGGAGCAATGCTCCGGCGAGAAGCCAAGGACAGACTTCATAATTTCATCACCTCCTGGTCTAAGTATCGGCTGCGAAATGTGGTTGTACATTGGCACAATCATTGCAATCAGCTCTCCTTGAAGTATTCTAATAGGAAAAGAGCAGTTCGATCGCTATACTTTTCTCTCCTTCGACGGGCATGGCGTGGCCTGTACCTGCATACACTAATGGTACGCGAAAAGAAGTTGAATGCCGAGCTTTTCTTCTTCCTACGTGTTGCTCGAGATTGCTTACAAAACTGGCATGGATTGATTGTGCGCAAGAAACAAAGAGCAAGACAACTCGAATTAGGTACGCAATTTATGCTTGCTGTGAATTCTTTCTATTCTGTGTGGTATGGGGACAACCTCACATAAATTACTTGGATTGTTGTGCTCACTGGTGTTAGGAGGGCAACTTCGACAATCATACCTTGTGAGGTTAGCTATGGATGTATGGCTTGGAAGGACGCACCTCACTGCAGTTGTTTCAGCTCGTTTAAAGGCGTTTATCAAGCGGAGGGATCGAAGAAAGAAGAGCCTAACACTCTTCAAATGGTGGCATCTCGTTGTAAAAACAAATCGTGCGCGGACATTACGGATGATGCTCCTAACCAAGATTGAGCGAAGGATCAAGGAATGGGCTTTTCAAGTTGTGAAGAAGAAAGTTTTGCAGAAAACACTAGTGGAAGCGCACACCTTACATCGGTCAAAGCATGTTCGGTACGCACAGAACTAAACACGTCATTGCTAGACAAAAGTTTACTCCTCAGAATAAATTTCCTGCTCGGAATGCTCTTTCAGAAGCTGTTTCACTTCTTTACAAAATTGATGCAAATCTAAGGTTCACGATGGAGAACGAATTTAAACTATGTTTACTGGATTTTTGAGTTCCATACTACTTACAAGCAGGGATCGTCAACGTAGAATACCACAGCTGAACATTTTGAAAATGTGGATTTGTTATTCCGTTTTCTGGACTCGTAACTTTTTTGTGGTTGGAGGCAAACAGGAGGACAACAATGAGGTCATGGTTGTACGAGGTGCGGTCGAAGCAAGTGCGCCGCGTGTGGATGCAACGCCTGCTCAGGCAAATTCGTTATCGGCAGATGCAGAGGACATTCTGTTGTTGGCTTGTCTACACCGAAATCTGCAGGTATCTCTTCCTACCCAGCTGGGTTGTTTGTGTGGACAATTAATTATCATATCTGTGATTCTTGTTTTAGCATCGCGTAGTTCAAAGTCATGTAGAATATAGCTTATGCTCCCTTGTCTACTTATCTAGATTGAATAAGGATATACCTCTATAACGGATGAACTAATTCCACCTTTTCAAAATCATTACATCAATTCGTTCTGAGAAATAAGATGCTGTACAAGCTTTGTGCATAATTGTATTCTCCTGTGGAAGAACTCAAATAATGAAGATGATCTTGTAGGAGGTACGCAGTTGAGGGAAAGGTACAAGAAGCAGAAGCAAAAATAGATTTGCTGGAGATGAAGCTTGCAGGAACTGCACAAGTGAAAGCAGAAATGAAACGGTTGCTAGAGGGTTTTGAAACTGAAAGAGCGCGTGTTCTTGAGGATGCAACAGCAGCCATTGCTCGGACTCCATCTTGGACCTCTGGATTCCTTGATGGTAGTTATGCCTACAAATGATTTGATGCACCACTCAACCTTATATTCTACATTGTAACCTCTTCCTACAGTAGGATCTGAATGAAGTATTTCGATGTAGTCTTACTAGAAATGTACTTCAGCGCAATCAATTCAAGCAATCAGGGTTGGTGTACTGATGTGTACCTTCAGCTGAATTAAGGTGGAGCTCATTGAATTTGGAAGACAAATGGCACCCACACGCCCGAGCGGGCCACTCAGCAGTGTCCATGCGACTGGATACTCACAGGTCTCCGTGCATTATAATCTTTGGCGGTTACAACGGACGTAAGTCCTTCAATGATGTTGTCATCCTTGACAATGGTAAGAAACAATTCAAATTGTCACAAACATCGATTGAATTATCCAGAGATTTGATTTCCTCTGCGTGGAAAGAATACAACAAAATTGAATGCACTGTTTGTTCAACATTCGTTGACACAAGCACAGGATTGAGTTGATGCAATTGTCACGCATTATTATCTTCCAAATAATCTTAGTGATGGCGTGTCCGTGCAGGAGCTATGTCTTGGAAAACACCAACGATCAATATAGCCTCCGGGAGCTTTTGCCCTCCTCCAATGCGCAACCACACCGCTTGTTCTTACGGGAACAATAGGATGCTTTTGTTTGGAGGATTTGATGGATCTTGCGAGTTTTCCGACTTGTCTTTGCTTACATTTTATGACGAAGGCAGTAAGTTCCATCTGTACACCTAGACTTTCGGATTAATAATATATTTTTTAAACGAGACTCCTGAAGGCAGAGAAAAACTTCCTCCCCAGCGGCTTAAAGTTCATTTTTTGTCATTTGTGTTTCATTGTTGCGAATTGAGTCCATGAAGGAGGAGCTTAAGGATGCTTTGCATTGGCTGTTTCTTTTAGAGATATGCGAGTGGTCGCAACCAGAGAATTTTGGAGTAGGAGCAAGACCGGAATCCTTCTCCCATCACACTGCTTGCATGACACAGGACCAGCGGTATATGATTGTCTTTGGGGGCTACCGCTCTTGTGCGGGCCACTTGAATGAGACTTGGTTTCTGGACCTTCATCTGATGACATGGACTTCTCCAGACTACCGAGGAATTCCTCCGTCACCACGCAGAGGCCATGGCGCCGCTATTGTTGACAAGAGGATGTATGTCTTAGGAGGTTATAACGGTGCAGAGCATCTGGAAGACCTTCATGTGTTAAATATCGAGTCCATGACTTGGGAACTTGTGGATTTCCATGGAGATCCACCATCACCGCGACGGCAGCACGCCATGACAGCTGTGGGTCGTCATGTGGTTGTTCATGGTGGCTACGACGGAAAAGCTTACTTGGATGATACATACGTCTACGACACCGGTACCTTCGATTCACTTGATAGCATTACTTAGCTGAACTTCGAAACGTGATTTCTTCCTCCTGCCACTTTCAAAAATATTTCTATGTTGTATGTTGTTTTGTTTTGTTTTGTTTGTTTTTTCTCTCTCTCTCTCTCTCTCTCTCTCTCTCTCTCTCTCTAAGAAAGATATTCCCTGACTCAATTAGTCTTCCTAAAATTGGGAGCAGTGCTCTTGATGTAAGATCAGTGATTTCGATACAGAGAGCCATGTGTGGAAGCGGTGGTTGATTATGGACTCGCCAAAACAAGGCTCGTGTCCAGCTGATGTCAGAATGGATACGACAGCGCATGGCAGATCCATGCATACGATGATTGAAGCCGGCCAACGGCTCGTGATCTTCGGAGGCGTTCACGAATGTGGTGCTTTGCATGATGTTCTGTTCCTTGAGAACGCTGCTGGTGAGCCATTTCTTGTCCCTGATACGTTATGCTTCGTTAAATTTCTTTGAATACAAATGAGGAAATTAGACACGCGAAGAATCATTCGTTGACCGCACACACTATCAAAACACTGCATAGTGGTAGTTCTTACAAATCTTTCGCTCAGAGGCTTGTTTATTTTCTTTTTTTGCAAAGAACAAACCGTGGAAATTTTTGTATTTCGCAGCGGTGGGAGGTCTTCAACTGCAATGTTCCTTGATGGAAGAAACTGCAAAAGTGCATAGTTTGCAGGCAAATGTGGTTGGATGCCAGGAAGCAATGCTGGAGATATGCAGTGAGCTCACTCTCGCTCAATCGAGATTTCAGCAAGTACATTCAGCTCTTAAGGTGTAGATTTCAGCAAGTACATTCAGCTCTTAGGGTTGGGAATGCTGTGCTTGGAGGAAATCAACTATGTCGCCACTAGTCATTTGAATACTTAGAAGAGACATGACCAGTCCGGAATGAACTCATATGTCTACTGTTGTTTTGTTTTCAAAAATTCATTCAGAAGAGCCCTTTTTCTACCTTCATTGTATGTCATTCATGAAAAGTAAAGTTCCAGTTCAATGAGATAGATTTCTCAACATACCCATCCACAAAAGTGAAGACATACTCATTGACAGGTCATGATATCAATAGGTGGAGGCAGAGAAGCGAGCGACGGCAGTGGACAAACAACGAGTGTTGCTGAACAAGCTCCAGAAATCGCGCAACCATTCCAAATCCCTCACTCAAACTTGCCGCAAGTATGTAATCTCTCGATTTACTCCCTCCCTAGCCAGTGCTCCATTACCAACCTTGAGAAATTCAGGAACTGCTAATCTCAAGGAACGCTCCCAACCACGCGAAGCCGTGTCCTGGAGCACTGACAGAAACGAGTTTGCCGCATTGTTGCTTGAGCTGTAGCAGGTTAGGAAAGGAGCAAAAGATGCTTCAACGCTTGATCGTGGAACTTGAGCAGCAACAACGAGCACCCACTCAACCTTCCTCGGCCATGCATCAATCGGAGAGTATGTAGTGGCATGCCAAGCTATATTATGCTTCCTTTCCATTTAAAAGCAGATGATAGTTGCCCATGGTAAGCTCACTTTCATAGAGAAGGGATTCTATTCGTCAACCCATTGGATTGTGCAAAACTGTGCACAAAGAAGGGTATTCTTTGTCATGTTGAATTTCACATGATAAGCATTTTAATTCTCATATACTTTATATTTAGCACCTCGAGCATGAGGGGAATATTTTGTAGTTTGGTTTGTTTTGATTCTTTAGAATCATTTTTCAAGAGTTCTTTGAATTGAGTTTAAATAATGGCTCATCGTGGACGGTTATTATATAAGACAGTTGTGCGTTAGTTTTTGCCGCTTGTATACATTTGAGAGGATATACCTGCTGAATAAAAAATGGTGATGTGTATTAGAGGAGGAACTTTATTTACGATTTTTACATGATTCTTCTTTTGTTTGCTGCAGGGTGGCTTAGTTTTGGCATTGAGTAGAATGTCTTAAACAGTATTTTTCTAATTTAGTTATAATTCAACAAAATATCTTGAACTGTAATTATCTCACGATTCGCACATAACAAAGAAGGTGGCGTTATCTACATCTCATGAAATAGGTTGTTTCATTTTCTTCAATGTCAACTTGAGACAATTGAAGAACTCTCTTTCGTAATGTAGTTTTATTGCAATGTCGGACAACAAATTCATGTGGGCGTTTTGTTGTTGTACCAAAATTAATAAATTAATAAAATCTGCAAATCATGGATTTGAAGTCTAAAGTATCTTCTTAAAGAAATGTAGCACCAAGAAGTCTTTACACGATATTTATAGGTGATAAGGTAAACTTGTTTTGAAAGGAAAAAGTCCATGCATTTTTTACTAGTGGTTTGAATTTAATTAGTGATTAAAATGGTGTATCCCTGGCTAATATCTTTAAAGTGAAGATGGAATCCTTTGGTCTAGTGGATTTTAATTTATTTAGAAAAAAACTTAAACATAACTATTTGAGAGTTCATAATATTTATGAATGCTTTTTTCTTGACTTGCGCACTATATATTAAAAGATGAATTTGAATATCACCTGCATTTTGATGTATATATATATATATATATATATATAAAAAATAAAACCCTCACATGAGGACTTTACCCATCAAAAACTTGTGTCTGCCAGTTTTTCAACTACATGATCCAATTTCAAAGTTTTGAAAGGTTTCTTTTCTTGTTGTGAAGGTGTTAAAATATGTGATTTGGAAATTTATTTCTCATAAATACCATGATATTATTTATTTATTTTTACATTGGATCATCTGCCTGGAAAGAAGATTAAAAAAACCTGGTGAAATACTAATTAGTTACAATAATCTTTAAAAAACTGTATTGAAAAAATGAATTTTTTATTTATGACAACGAGGATTCTAACTGTTAAGTATTTAAATTACAGATAGTTTTGAAAGCATATATATATATATATATATAAAAAAATTGCTCTTGTACCAAAAAGACTCTTCTGTATTGTAAAAAGGTGGTTTTTATATTCAATCTAATAATATAATAAGTGAAGCTTAGGTACAAGACAAAGACATAGAAGAAGTCTTCTCATTTTTTTTTAACTTGCTTAGCCCAACTTGCAAAAAGACCTCCAGTTTACTGTTTAGAAACAGCTTTTCCGTGCCCAATGGCAGGGGTTTCCGCTAGGTTCATAATTAAACAAATAAGCTGAGTTTGGATGAAGACTGATTTCAAAAATTTATCATCTCTAATGCCGACTATGAAGCTTGATTTTGAATAATAATAAAGAGACTGATTAATGTCAGTTTCCTTTTCCCGGAGATTATGAATGGCTGCATTTATCGTTGGGAACGGCTAGCTCAACGTCATTGGCCATTATTGGCGCGAAATCCTATCAATTAGCCAAGTCGACTCGCGGGGTTTCTAAAGTATAGCTACCGATGAGGCAGGGCCTATTTTATTGGCTGGACCCATTCACATTCGCATCCACGTCACCTTTCGCGCCACATGCACGCTCGTTTCCCGCCCTCTGATCTCGCGCAAAGCTGTCCCCGCTGATACTCTCTTCCTCCCTCTCCCGCCATTTAGGTCTGAGTTCCTCCTCCGTCGCTCTGAGTCGAGTCGCGGAGCTGTTGTACCTCAACACCTGCTTGTTTTAGTAGCGCATTGGTTGGGTTTATTCCATGGTTTTGATCACCGTTTGTGCGCATTAGAGATTGATATGAATTGTGACGAACCCAGACAGTCATTGTGGATATTGCTACTCTTCCACTTTGATCTTTTGGATCTCTTTTGTTGGAACTTTAGCGGCCGTGGTGTTACGTAATTTGGCTCCATTGTGGGTGCTCACCTCGAAGTGTACGTTGTTCCCCCGAGAGATCGGTCTGTTTAGACTGTCACATGCTTCCTGGCCTCATGTTGACTTGATTCCGAGACCTTGTTGGCTCCGTGAACTGGTGCTTCGCCTACAAAATGGTGAGCACAATGTCCACCCTGCAATCTAGGCTCCCAAGAGAAATGCCTGTTAGGATTGATGTCGAGAAGTCTCGGAGAGGGATATTGGCTTTTAGAAGTCAAAAGCTCGAGTTTGTCGACGCCAAGGTAACGGGTAAGGGCGATGTCGCTACTCGCAAGCGGAAGAGTGACACCCCAGACGAGGTGTATCTCTCCCTGCCGAAGAAGACCCCTGCTCATCTCCCTGAGAAGTAAGCGTTTCTTCCCCACTTTCGGCTGTGCTCTCGAAACGAGAATCTTTCAGTAGTCTTTGATCTGATCTACATCGCAAAACGAGACCACCGGTTGTTGGGTTTTCAACTTGCTTGATGCGGAATCCATTGCCTTAGTGCTAATGGCGCATAAAATTAAGATAGCCGCTTGTATATACAGATTTGCGCTGTTAGAATCTTTCTATGAAGGGGTGGAGGCTGCCGTGAGTTTGCTAGGAATCCGTTGTCAGCTCTGCACATTTCAAGCAGTCTGCGCTACGGTTGAGGCTACCACGAAGAGGTAGGTCGTGCGTTTCCTTCTGCAGATCTTTTGTTCTAGGTCTGTTGCCTTGTTGTTGACATTGCTTTCTTCTAGAATGAATTCGAATCCTACAGATGTGATGGCTTTTCGATGACAGTTTTTGGACATGGTTGCAGGCGCTTCCTCCAGAAGCATTTGGCACAGATCAAGCACATTCTTCCCGAGGCCGTTGACCTCGAGTATGTGAGGTTGTATGATCAAGAATCATACACCAGGAAATGGGAGCTGAAGATCGCACTGCTGCCTATGCCCGCAGAAGAAACCGAGCCTATTCGGGATGGGAAGTGCACTTCGAAAAAGCCGAAGATTGAGTCTGTGCAGCGGAGACGCGTATTTCATACTCGCTTGGCTAGATTTGCTGTTACACACTCCGAGGTTGGTAATCCTGGCTACTTGAATTGTTTCTGCATGAAGGACAACTGTACATAGTCTATCGACTTCTACTACGTGTTTACTTACCATAGTCTGTCTTTGCATATAGGATGATGATATACCTGCGCATCCAATGCCGGAGCGCCCTTTCAATGGAAATTCAACCTTCAAGAGAGGGTTTACAGATATGCCTGTTGCTATGACTTGCATTCCGATGGGAATTAATATCACTGCGCATCGGGTTGTGGTGCCAGAGTCCACATCTGGCTCACCTCAGTATTCCGCGTCTTTCAAGTCCGGTTTCTTGCAGAAGGCTGGGAATGGACTTGGATCTTTTATTAGGGGTGATGAGGCAGGGCTTCAGGAATCTACTGAGGTTTCACATGTGCTGAACTCCACCCTCCCGATGCCGATCAATAGGACTTCCCACAGAGACGTCCATAATTTTGCAAAGAAGCCTCTGGGAACCCCCCATCTTGAGCCTTCTTTCAAGGCTTTCTTTTCTATCAAAAGTAGATCTGCAATAACGGAGGTAGCCGATGAGAACTACGATGATCCTATTCTCGCCGCTAATACGCCGAACTCTTCACAAACACTCTCACCAGTTAAACGTCGACATGTCAGTCTTCAGGAGGAGGTCGAAATTGTGGCTGCGGTGGAGCCCCAAACTCCGGTCAAGATCGCCCGGACATGCGGAACCCCAGCACGACTCATTGGAAGTAAGTTCGAGAGCCCGATCAGGCAATGCCACCACTCTACTGTCGCCAAACTCCATTTTTCAACCCGGAGCTCTTCAACGAGCCTTAGCCAGCCTGATTCATGCTGTACCTTAGGCTCAGCGGTGGAGCCATCCGTGTCGAAGGATATTTCCATCTCCTGGGATGTGCGGACCCCAGTACATGTGTCCAATGCTGCGGAGCAGTGCTCGCCCGAAGAGGAAGAATCGTTTCTCCTGAAGACGCCAGTGAAGTCAACTATTCCAGCACGCTCCTTCAGATCTCCAGCCTCAGTTACCCCTACGCTTCAGTACACTCCTTGTACGCCACATAATAATGAGCGCGGATGCAGTTCCATTTATGTTTCCTACCATGCAGGGGAGCCAGAAGGGGCTTGCCCAGAGGGATTCAAATCACCTGCTGCCACGCCTGTGAAAGGAGGCTCTACAAGTAGGTCCTTGAACTTTTCCTCACCGAAGAGCATTCCCTTCTCTAAAACTTCTGGCTTCCCTAGATCACCAAGCCCTCACACACCTAGTCCTGATGTCCCTTCAACTCCAGGCCTACGAACTCCAGTGAATTCTTCGAGGACCTCGAGGTTCAGGAATAAACAGGCTACGAAGTTGAATCTTGGGCCCATTTTCGCTCGAACCAGTGACGAGGATGCGTCAGCAGATTCTGGGGGCACTCATACTGGTTCAGGAACGTCATTGCCGAAGAAGTCTTTGTGCTTCACAAGTGAAGTATCGCAAGCGGACATGCTCATGATTCAGGGCATACCAAGTAAACTTGTTAACTCAGTAAGTATTCCACACTTACACTTTTCGGACTCACCATATCAGCTAGTACTTCTGAAGGGAGGATGTTGCAAGCCGTGAAGCTGATGTTATGCTATAAATTGTCTTCAGGTCTTGAGAGAAGAGTTACGAGTTGCAGAAGAGAATAGGGACGATGTGGTGGCGCTTAGACGTCATCAGCAGATGAAGGCTGGTATTACTCTTCTATTCGATCAACTGCGCTTGATCGTCCAGTCCAGTAACAAGTCCGTATTCCCATGCAAGAAGCTTCTGTCGAAGTTGGTATCCTCCAACACTGAAATGACAGATCGAACTGAAGTAGAAGTGCGCCTCAATTTGCTAATGGAGTTGGCTCCTGAATGGATATCGGCAAAGCCATCTCTTGCTGGGGATACGCTATACAGGTTGGTCTCTCACTCAAAATTTCACGCCTGTTTTTGTGGTTATTAGATGATGAGAACCATTTCCGTACGCTGGTGAGTCCATGCTCTGACCTCCTTCCGTTCTTCTCAGGATCGACAAGAATGCAGACGTGATGGGGGTGCGCAAGCGACTATGTAGTGTTTAGTCTTACAAGATTGTCTTAGAAGAGGAACATCAAGCAAGTTTTACCATATGTGACGAAACATAGCGGGTTGTCAAGTTCAAACTTGTTGAGGAACCCGCTATGTTTCGTCACAATAAGTCTTAGACACATTGTAAAATAGTACAGATAAATTCTGACCGTGAAGAGAAAATTTTATTCTCTAAATTTATTGATTTAGGTTGAATTTGCAGCTTTAGTACATATTCTTGTGTACAAGTCATAGGCACCATTCTATGGGCAGTTAATGAGAAAAGTTATTTAAATTTTCGATTAAGCATTACTCTTACACATTACCAGTGAAATATTTGGCCATGTCTTACTACTTACTGTGAATCTTTCAACTGCAAACACCACTTCATATTCCGATAACTTCAATGAAATATGTATGTCTCACACTAATTTCCCATATCTACTAGCCAAACAAAGCGCAAATCTCATATTTTCATCTATTGCCGCTGAAAAAAAAACATGACACTTAGGAATGACCAAAATCTGTTTGCAAAAACTGAGCGTCGAGACCGCCAAAACTGTCATCGTTATCATTACTACTTCCTAGCAAAAAATCGAGACCTTCATCGTTACTAACTTCAGGAAACACATCCATGTATTTCACATCTCCAGTAACATCAACTGGATCGCTTTCATTTACGGCTTCTTCAACGACCTCCACTGGGATACCCACCAGCCGCAGTGTCTCTTGCCAAACCAGATTCGCCTTGTGCATGTCATGTACCTGACGAGCGACAGCGCAGGGTCGGCAATCAGACCCAAAGTAGGGCGCTAGAGGATAACTGATCGAACGCAATGCTCGTGCATAGTCTTGTACTTGTTTGTCTGTGACGCAGAACAGCAAACTCCGAGCACCTGGCAGACAAAAATTCGATTGAAACATCTTTAAAAATCCGTAGGATGAACATAAAATCTACTTTGTGTACCACATGAGCAGTAACAACGAATCGCTGCAATCAGTTCTGGAGAGGAATCAAGAAACTTTCGGATATATGGGACATTACCTTCCAGAGGGCTGAAAAGATTAAACTGAATTTTCTGGATAATACCACGCCAACCTGTTGCCTGTACATTAACAGCCAGACATTTTGAACTAAGAAAGCGCCGAATGCCATTAAAAAAAAACCGTTTGAATGCAATTAGAAATTAGACTCTTACCCAAAGTGAATTACGAACCTTTCTCGTTCTTGAAGAAAGTAATATGAAAATTCTACTCCGGGAAATTTCAATTTCAGATAAGTAATAATCATTACCGTTTCGTTTACAACTTGCCCAGGGTGCATACATATGATGTCAATGCCGGTTTCCTTTGGAAGCCGTCTTTGTAGCAGGTTGGAGAACAGAAGCTGTAAATGGAAGAAAACTTTTACAGTCTCAATTGCACATCATATAAGAGAATAGAAAATGCAGTGCAACTAAACGATGTTGAACGGTTCAAAAGAACTAAATGTGAATTTGTTTTGCTTGAATATGGTATCTTTTGGTCTGAAGTAGTGGTTGAAGTGGCTACTTGAAAGTAGTTGAATCATTTTGGACTAGAATTCCATTACCAGAATGCTTGAGATCACAGCTACCAATACCTGGGCAAGCTTGCTGTTCGCATGAGCTGTCAACGTATTCCATCTCTTTTTGTTGCCAGATAGGTTAAGATCGTCTGCGTCAAGGTGACCTATGTGGTGTACCTATCACAAACATGAAAGCATGTGCTTATGAAGTAAAAGTGATTAAAATGTGTGCAAAATAGTTAAACACATTCAAGGTGAAAAGCTCCAGTTCTCAACAAATTTACGAACTATGTGAAGTCAGGAATTCATGACTAAATCCTGCGCATCTTGAATTGACGAGTGCTACGATTATCCGTGCATAGCCCTTGAACAATAAACACTTTGCGAAGGGAAAAAGGAACAGTAATGCACAATGGCCAATGACTTACAACAGAGTTCACCATAACTACTCGTGAAGGTGATCCACGAAGCAAAGACGGCAACATCAACAACGATAAAAGAGCTGGGGCAAGATGGTTCACTTGCATGTGATGCTCGTAGCCATCCCTTGACAAGTTCTTTGTATCTGCGACCACGCACCAAAGAAGAAAACTCAGACCACGACAAACCAGGTTCGAACATTCGAGAACCGGTACAGTTAATCTATCATCCCGAGATATGTGTAGTCAAAACGAGTAGATATGCAATCACGTGCCTTAGCCAGCTACTAGTGACTAATATAAGTTTTTCAAGTTTTGTTAATAAACGTAGCAGAAATAATCAGCAAGACCGGCGAAATAGCTATATCACTGGTACTGGTACTGGTACTGGACGATGGTGGACCAAATGCTATCATTACTTCAAAGAAAATATAAATATCAATTAATATACTTGTACCGTCCATGTAGGAAGAGCTACTGATGTTGATTAACACGTTCAAAGGAAGCTTGCGCGCCTCCCAATCTACAGAAAATTTACGCACAGAGTCCAGTACTAGACAGTCCATCTTCATAACCTGATATTCAAAAGGGTAGGGATGTTAAGGTAGTACAGAGTGTCTGGTCACATGCAGCTTTCTGCGGTCCATAAGAATCTAGCTTTCGAAGGAACATATACATATTCATGAGCGAACGAAGCTTGACTATGCCACTTGCTGCCAGTTATAGAGAAGCCGGCAGTGCTGCCGACCTTGTGCACGTCATGAGCCAGAACCCCATGCCTCAACTCTTCTCAAAGATATGAAAGTTCACCAACTTCACATCGCTCACTTACTCAAACTTACACATTATAAAGCTTTAACTGGGAAGACTGCTATCCACAGATACAATTGCTGTGGAGCATGCCAATGACATTTACAAGACATATATGCATTTCACAATAAGTAAAATAATAATAATAGTAATAAAAATGCACCATACCTCACAATTGAGCGGCGGATTCGTATAACCCGTTGATTCATCTTCCCACCTCGCAATCAGCTCCCTCACAGCATCCACATCGGCCACAGCAAACACAACGTGCGCTCCTGACTTCGCCAAATGTCTAACACAGTTTATGGATGTTGCGAAATCAAACAAGGTAGGCGTCTAGCAGACATTACCGAATTAGAGAGCACAAACGACGATTTAGCTGTCAATGAAAACCGACATCTATGAAACGCAACAGCAGGAGATGTGAACCTTGCAGTTTCAAGAGCAATGCCAGGTGAGCAGCTTGTAATAATGCAGGTGAGGTGCGACAGAGACAAAGTTGGGAGGCCGGGCTGAAGCGTGACGGAGGAGATCCGCTGACAAAGCGAATCCCAAACGATCACAAACAACCCCATGATCCATTCCCACCACCCCATTTTCGTCATCGCCACTTGCCCCCCCTAACCCTGATCACTGCACCCCCGCTATTTTACCTGCACAGCTTGAACCGATTTCATCGCTAAGTATCCCACTCTCAACAACCGATTGCTTAGGTGATCACGGTTCTTCGAAATCATCAAAGCAGGCCGCCGAGGACAACCCCACCTAGTTCACCTCGGAGAAACAATCTTCGGGCCCAACAAATAGCGGATGTGGGCCAAATTAGGGTCAAAGTGAGACGTGAGAAATTTGGGTCTACTTAAAAGACTCAACTGCGACACGTTCATTGGCATCCACAGTGTTGCGCTCAACAGCGATTGATCGATCGCCGGCATCGGGGTCACACTTTGGTGGATTATCGAGGGAGAGTGACTCGGCAGGATCTCAGAGTGTGTGCTTGCCGACGGGAGGGAATGTTGGGAACACTTGGAGAACGTCGCTCACGACATTCAAATTCATGTGGATGTATGAATCTCTCGCGTTGAAATCAGATGGATGAAAGTGGCTTTCAGTCGTGTCTTTAAAAAATTACACCCAAAAATTTAATCAGAAGATTTATAATATTTTTAACACGGAATACTACTTGTAAAGTGACGACTTTTTAGTGTGTTCCCGTATTTCAATTAAAGTTGGATTTACTCAGATCTAAGAATAATTTTTCTTTGCATAGAGAATTATTTGATATTTCATAATTTGTTTAAAATTAATAGTATTCACAGTTTTAGTGTGAAACATGCACGAAAAATTAATAAGGAGAAAGCTCAGTGATCTCTTGGCAATGGCAGATTCTATTTTATGTGGTTTGTTGACAAATAAATGTGTATTTGAAGATAATCTTATAGTAATATCTAAGCGATTCGGTGCCCAGATTCTTATTGTTTCAGTTTAGATTTAATAAAACTCACCTGCATCTGTAGTTTGCACACTCTTCGTTGAATTCAGCAGCAAATCTGAGCTGGTTATCTAGAACAGTGATTTGATCTAATGACATTTAATAACATGTGATTAATTGGAGAAAGGGAGTAGGTTGTGTGGGCACACTGCAAGTCCGATGGCATAAAAGCCAAAAAATCGATCTTCGCATTCTCTAGTTTACTATTCATCCGAACAGGGTTGAGTTGAATAGCACAATGTAATACAATATCATAGCTTCTTTTCAGTTTTTCTTCACATTTTTTGGTGAAACCGCAGAACTTTTACAACAGAGAACTAAAAGATGAACTCCCTAATGCATCAACAGTGAGTGAAAGTTCATATCTGGCGGAGCAGTACACCTGCGGTTATGAGGATGTCTTCTATTCACTATATCATTTTTCCTGATTGGGAGAGTATTTTGTCACTCTGCTTTTTCCAATGAAATAAATCTCTCTAGATGTGCTACGTGTTGCTTTAGGCCGCAGCCAATGTAGTTGCTGAAATCTCCCTTTGCATAGTTTGAGAAAGCCTGCAAAACCATGTGTCGATAAAACGCTGTATCATCATTGCGATTACGTGATACATGTTGAAAAACTAGATACATTCTGCACTGCCTTTTGGTCATTTAGAAAATAGGAATGCAAATACAATGCACAGAGCTCCCAAATGTAACTGCAAGAGAAACAGAAGACAGTACTGACAAGTACCTTGACTATCTTCACCTTCGAGAAGTTTGATAACAATGCTGCCCCCCGGCAGCAGTATTCCACCAGTCTCAGGTATAGAATCATCTACCTCTGACTGACCAAGTGCAAGATGCAATGCACACATGCCTAGCTCTGCTGACAGTGCAGCATCTTTAGATCCGACCCCTGATACCGACGGGCACATGTCTGATATCAAAACCGAGTACCCCTTTCCCTGGGAGAGGATCAAAGTCAACAGTTGCTATTACTTAAGGACACATCAACAATCAAGAACAAAAATCATCCTAGGCCTCTACGTTCGTCGCAGTGAACACCACTAGTTCTGTCTTCCGTGCCAGCAACATCAGACCTCAAGTGTTCCATAAAATTTACTTTAGAACACACTCAGCAGATAAGGAAAGCACATACCGAAGCTGAGAAAGATGCAAGAGCGGCATGAGACATCTGCATCACATCACTGGCGATTGTCCGTACACGGTGATCACAATGGTCCGCAGGTACTTTTACCTTCTGCTCTGAAATAATGCCACCAAACAATCTTTATAATGAGTAACTTTTCGTAAATCATGTACTCGAAATAAAAATGAACAACGATAGCGCCAATTCACGTCTGTCAAAGACCAAATGAACAAGTTTAGTAAAATAGATTTTGAGAATGAAGATGATGACCTTGATGTCAACTCCAACCACCACGCCCCCTTTCTCCGGCGGCCCTAAATTTTGGCACGCTACCTACAAGCAAAGTGTGCACAATTTTGAGCGATACCAGCAAAGCAATTGCAATCAGTCGCGGAAGAACCAGGTCAGGTATAAGTTAGACGAGCAGTCAACAAACCTGTAGGAAAGCACCCGGGGCACACCCGAGATCCAGTACAGAGGCACCTGGCCGAATGATTCGGTGTTTCTTTTGTATCTCCAACAACTGCAAATCACACGCAACCGAGTTCGAAATTAAGGAAGAGTCCAGTGAATGTCAACACGAAATTGGTTATATAACTGTGGAAAAAAAAATTCGATCGTATCGAAGTGTATCGCAGATCATGCTAAGTGGCCATGGTGAACGTTTAATCGGAAATTCCCTTAGCGGCTCGAAATACACAGAGAAGTACATGCGGGCTCATAGTTACCTTGAAAGCCGAGCGGGCCACATACTTAAGCCTGCGAGCCTCACGGTAGAAAAAATCGGCAGTACCTCCGCTCATGATGACCTCTCCTGACTTCAATAGGGATGTGAAAAACTCATGCTGCTCTGCAACATTCTTTCTGTTGTATCACAACCAAAAAACACATGTGAACGTCATTATGTATCTCGTGCCAACCCTACACTTCATTATGGTCCTTCTCGTTCAATAAGTGGACGCCCATTCAGTACGTGAAACGTGCCAACACCAAAACAACCACAAAAGAGACCCCAACCATCAAACTCAGTTTCTTAAACCCTGAACCCTAGAACATCTGAAAGCAGACCCTGGTGAACCTAGGTACTCATCTTCACCCATAAATCTATGAATTCCCCAAAGGTGACCTCACGGGGTCGCAAGTCGCAACCTTAAGCTAACTTAAACCAGAAAATCGAGACACTGCACCTTCTCACACATCTCTCGTTCCGACCGGTCTACAATCGAAAAACGTTAGAACTTAACAAACGAAGCGATCAACGATCAGACTCACGTACAGGATGGTTTCAAATTCGGAAATCGAGAGAGCGAATGAACTCGTGGAAGAGTGACGGCGAATTCACAAGATGGCGGCAAAGCCAAAGGCGAATGCAATCCTACGAAAACAAAAGCTTCGTGAGATGCCAAGTCGCAGTTGTCCCACAAAAGTATCCTAGTGCTTTAACCTAACCTTTTGAAGTATCCTCATTTAAGGTGGATATGTATAACATGTCTACTCCAAAAAATTCACGCAAGATGACACAGATCCTGATTTTGCCATGTGTGTAAATTGCAGAAGTATAAGATGGGCCATTTACGAGTCACTTGTTGGACCAATCTTCAGTGCCGAGCCACTTGTCTTTGAAGCTAACACACATCAAATTCTGCAGAAGGCAGTGCACTCTATCAACATTATGCGCAATTCGAAGTTATCAAATGGGGCAACACTACTTTTCTCTGACCCATACAAGTAACAAGCACACACTTCTAGGGTTCTTTCAGAAGGGTTCACATGTGAATATGTTGCTAAATTTATGATCTTGATGCACAGAAGGGAAGAGGTCGCACATGATTTAATAGAGATCAGTGGAAAACTCTTAATGTAACAATGAAGAAATCATTAAAATATGCCATAGCAAGAATATATTAGTAGTTTGAAAAGAAAAATTGTTAAGTTAATCTGCATTGGGATACAAACTTCTAGTTTAAAAATTGAGGAACAAGAAAAGAAAAGCAAGTTGTTGGGAAATTCAAACTAAAATGAAAATCTTTTGTAACCTTCATATCTCTACATGAAAAGAGCAGTACATCTTTAAAAGTAGGATGGAGAGCAGAGTAAGGAAAAAAAATCCCTTAATAAAACTGTGATGCCATATAGGAGAGGTAAACGAAGTTACGAGAGGCCATAACCATTTGGCACAGTGACAGACTATAGGCGTCAGTGACCCAGTGGTTGTAGCTTCCACTAGTTAATCTCCAAGAGGCTTTCAGGTCTGAAAAAGAGTTGAGATTTTGGACAGTTTCGGAAATTTATCACCCTGAATGATCCGAAATGCATTAACAATGCAACAGTCTAGGATACAGATTTCCTTGCAATTCTCGCGAGATCCTGTAGTGTAAGTCATACTGAAGAGGAACACAGACGCGAATGCTTCTGGTCTCAAACATTAAGTTTGCTAATCCGATTGAAACCATTGCCTCATGCATGGGGTGCCCTCCCACTCTGGTCCTATGTACGAGGAGCTACAGGTCAGCATTAGGCAGTCAAATTAGTATCTAGTGCAGCATCCTGAAGTGGGGATTTGGAATGAATGACTGGCTCTTTAGGTTCATCCTGCACCCAATACACATATTCTATCAGAAAAAACTTCGGAGACGTAGGGTCATGGTCTCTACATCAGTTCACGCATTTTCTATCGACACATCCAACTGCATCACAAGCAGAAACATATAATAATGCTTTTTCAGTCAAATAGAAGATAACTAATGCATCAATGATCTTAATAGTGCGCTCCTGCATGTACATGATTCATGGAGCTCCTACCTACCCACGATACAGAAACTGTTTCAATAGAAGATAAAACGTGAAATTTGACGAGTAATGTCAAGTACCAGGTTCGCTAATTTCGTGGCTGTAAGCTCCTGCTGATGTTTCAATATGTTCCTTAGATCCTGAAATCCCTGAAAAAATTTACATAACAGAAAAAATAAACGTTACAGAATGTACGCTAGACAGTCGAGGCTAATTCACAGTTCAAGTAGAGTACTTATCAAATTTCCTTCCTTGGAACCAATCTACAGATTATTCCACTATTGTTAAAACAAGAGTTGCCCACAGGAAGGCTTCCATGGTAAAATGAAGGCAATGTGGTGCACCAGGAAATGAGTTCAGCGTGACAAGTACATGCCACTGCCCAATCAGAGCAAAATAAAATGCCGACAATGATGCGATAACATAATTACGAAGATTTAGCCTTAAAACTAAAACTACGAAATGGAACGTTAACTTACAACTCGAAGTTGATCAACCTCTAAATTTAATGCGCATCGAAGACCTCCAAGTTCCTATGCAAAAGAAACAACTTCCAACATAAGACAACCAGTTTGCAAAATCAAATGAAGACAGAAATTTCACATATGTAGACTAAGTGTATAAACACCCAGAACCTCACCCTTTTCAAGATTAGTTTATAACTGCTTCAGATTGATTTATATGATGATGTTGACATTCAGTAACTACAGCATGACTAACATGATTCAATATTTAATTGTGCACATGAATCGAGGGCGAGAAGAAAAAGGTAAAATCCTACGTACATCATTAATTGTGCCTATAAAACTGCATTCCACAAATCTTTGTCAGCTGTAGGTCTATATGAATGTTTCAGTCAAAACTTTCCGCAATAATCACAAAAATAGACGTAGGAGACTGACCTCCCTATACGACTTGACTTGGGTATCCAACTTGGCCCGCCAGTTCTCTAGATCCTGCGAAACAATAGATCAACATCACGAAGTTATGAGCACCGTAGTACTGTAGTATTGAGACGTTGCTGGCAACGTTCAGTGAGCATTGCCGTCACCTCAATCTCAGATTCTTACTATATGACGAGAAGCAGCAACACTTGTTATTGGTGGCCAACCCTTTACCTTCTTCAAAGCTTGCACACGTTGTAGAAGCTCATTCCTTGACTCGTTTAGTCCTTGAGAACCCGGAAGCCCCTGTATAGTTCTCTAGTTAGGAAGACTTGAAAAGAGCATTAAATACCCTTGAATTTCACCACAATAAAGGCCGCAGGGGAAAATGAAAGCACCACTGAACTAGTTATTGCGCAACATCTGAAACCAAAGCGTAAATGACTCCCTCTATGACTTGGTTACTCCAATCCCATCTAGAAAATACCACCGACGATCTGGCTATTCTGCATTACACAGAGAATACACGAAAACGAAAATAAATAACTAAAACTGGTGATGAGTTACGTTAATTGTGAGGTCGTGACATCTTACTGTCGGTGTTGGTTCCTGTGAGTAAATCAGAGATTCACTTCGACGACATTCATCAACACTCGTCTCGTTTTCTGCCATACTTGTAGCGTCTTGGAGGCTTGTACCCGCAGAAACCTCATCAGGTCCAGAGAGGTTCGCGTCCATAGAATTAACCTTCGAGTCCGTATGCATAGCTTCAGAAAAGCTCTCTCCAAGAGCCACATCCTTCAAACACACACACAAAAGCTTGTAAGCTTTGCCTAAAGTTAAACATCGCGCAAATGTAGACATAGAATTTGGTGACTCGCCACAGCGCATTGCTGTAAGCCATGCGGAGAAATTGGATCCGCAATTAACCAACATCGACACTGGCTGGTTCTGAATTGCAGCTGCTGCGCAAAATCACGTCGCTCTTCGATGACTTATCATCGAGCTTCAAATTTAAGTCATCCTAAACCACTACGAGAAAAGCTGCTTAAAGCAACGCATGATACTATCAACCATGCAATTAAAAGCGATCAACGCTGACGACATCGCACCGCCGCAACTACAGAATGAGCTAACGGCACCAAAACAGAAGGGAAAAAGAAAAAAAAAGGAAAGAAAATGAAAAGACGAGGTGCTCCGATATGAAAAACACAAAGAAATAGCATCTCCGGCTGAAATACAACTCACCATATTTCCCAGCGAATTGCAAAGAGACAGGCAATCACCAGACTCAGTCATGGTCACAGACGCATCCTGAGCTCAACACGCAGAAATTTTCCAAAAAATACACGCCGCTTGCGCACAATCACCTTTAGCTGCTTCCGAAATCGAATAATTCTACCGTCGGACAACAAAGTCAAGACAATTCCGCCTCCATCGCAAGCTTCATAGCATCGCCCTCCGACAATTGCTGGAATGGCACGGCTGAAATTGGCCTCACGCGATGAGCTGTGAGGATTGTTGTGAGGGAGACGTCGCCGCGATGGCGGGGAGCGTGAGAATTGAAGACCGGTTTGAATTGATTTTGGCGGGCATTAGATTCACAGGCCAGAATTGAGGCGCCTTGAACCCAAACTGTCCTGGTCCACGCGCGCCGCGTGGTAATAAATTACACGTCACCTCGAGATTCTGGGACCCTCTTCGAAACCTTTTTCGGGGAAGTGAAAATTTCAGAGAAAAAATTAATACGAAATTGTTGAATTCCTATGCACCGAAATATTCACAAATTTTCTTGTCGGGACTTGAAAGTGTTCAAAAGTCATTCTTATAGTGGAGTCCTTGTGGACCTTTTAAGATTGTTGTTTGTTCATTTATTTATTATCTTAAATATAAATTACAAATTAAAATTTTATTTTAATGCGGTTTTTGTATAAATTAAGAAATTTTTTATTTCTTCATTTCTCTAATTTGTAAGATTATTTTGATCTTCTATATTCTTGGAAGAGTCATATTACTTGTTGTCCAAAAGATATCTGTCATTAGTGACATGACATCTCTCACAAATACCTCTAAACAAGATTGTACGATATCATCGCAGACTATTATTGCCACAAAAAATAAATTTAGCCTCATGAGTTATAAGCCAAATTGCTTCAAAAACTTGAATTTCTTACATTAAAACATGGATTTTTGAAGCAATTAAGCTTACATTAAAAAACAAATTTCTTACATAAAAACATGAATTTCTTACATCAAGGCATTTTGGGGCAAACAAAACACTAATTTTAAATTCAAGATATTATTCTTCACCACAAATGTTATCAGCAACCTATCATGGCAAATGTTTGTGTCCAACAAGGTATATCTTCTCAAATTATTTACTTTAAGGACATGATTTTATTATTCCACAGTCCACAATTTTCAATGTTTTTGCATGTCAAAAAAGAAATTTAAGGATTCAGAAAAGAAATTCTACATTTGGAAATTAAAGGAATTTTCTTAAAACATTTAAAAAAATTAATACAGATAAATTATTACATGTTTATTATTTATTTTTCACCATCAATTTTCATTTTAATAATATTGTAAAAGTTATTTTATAGACGAATCACAACAATAGCTCAAATTTCATAAATGCAAAAATCCTAATCCTACCATCAAAAAACATTGTTTCAAATTTCAGGTATAGATGTCAATATTTTTCAAACATCCATTACATTTTGATATTCATTCATAAAATTCCCATAGTTGTGTTTCAGGAAATATTTGTCACAGCAAGACATTACAAGTAACTCAACTTTGACATACATCAACAGCATCACCAGGATGTTTTCACAAACCATCTAAGGTACAAATTTTCCGACATCTACTCATCTAATAATCGCAATTAAAAAAATTGTGTAAACAACATACAAGTAGATTCAATTATCTCTACAGCGAGGGTTACAAACAACCTTAATTTCTATTACACCAACCTCAAAAACCACATAAAACCAACCAAAGTGACATCATCAAAATCAAGAAAACCTCACAAAACCACACAAACATTAAAGCATCTTCTGGGTTCAGCTTTTGTAGAAAACTCCAGAAAGGTTCAACTTGAAGTACAAGATTATGAACAAATTCCACAGCAATCATGGACATGGGAGCCTAGAATTGAAGAGCGACTCAAGGGATTCTTAGTCAACTGAAAAGGGTTTGGGACATGGAGAATGGATAAAATGAAAACCCGCATTGGAGTCAAGAGTCCTACCTTACAAGGCCAACTTTCAACGTATCAATGCCTGCATGGACCAAGCGCCTCCTCACAAGGACTCGCCGCTCAACTCCACGCCATGGCAAATTCTCATGCGTTTCCTTGCATATTCCTGCTCAAGCTGCATGAAGATCATGGCTTTCGGAGCATCAATTGTCACTAGCCCCTTCAATCAACTCAAGCATTTGTGTACCGGACGATCTTCCACAGATCTCCTTGTGGAACAATTCTTTGGGGAGAAATTATTATTCGACTTGACTCTGCAGGTCACCGGCAAGTGGTGTGAATTTTGAGTGGGTTCTGGTTTTGTGGAAATTGGTATCTCGGATCATTAGGTGTTATTTGTTGAGAGATTGGATGTTTTGGAGCATCGGCTTCACGAGCTAGCGAGGTTGGTGACATGGAATTAGATGAGCAAAGTGGTCTGTTGTTGTTTCCACGCGTGGAACGTGACAATGGTGTTGCTTTTTGCTGCAATGGTGAAGTTGGTAAGGGAGGAGTTCATGGTACAGATTCTCTTAATTGGGTCAAGACTGCCATGGCTATGGAATGCAGCCACCTCAAAGAGGGCGTGCAGATAGTGGGTATTTTCAAGAATGCCACCAGAGTAGTAATCAAAGGGGCCAACCTTGGTGTTCCTCAAGTGGCGGCAATTGCTCGCAAACCTAAAGTGCAGGTGGAACCTGATGCTGTGAATGCCAAAGGAAGAGTGGATGAGAGTTCCAACTAGGTCTTTAATAAGATCATGAATGGAGGTGATATCTACGGCGTCACTACTCGATTTTGTGCTTCCTTGCAACGCTGCATGCAACACGGAGTGGAGCTCCAACGTGAGTTCATCCGATTTCTCAATGCGCGTGTCGTCGGCAAGGGTAACTCCCTGCCCTCAGAAACCATCCGTACGGCCATGCTCGTGCGGACCAATACGCTGATATAAGGCTATTTTGGCAACCGATGGAAGATCCTCCAAGCAAAAGAGAAACTACTGAGCGCGCACCTTATCTCAAAGCTGCCGCTGCGAGGCACCATCAACGCCTCCGACAATCTAGTTCTTTTATTGTACATTTCCAGCCTGCTTACGGGTCGCCCCAATTGCATAGCGGTCACTGAGGATGGTCGAGAGGTCTCCCTACTAGAAGCTTTGTGCATTGCAGGTGTAGAGAAGCCGTTCGAGCTCGCGCCTAAGGAAGGGCTCGTCCTGGTAAACGGAACCGCGGTTGGCTCTGCCCTGGCTTCCACAGTGTGCTACAATGCTAACATCATGATGCTCCTCGTGGAGGTTCTGTTTGTGCTCTTCTACGAGGTGATGCATGGCAAGTCGAAAAGTACGGACTCCCTCACCCACAAGCTCAAGCACTACCCCGGACAGATGGAAGTCGTGGCCATCATGGAGTGGTTACTGGATGGAAGCTCCTTCATAAAGGCTGCTGCCAAATTCAAGGAGACTGATTCCTTCCACTAGCCCAAGCAGGATAAGTATGCTTTGCGAACGTCCTCGTAGTGGCTGGGCTTCTAACTGGAGGCCATCTGTAATGCTACTCACGCCATTGAGCGGGAGATCAACTCAGTGAACAACAACCCCATCATTGACGCTGGCAGGGGCTTTGTTCTCCACGGAGGCAACTTCCAAGGCACTCGTATCGGCGTGTCTATAGACAACATGCGCATAGCATTGTCCGCCATCACCAAACTCATGTTCCCCTAATTCTCAAAGCTCGTCAATGATTACTACAACAACGGCTTGCCGTGGAACCTGAGCGGAGGGCCAAATCTAGCCCAGACTATGGCATGAAGGGCACAAAGATTGCCATGGCATTTTACTTGTCGAAGATGAACTACCTTGCCATCCCCGTCACCATCCACATGCAAAGCGTGGAGCAGTACAATTAGGACATGAACTCGTTGGGATTGGTGTCCACACGCAAGACAAAGGAGGCCATGGAGATCCTCAAGCTCATGAGCGATACCTTCCTGGTGACCTTATGCCAGGCCATAGACTTGCGCTATATGGAGGAGACAATGCAAACAACTGTGAAGCAAGTAGTGGCACAAGCGGTCAGGAAGACGCACTTCATGGAAAGCAATGAGTCCTTTTCACCATTGCAGTTGTGCGAGGAGGATCTATTGATGGTGGTGGAGTGAGAACCCATGTTTTCATACATTGACGATGCTGTGAGTAGCTCGTACCCACTGATGGAGAAGTTGTGATAGGTGCTGGTTGATCGCGCTCTGAATATAGACAAAGACACTGCGAGCTCGGTGTTCAGCCGCATTTCCATCTTCAAAGCAGAATTGAAACAGTAATTGAGCTAGGTAGTGCAGCTAGTGTAGGGAGCATATGACACAAAAGGAACATCATTGGTATCCAACAAAATTCAAGATTTTTTGACATATCTGCTATACAAATTGGTGCGCAGGGAGGTGGAGACACAGGTGCTGTATGGGTTGAAGACGGTGTCTCTAGGGTAAGAAATTGAGGATGAGTTCAACGCCATCTCGAAGGGGAAGTGGTGGCTTCTGTGCTGGATGCGTCCAAGGCTATACTGGAGTACCAGGGCCTTTTCTCAAATCCGGTTGATGGAGCTCATTGCTTATGATATCGGCATGTATCGTGCATTACTTGCATTTTATGACTAATCACAAGGTCTATATCCACAACCTTTTTTTTTTGTCCTCCAATTTCTTTTGTCGAAAGTAACATCAGAAGAGCAACAATGATTCATTCAAACCCAAGTGTTTACTAGGACAAGGAGTACGGTTTTGGCCAAGGTATTGATGTGTTGGATGTTCACGACTTGAATGAGTGAAGTCAATGCAGCTTCGGCACTAATATCAATGGATTGCATACCCTAAGGTATTAGTTAATACGACCCTTTAATCATTTGCTATTGCCATGATTCTAGAGGTATTTATTTGTAGCATATAGTGTATATTTGTTATTCTATCAAAGGTCACATTGATCTCATATTCTTAAATGGAAACCAATTGGATCCATTCAATACAACAAAAGAGGTTGCAATGTATATGATTAAATGATTTGAAGGTCCTTGTATGATGGTTTTATTAGATTTGCATTTAGAAGTCAATCAATGCAAGTGATGTAAGCTTATTTTTGTCGCAAGCTCAAGCTAGAGATTCCCAATATACCAAAAATCAATTGCATCATGTAGATATATTAAAAGGAGTAACTTCTTCCTTATAAGGATAAGTTGAAGAAATAATCAAAAATTTAAGTGTCAAAAAATTAAACACTATACAAGTGATTGATGTAAAAACAAATGAATTGCTAGCTATAATATTGTGTATTGGG